CCTTAGTATGCAAGTCCATCCGATACAGCTAGTCGGCGATCTCGATTGCCCTGCTCTGTAGCTCCTCTAGATTCTTGCTCTTTAGGCCTACAAGCTTGTCCTAGAGCTTGTAAGCGAGGCCTTTTCTGAAGATCATCATCTTCGTATTCTCGTCCAAGCTGCTGTTGGAAAGCAGTAACTGCTCCTGGAAGTCCATCACGTAGCTACGGATGTTCTTGTTCCCTTGCGACATAGACCAAAGCTTGTCACGAGCTCTCTCCTCCTTGTGTGGATCTCCAAACATCTAGTTAAAGAACTCAAGAAGTTGGTTGAAATCCCATTTGCCAGATATTCTCATCTAGCTTATGTATAGCAGGGTCAGAGTAGCAGCTGTTCCCTTAAGTCTCGCGAAGGCGTAATCACATGCCATCTTATCGTTCTCGAAATCATTCTTGTCATTTTCCACCTTAGCTGTCAGCTGCTGGTGGAAGACCTAGTATTGCTTCCTTGTACCATCGAACATGTCCGGGTCAGGCTGTCGGCGGCGCTTTGCGGCGGTATTAACAGTGTTTACGGGTTGTATTGCAGCTAGAAGGGTAGCTAGCCATATCGGCGGCTGATCGTTTAGGTTTACGGTTGTAGTTGTAGCTGTAGTAGCTAGAAGATGTAGGTCTCCTGTCTCCATGGGCGCTGAATCCTCATTGCTCTAGGGAGTAGAGACATTGCTTAAACCAGCCCTCTGCAGCGCAGTTCTCATCGTACTCCAGATATAGAAAGCTTCCTGTACTCTTTCCTAGACTGCAGGCTCATCCATCCCCTAGGCCCTACATAGGTTCTAGAGAGATCCTCGTATCTCCTCATTGCTTACACCGTCGTAGTACAGTTGCGTTATCTGTACTGCCAGCCCTACTGCAGAGGCATCCGCTGCTGCCATTGTGCCAGTGTAGGTAGGTCGATTTCTTAGGCCACGCCTTAAGTAGTGGACTTATCTAACGGTCTTCGGTAGACCTTTCTCAGTTTCTAGTGCTGCCTAATGTCCGCGGCGATGGCAGGCTTATCCAACGATCCTCGGTGGACCGTTCTATATTTCCAGGTGCTTGTACGTGTACCAAGCTGTGTAGCACTGCAGCCAGTTGCAAGTGCTCTTCGTTAACCCTCAGTAGGTTCGAAACGGCTTAACTAAGATCGGTTCTTTGATCACTCAGTATCTTCAATATATCGCTCTAAAAGGCGTCCGTCTAGATGTAGCTCTAGGGGGCTTCGGTTGTTACTGCTATGGAGGTTACTCCAAAGAGGCTAGTTCGACGTAGCGGATGCTACAGAAGGATCGAATTCAATTGTAAGGGTGCGATGGGTTGACCATAAGTGCAAGGTATAACAGTAATGAATTCGATAGAGAAGCTACACTACGCTTGCGCTGAGTCTATGTATCACGTAGTGCTAGGTTCGAGAAACTTCTAAGGGTCCGTGGAGCGCCGATGAAGCCCCGACAACGCTCCGAGGGTTGCAGCCTATCCCAACCAGCTATAACGAAGGCCACAGGCCAAGTACTACTAACCAAGGCTTCAGCCTCTTACAATGAGATACCCCGTTGCGTCTAGAGGTGTTTGACTACAACACAAACCTCGACACAAGCTACCTAATGGCTGACCGTATTTAGATTCGCTACGTCGATGCATTAAAACATTCCAGTCTGCATACAAAACGCTTATCATCTTATATGTCTCTCCGCCAATATTTCTACGCGCTACATCATTTGACCATCGCTCAACAGAACGCCATGATCATGCTCCTTTGTCTCGTATATGCGTAGTCCTCCTCGTCAACTGTATGAACATGAATCAGTGAAATTGAAATTTGCGGGATCCTCGTTTGCCTCCATAGAAGGCTGCAGGCTGGGCCGCATGAATTAAAACTCTGCGCATAAGCGACCGTGATGTTTCGAAACGATGCAGGCCGAGGCTTTGATAGGTGAAATGGATACGTTTCCAGTCCTTCACAATAGATGTAGGGCAAAAGCGTACCTATCGATACACCATGAAGCACTATGCATAGCAGATTCTGTAACAGCTGACCAGTATGATCTTACGAGGAACATGCTTGGCTACTAGTGTACCGCACCATGAGGAATTAGATCCTAGTAATCTTTACACTGCTGAGCGGAGGAGCCGCAATAACCACTTAGCTGTTTCTCGTATATTTGCAGAGCCCGCTGTACATGACACACGTAACCTTCGCATGTTTCCCATTCGTCTGGTCGTCAGGTATGAGATACGAGACCAGGCCAACCGAGACATTGGACTTGGCGTCCACGAGAAACAAGTTGTTGCCGAAAGCCGGCTCATTTGATCGAGAGTGTTGGCCAACACATAGTAGAGAGACGAATTGTTGCTTTTGGTCCTTGACCTGGCGTGAGTGCTTTGCTAGGAGTCTAATGGAGATAAAACACTTAGCAGTGGTAGATACACACAGGGACGAAGAGCTTGTTGACGCATGTTCCACCTGATAAAGGGACGCGGCAATTAACCATGGTACCAAGAAGAAACACAGTTTGTAGTAGTGTTCTTCGATCGCTAACCTAGGGCCGGTTTTCATCGGTGTCTGGTCGTTGTAATCATATACTCGTATTGTTTACTCTGGGTCAGTGGGCAACTGACCGCATCTTATAAAATCACCATAATCGGGCGTCCAGTCGTGAGTGGAAAGCTGCTATACATCGAGAGTTTACCACCTCGGTGGACCTTTTCTCACTGTCCTTAGAAGCTTTTAAGACAGGATTCTAGCAAGGCAGTGACAAAGTCTGGGGAGGTTTTGTACTTGAATTTCTTGACTTGCACATTCGATGTCATGTGTACACGCTAAGAAGCATTTTTACTCTCAGGTATGAGCTGTTTAAGCAGTTCCAGGATCACGATCTCTAAAACTTCGAATGAATATTGCTGGTTGACGGACAAAATATTCATCCGAAAGGCGCCGTCACCCTACAGCGCCGGCAGGTAGCTCGCGATAAAGTGCGCTTTCTCTTGCAATGCCTTAAGCTCCTACGGTAGCCTATCGATTGAACGCCAAGTCCAGTCGCACAAAATAAAACGGTGTATTCGGTGTATCCGATGTACGCCTCACAGAGCTTCAAGGTGGCGTCCCGAAAGCACGCGAGTTTGATTAATACGGCGTTCCTGGGCTGCGGGTTCGGGCCTATACTTTCCCACGATACGCTAAGCTTTAAACTTACTTTTTTTGCGTAATTATAAGTCACAGTATAGCACCGAGATCAGGAATGGGAGCTTAAGGCGACGATGATAGTCCTGAACCAAGCGAGCGCTCAGACTCAGATCTGCGGTGTTGAGAAGCAAGGGGGTGTTCGAGGTTTCAGCCCCCATGTCCGCGGCGGCTGAGTTCTACGCGAGATAGCGAAGATGCTGCCTGGCCGGACATCCCTTATTCCCATACTCTTTCATGAACCTCTCCAGTGCCCTCGCCGGCGTCTCCCCGTTTCTACACGTCTCATGTGCTTTTACATGGTTATGCACGTCTTCGAGCGCATACACGATCACATACTTGTTCCTTGGCGACACTTCTCTCAACACATCCCCCTCGCCTTGTGCCATAGTACAGCCTCTATCGGCGTTATCCGTTTGTGTTTACCGATTTCTCTAGAGCGGTAGCGGCCGCTTGTACTACTTATGTACTGCTTAAGCTACTAAGATAGACGTTTTGGCGTGCATCTGCTTGCCTTTGATGAGAAAAGAGGGGGCTGCGGATAGATGGGAGTTTGGGTGTGTCCAATGAGCTGGAAAGCGGACCACACCGCTTGATGTCCAGTGGAGATTTTGGTTGATTTGAGCTATCGGATGTACTCTCCGGATGCTTCAGCTTCTGTATCTTTGATGTGTTTACTAACCGTAGACCTGGATCGCTAATATTGGCTGCTGGTGGAGACCCGATGAATGAGTTGTGCCGTTGATACTCTACGACACCTGTGGCAAGTGATATGTTTCCGTCGTTCCATCGCTGATGCCTTGTTGTATCAATAAGGTCACGTACTTGGGAAACATTCCAGCAATGTCTTCTCATGAAGAGTACGGACGTGGAGCTGATACAGAAGTGGAAAGGTTAGACACAGGCACCAAAGAGGTGGTGAAGTGTGTGAACATGTGGCTTCGATAGTGCAAGTTGTGATGACGAAGCACGGGGGGTGAGCGGCGCGAAGGATCAAGACGATGGGGGAGATGTAGATTTTCGAAGCTTGCTTCACATCGTCGTCTCCTACGGAGCAGGTAGAGGTTGCGACGGCGTCATAACCTCCCGCTCCATTCTCATTCTCCCCCTCCTCCTCCCCTTACAAGCCTTCCATGTCGATTTCAACCCCACTGGTCTGCTGCGCCTCTAATCAACCACTTTGTATAATGCTCGGGCATCTCAACAAGCGTCTTCCTCACATATTTCTCGAGCGTTATGAGACGGAATTGAGCTGCAGCAGACAACGGTGGCGACGATGGGCGGCGTAGCAAAGACGTTGGAACCGAGCGACCATAGAGCTAGTTGTGGTATTGCATGTGGTACTTGCGCAGACATGGGGGAGGTTGCGACAAAGTCAATTCATCTACAATGTCTACAGCGTCGGAATTACGTCTGATCCGTAGTCGGAAGACACTGCGCATGCGACAGCCTTGCCAAAGCGAAGGCGAGCCAAGAGTGAATATATTTGATTGGAGATCAGGGTATGGATCACGTGGTGTGGTGCAGCTTGCAGCGAACACGTGGAGATGGTAGATGCGGAAGGTGCACAGACACACACATATTTGAACTAGATGTGGCGCGTTCCCGAGGCTCAGCACGCTACCAACTGAACTATGATATTCAGGAACCAAAAGAAAAAAGAAACGCCCTGTTGACGTAGTTCAAGAGAGCACATAACCATAACCACTGCGGATCAAGACAAAAATTAGACACCACCAATCCTCCAAAGTTACTCCCAACGCCCATCAGCGCTCCTTTCCCCTAGCCTTCAAAAATGCCGTTTAGTATCTCTGCCCGCTAGGTCCTCCTAGAGAATCAGGATGCTTCTCCGTTTTGCTGATAATGTACCAAGCGTGAATGACACCGGGAATCCAACCCAGGATACACAGTGCAATGTTGATGAAGAGATCAGCGGCGCAACCGCGTTTCATAGCGACGGGTAGGAAGGGGATCCATATCGCGAGGAAGTAGAGAAGAATGGTGCTCTGGTATCGAGATCAGTTATGCGTAGGTTAAAGAGGTTGAAGATGGCGAACGAACCGTGCTTGATGTCATGGTGTGGGCAGTGATGGGATCCGTATTGGTGATTCTAGGTTCCTGTGCTACTCTTTTGGAGGAGAAATTTATGTACAATGGTGGTAATAGTAGGGTTTGAGACTGTGTGGCTGTTGTCTGTGGCTGGAAACAAGAGAAAAAGTGGATGGACTTTCCCATGTTTTATGTGTTCCCTTGCTTTCCAGTAGCTGACGACGCAAGGGACCGAGTGCATGGCTCACTACTATCGTCTCGATACGTTCATTCGACGAAAAGCGCCGTAGTAACCGCAAGCCGAGACCCCATTGCCAAAGTAGGTATAATGCACGTAAGAAATTGCTAAGAACAGCAGCGAATGGAGACGCAATGCGCCACAGTGTGGCGCATGTATCAGTGGATAGGCCGTGCGCAGTGGTGTTGAGGCTGCATTAGCGGATGAGGCTCCGAGAGATGCCGTGATAACCGGAAACGCAGGTCAAGGCAGCCCTACTGTACACTACTGTTGAACCATGAACATCACGTCATCGGAGTGCCCTTGCTAGTGCGTGGGTTGAATCTATGTTCTGGTTGTTGCCGACAACGTGAGCGAAGAAGAGCGACTTTTATTACTACTAATTCTACAACTACTACTGAAACTCTGTATCGCACGTATAAAATAGCAAAGAACTTTTCCGGGTGCCATGGTAATCACGGGCTCCCTCAGTTTCGTTAATGCTAAGTTGTTACGACAGCACCGAGTTGTGATAAGAGAGTCGCGGTATGGGTGTACACAGATAATTCAGTGTGTTATTTGGTTTACATTTATACTTATGTAATCATGATGCCTGATATCAATGGCTTCATTTAGACGTTGGGAAGTCTGTATTTGTAGGTTGATATAGTACAGCCGATAGCGATAAGGCGAAGATGGGCGGTCTATACTGTAGACCCAGCGATAGTGGTGAGGATAGAGAGGCAGCTTATGGTGTACGATTAGCGAAGCCTACGCGCGTACAGATGAGGCTAGTATGGCGGTGAGAACGAGGTGCAAACTGTGAAGTCGTCAGACGGCAACATCGAAAGCCAAGGGCGGGATGACGTGTATAACGAATGGAGTTGAGGCTGAGGCTCTGCGGTGACAAGGATAACACTGGCAAGGTGACGACTGGAGACTAGAGAAAACATGATGAGCGGTGACAAGCGGTGAGGCAGTGTAACAGGGATGTATCGGCTTCGGATTGATCTATTCTGGTCGATAGCCGCGCCTTACAAACAAGGTCGCCGGAAGGGGGGATTTTGAACTATCCTAAGTGGGCGAATCGGTGTGGTGAGGGGAAGGGGTGAGGTGAGAGATACATCTCGAAACTAATGGGGCTGAGCGGGATGGGGGTGTGTATGGAACGCTAAAAATGCTGGTACTGGTAGAAAAACTTCGTGCAGACGAATCGAAGGAGATGGGCTATATAGTAATAACATAAGACATTCGGCATCATACGTGTCGCATTATCATGAGAAGGGCAGGTAGAGAGAACAAACTGGTGGAACCGGAAAAAGAAAAAGTAAATAAAACAAAAACATAACAAACAAACCAGCGTCCCCTACTTTACTGGGGTTGCGCTGCACCGTCTTTCACCATCCGCTTGCGAAAGGCTTTGGCCCTACTCGCCTCATTTTTAATTGCTTGTGCATCCAGATGACTTGCGGCAGTAAATGCTTCCACCACGGCCATGGCGCTTGCCTCTTCTTCCTCGTTGAATGTGATGAGGTCAAGGAATTGACGTAGGACAATGGACCCGAGCTTGGCTTTTGCTTGCTCGACGTAGTCGGTGTTGACGGTTTCGGCAGATGTCCGTGCGAGGACGCTCCATCCGTCGGGCTTGAGTGATGCTTGTCGGGCTAGCAGTCGCTCGCTGGAGGCTAGGAGGATGAAGGCTCTTATCACCGCTTCTTTATTTGTGATGTTGTGCTCGGGTGATACGTCGAGGACTTCTAGGAAGTCGTCCAAGGATGCGGTGCCGATGAATGTGTGGCGGTGCTTGTACTCCAAATCACGCTCTTGCTGGATAGCCGAGGTAGGCCCGCTCTTCTTTGGTAGTCTTTTCGGCGTTGATGGGTGGAGGGAGCGGGTGGTAGGGCTTTGGTGGCGGGGGTTCTCATTTTGTGCGGTGGCGGCTTTGATAGGGAGGCCGAGGGAGATCCTGCGTTGGTGGGTGTTGGCGGGGCGTTGTGGCTTGGATGTGTTGGCCTGTAGTTGCAGAAGACCGTCGTTGGTCTTGGCTCGGAGCGGAAGTGTTCGCGATGCCCTTTGCGCGCTGGCAAGTCTTGATTCAATGGTTGGTGTGGAGGGTGTTCGGAGGTGGGACGGGCGGCGCTTTGTGACTTGGACGGGTTCTTCGCCCTCGCCTTTGAGCGATGGGGACTTGGCTAGGTCATCGTAGGAGAAGTAGTCGGGTGACGGACCATCTTCCTTTATTCGATCCAGCGAGTAAAGGAGGGGTTCTTCGAAAAGGGTTGCATCTGTGGCGAGGCCCAGGGCATCGGCTGGGTCAATGGCTCGTGTGCGCGGGCTGGCGCGGGGACTGGCAAATTTGAGGCCGTTAACATCCGGCGGCATCACCCAATGCTGCACACCCTGCTGTTGTCGCATTTCTTGCTTGAGCTTGCCCTCGAGAGCGCTCTCCGTGTCGCTGGCTATTGAGAAGCGGCGGGAAGGTGATCGTGAAGGCGAGCCTGGGTGCTCCTTGGTGTCGTACCCCGCATTCCTGAGGGCGTTGAGTATGGAGCTGTCCCCGCGATCGAGGTAGAGTAGGCCTGTTCTCCACATGGTCGGATGTCGTCGATGAGGGTTCCTGCTGTGTACGAGTAGCCGACGCAACAGTCACCCTCTAAAGTCTTGTCGGACACGGACAGGGAGGCGCGTTGTGCCGCTGCTCTAGCTTTAGTACTTGTTGACAGTATGCGGGTGATCGAGCTGGCCGGCGCTAGGGCACCCGCTTCACCGCCATTTTTCTTAATCTGGCTGTGGGTTTGAAAAGTCTGTCATTACCGTGCCTCTTGACTAGACTGGGCCTAATGTATGCATCACGATGCAGCAGCTCTTTTTCACGTCCTATCTGCCAATCAGCGTCGTACTATCGTGACATTTGTGGGCGGTGATTTGCTGTAGATGCTCAAACATTCCTACACCCTGTACCTGCATCCGATCAGCAGGTTTGAGTGTAGCGTACGTACACCCTCGCATCCCGTATCATCCCGGAAACGGACGAAAGCGTCTATGATCGTATCTTGTGCGCCTGGCGTGATCGCGAAGCATTTTTGGCCGGCATGACGTGGTAGTGGAGTTCCGCGGGTTAAGCCAGCGAGGGCTCCACTCTCGCAAGGCTGAATGTCTCGAGAGCGTGGTGTGGTGGTGACAGCCGCGGGTGGCATGCACTGAGATGGGGTTGTGCCAGCGCAATGGGCATTATCGGCCGTCGGAGTGTGTTCGGACATGTTGAGGTTCAACAAAGATGGCGGGGCGGGGTAACCGCGACCCTAACATTCACGTTTGATCAACATTGTTGTTTCAAGGCGGATATCGGAGCGCAGGAGATAAGCTTGGCGTGGAAGATGAGGGAAGTCGGTGGAAGCTGCTTCAAGTCATGCGTGCAGTCGTTTGGAGGGACGAGGGTGTAGTAAAGCGGCATGTGATGTGAAGACATCAACCAAACCACACACACACACGCACACTGATACCACATGGGCTGATCATTCTGTGCACTGTACCAGATTCTTCAGCAGTATACTGTACCAACATTTGTTGGTAGTGTGTGGAGTCCAATCAATGCTGGCGGGCTTCGCGCGATAAGACGACACGACACCACACACATAAGACCTGCTCGTGGTCTAACAATAAATAAACTTCGTCTCACAAGACTCGACCCCGCAGTAACACAGTATCGGTTCGCTCGCATCTGGCCAGCAGTTCGACACCCTAGCAATTCCAAGTATGAGGATGCTGTCAGCTCGAGCGCTGCAGCGAGCCTGCACCAGCGATCAAAACACATCCATCTCCACTCGGCCGATGCAAGAATGCACTCTCCAATGCAGTATACTCCACTTCCTACGCCTTGATCGAATCGCATGCTGACGCGTGCCATGCGTGGAGCTCACTTGACCGTACGTGGAATCACGTTTGGTGACAGGTTCACCGCTCGGCCGTGCTAGAGACCAAAAGAGGAGCCGAGTCTGTTTTCGCACGCGTGACGTGTTGTTTGGGCGCGTCGAGTGGGCAACAGCTTCACTCTTTTCTTTTTCACCACGTCGCAACCACCCCAACTCATAAGCGTCAGAGGCCTGCGACTAAAGACATCTCGAGGCCGTCTGCATCAACCGACTTTGATTGCATCGTCGTTCCCCCGACGGACGAGCATGGGCGTTGGTGGCAGAGTAGTAGCCATGCAGCCTCAACGGCCCGCACCCGCTAGCGAGCCATGTTTTCTTGGCGTAAACAAACCTGGACCGCCGAGGAGCCACCTCCGCAGCAGAATTATTATGAGGTTATTGGCACGTCTTAGATACTTTGCAACCGTGTTCTCAAACCCAATTGCCCTCTGCACAAAACAAAAATTGATCAACATCCTACCCCACCTACACCGCCCCACTGCAGTTCGCTTCCATCTCGAGTCAGTGGAGCTGATGTTTTCTTGCACTGCCTCGCCCTTTCCGACCGCCCAAGACCGCCGCCGGTAGCGATTTGAACCTCACAATCTCCCCAAGCAACAATACCCATAGCATCCACTCTCGTCGCCCTCGTGGGCACATACAACCATGGACGACGGTCCTCCTCCCCCGCCGCCTCCGCATGGAGCCAATCCCAAGACCACTGAAGGTAGCCATGCACCTCCTCCCGGCCCGAGCGGCGGCCTCCCACCGGGCAACTATGACATCTTCATTATACCGCCGCATTCTTCAGGCGGCGGCTTCATATACCTCCCCAGCTTGGGCGTGCAGCAAAACAGCTTCATCGCGGGTGTGCTCAGCACCATAGCGAGCATACTGCTGTGGAAGGCTGCCGAGCCTCACGCCAAGCAATACTTCCTCATAGTCCGACATGGAGTGTCGACTGGTGGCAATGGTGTCATACTGCTGGCGGTCTTGATGTTGATTGCCGGATGGGCAGTTGGCCAGACTCAAGCTGGAGGCCGTTTCACTAGTGGTGGAGGAGGCTATGGTAATGGCCGCGGTGGAGCTGGAGCTGGCGCTGGAGCAGGTCCAAACACGCCAGGAGGAAGCTCAAGCTATCAACGTGCACCTCCACCACCTCCTCCTAATGGCGGCTTTCCCGGCAGTCCTCCACCTCATGGCGGTTGGGGTGGATACCGCCAATACGCTGGATCGCCGCCACCCCCACCACAAGACGACGAACCTTCGTTCGACGAAGAGGCTGAACGAGCCGAAGAGGAGCGGAGACAAGCCGAGGAGAAGGAGAAGAGGCGGAAAGAGAAGGAGGAGAAGAAGCGGAAAGAGGACGAAGAACGTAAGAGGAAGGAAGACGAAGAACGCGAGCGAAAAGAGAAAGAGGAACAACGCAAACGAGCCGAGGAGGCTAAGAGGAAGCAGGAAGAGGAAGAAGCTGAGCGCAAGCGGGCTGAGAAGGCGGCGAAGAAGAAGAAACAAGAAGAGGAGCTGAAGAGAAAACAAGAAGAGGAGATCGAAAGGAAGCTGAAGGAAGAGCTAAGGAAGGTTAAGGAGGCTGAGGAGGCAAAGCGAAGACAAGAAGAGGAAGAGCGCAAGCGTGCTGAAGAGGCTCAACGGCAGGCTGAAGAAGCTCGACGGCAGGCCGAAGAGGAAGCTAGACGAAAGCGTGAAGCTGAAGAGCAAAGACTTGCCGAAGAAGCCAGGAAGCAGCGAGAGGCAGAGGAACAAAGACTGGCCGAGGAAGAGAAGAAACGACAAGAAGAAGCTGAGCGACAACGAATCGCAGAAGAGGAACGCAAGGCCGAAGAAGAACGCCGCCTGGCCGAAGAGGCTCGACTCCGAGCTGAAGAGGAGAAGAGGAAGAAAGACGAGGAAGACCGTAGACGAGCATGGGAAGAACTCAAACGAGCAGAAGAAGCACGACAAAAAAAGGAGGCCGAAGAGAAGGCAAAAGCAGAGGCAGCCAAAGCAGCCAAAGCCAAAGCTGAAAAGGAGAAATGGGAACAGATGCGGAAACGCGAGCGCGAACAACGCGAACGTGAAGCACGAGAGCGCCTTGCCAAAGAGAAAGCCCGCAAGCAACAAGAAGCCCTCGAGAAGGAGAAGGCAGAGCGAGAAGCCCGTGAAGCTGAAGTCCGCGCACAAGTCGAGAAGGAGATACGCGAGAAGCTTGAAGCAGAACAACGAGCCAAAGCCGCTGAGGAAGCCGCAAAGAAGGCCGAGGCAGAAAAGATCGCTGCCGAGGAGGCTGCCGCCAAAGCAAAAGCCGAAGCAGAGGCAGCCCTTGCAAAAGCCAAAACAGATGCTGAACGCGCCGAACGCCTCAAAGCAGCCCGTGAACGCGCTCAGAAAGATCGAGAAGCGCGGGAAGCAAAACTCAAGGCGGAAGCCGAGCGTATCAAAGCTGAAGCTGCCGCCGCTGCAGCCACCGCAGCTGTCCCCGATCTCACAGCCCGACGCTCAACTACCTACGGTAACGTTGGCGGCGGCGAACGACTGGATCCGTATGCTGGTGCCAGAAGTACTCCTCCTCCTCCTCCGCCCGCCGCCTCAGTTACATCGACGCATTCCTCCCCGATCAAGGCCACTGTCACACCCAAGAAACCGTACGAACGTCCCTCCGCCAAATCATATGTGCCCAGCGAATCAGACGCCGCGTCTTTCGTTCCGCCCCGTACTTCCACCGCGCCTCCCCGCTCCACTGCAACGCGGTCGCACGTGTCTTCCGCATATTCGGAATCCGTGTCGAGTTATGCGCCCAGCCAGTCTACAACTCGCACATCGCCTCCTGCGTCCCGGAGCGGCCCGTACTCGACGGCTGACCCGAATAAAATTGTTATCAAGGCGGTTTATCTTTTTAACGACTTGTTCCCTAAGCCCGTCGCCCAACTTGTGTCCAACGTGGGTAAAGTGACTGATGGGCTTATTCTCAAAATACAATCCGAAGGTCTCTTCATCGATGATGATGTGAGGGGTATTCCACAAAGAGAATGGGACGTCAAAGCCTGGACGCTGAAGATGGTTGAGGTATGTCTTTTCTACCTTTCCTTCCCCTTTCCTTTCCATTTCTCCTTTTTGCTTTCCCCCACTCTCTCCATCTCTTTGAACTCATGACTAACAAAAACCTCTCCAGACCGGCAAACTGCCCGCCAAAAACCTACACATACTTCGTGCCTCGGTCCGTGATACCGACGGCAAGAAGTACGTCTTCCTGATTGATGAAACAGAGAGCTGGAAATTGGCTCTGGGTCTTCAGCGCTTGCGTAAGGGTAGCCAGGTGAGGAGTTTGCAGAGTGCGCAGATGGCGCCGAATGAGATGGCGAGGGTGTTGAACGCTGTGCCGCCAATTGCCCTGTAAGAGAATGTGATTGATACAAAGGGGGCGGAGAGATGGTGAGTGTTGGATATTAGATACCGTTCGCTTTAGACGTATTTTTCCATGCCTTCGTTTACGTAAAGCATCAGCGGTGGAGTATGCATATAGCACGTTACTTTCATGTATATGGGTGCCGAGTGGTATATAATTGGTTCAAGGCGCTAGATGAGTGGTTCGGTGTTTTTGGGGTATAAATAGGGAGAATTTTCAGCAAATGCACATATCCTTTCCACCCTTCCCCCCAAAGAACGCAGACCCTAGGTTAGGAGCGTGGTCTCGAGATAGGAAGGAAACAAACTCACGAAAACTATTCCTAAAAGGCCGATCGTAACCCACAACCCTCAAGCTCTTGACACCAGCAGCGAAATCAATACAGACGTCGGCGTCCAGTCAGAGAAAAGTGCAAGCGCCGCTACATTAGTCTTCGGTGAAAGTCTGAGCGTGGACTTGCCAGGTGACGTTTGCGTTGGGGTTCGCATCGCAGTTGATGTTGGTGTTGGCAACGTTGACATTAATGGAAGTAGAGATAAGGGAGGTGAGCATGGTAGCACCAAGGACGCCAGGAAAGCCGAGGATAAAGATGGATGGTGATGGGAACGAGCATTTTTGCGAGCTTGGTGAGAGGAGGACGGGAAGGGAGTGTGTTGGTCGTTGGTGGTTAGTATTGAGTACCACACACAATCTTTTGTCACCTTTATCCATACCTTTCTCAGCAACAAAGTCACTAACCACGTCGCTGCCCGTAACAGATACTTCATCGTAGGATCTTGACAAACTCCATCTCCAATCGCTGCTACGCTGGTAACACACGAATCGGATATCGTTGTCATTCCAACCAAACCGCACCTGCCTGCTATCACAACGATCGCAACTTCCAAGCGATTTGCTCCCCTTCCGGTGTCGCGACTGCCTCGAGTCACACGGAAACGTGCGCCCAGATCTCGCTTCGCTGGAAAACAACTCAGTGTATTTGCGTCATAAAACGAATTCAGCCAACATAATATCTTCTCATCCACTGCCTACAAAGTTTGCCTTTCTGACTGGTCAACTTTTCTCCAGCTTTCAAGTTTCACTCTGTCGCCTCTTATTCTCCCCAGCAGTGCAAGGTTTGTGTGGTACTCAACAGGGACCAATGCTATAGCAGCGGAATCTCTAAACATCAAGGTAATGATACACTGACAGACATAGTATGAAACCGATGGAGGCATGGAAGCATCGCATACGCTTACCGAATAGCAACACTGATCCTTAGGACATTCACAAGTCAGAGCATCTGACTCAAGACACATCGGATACATAAGCCAATCGCATCTGTTATAAACCGGGTATTATGAGTTTCCCCTAGCGATGCATCCCTCTAGCAGCAGACGGCTTCTTGGTCCATACACCATAAACGTCCCTACTCATTAACAGGCTTGGCACCCAACATCCAGCCAATGCCCGATGCAAGCGCTCCAGTCGCAGCATTAGCCACCATATCCCTCCTCCTCACACGCTCATGACCATCCATACTACCAGACTCACTTCCATCCATACTGACGCGACTCGAGGAAGGCCCAGTATGTGAGGCAGCTTGTGCGCCACCACGGAGTGGAAACGCCGTCTTTGAAAATGCCGCTGCTGCACCGCGCGCCACGTCAAAGAGGCCCATTGGCGCTTCTTCAACAGCGCCTCGGCCGACTTCGCGGCGGGGCTGCACGGTGATGGTGTCCGTGTCGAAAGCGCCAGGGAGCTTGCGATCGGCTGCGTCGTTGAAGCGTTCTTCTGCTGCGGTTTCCTGCGCTAGGAGGTGCATCATTTCTGCCTCACACTGCTGCCATACACCTAGCACTTCTTCGAGGTGGTTGGGTGGCGCGAGCAGGAGCGCTTGTGAGAGGAGCTCCATACGTTGCTCTAATCTCCTTAGATCTGGGCGTGCTGCATTGCCGGCTTGTGACCAACTGTTGGATGAAGATAGCGATGCGTCGTATCGACCGGCGCGCAGAGCAGCGCGCCAAGCGACGTCTTCTGCTTCGTCTTCGTGATCGTCGGCATCCACAGATCCGAATGAGAAGAAATTCGAAGATGTTGGTGGCGCTGGGGATGGCGTTGAGGGCGTTAGTCGGTTGACGACATATGAGTAGGCAGTCTCAAAGTCGTCTTCTTCTAGCGCAGCCTCAATAGCCATTCCGATTACTCGTCGCTCCGCGGCAGCTTTCTTCCTCTCGATCGTCGTGGCATCCATGGGTATGTTTGGTACTTCCTCGTCCATGATAGTCGATGGCATGGCGATTACCAAGTTCTGACCAATGGAAACCAGGTCATCCAACTTGGTATAGCTACCAGAGTTTTGTGATAGTAGCTTGCGTACTAAAGATAGAGGATTAGAGCTCACTCGGATGTTGACCGGCTGGAAAGGTACGCCATGTTGAAGTATGAGTGAGTAGAATGACATGGCGTGAGTGGCTGTGAGCAAGGCCTGGAACCGTTGAAATCGCGACGACGAGGAGAAGTGAGGGGCGAACGCAGTAATGGTGTCGGCAGCACGCTTCATGCCACCCCTGTTACGGTTACCGTTGCTAGCGTTATCGTAGTGGTGCATAGCTGACGCAAGCACGACCTGTTCGACATCCGAGGAAAGGAGCGGCTGCTGACCGAATGCTGGCTTGATGTACAGGTCTATTGCGAGTGCGAAGTGATTGCTCTCCAGGAGCGCTTTCAGTATCTCCGTTTCTAAGGCCTTCCGTTCTAGCAAACCAAATACACCTTGGGCTTGGCGGTCCTCATCGTGGTTATCGGTGCCCCAGTTCCATAGCCACAATAACTTAGACCGGATGGTGGCCCACTGTTCGCTGTCTTTCTTGGAGCCGCTATTCAGCGTGTGAAGTATCCTCTGCAGCAACGATAGCTGTTCCGAGTAGTCGTCCCGTAGTGACATCTTCGCGACCTCTCGAATAGATACCGGTTGCTGCAAAGTTGATAGAACACATGAGGAGAAGATGATCAGTTCAAGGACGCGGAATGCTTCAGACCCAGGTCGTGTAATGACATTGTCATTTTCCAGCAAACGATCCTCTCTCAGTAGAGCAGTTGTCGAGTCTTGTAACAGAGGATCTTTCAGGTCGTAGCAGGGTAGTTGGCCGACACCGATGCTAAGGTCTGGAGGCGGGTCATAGTTTAGCAGGGTGCATATCCGCGTCAAGAGCGAATGCGCCGTCTGTAGTGAGCTAACATCGCTCTTATCGACTAGGTAGAGACACGCGAGCGCTGTTTGTGCATATTTCATCTCCAGTCGGCGCTGTTGGTCGTCATCGATATAGTCTCGTCCTTCTTCGTAGCCACCAAGGTCCATATCCTCGGGGCCGTCCCAGTCGCAGATGGCAGCGGTAACAAGCGCCAAATGTTCCTTTGATGCATATAGCAGCCATTGGAACAGACAATCCCAATCGTCTGGTTCATGTGTTTGCTCCTGTGCAATTGATGCTCTCCGACCTTCGCGTGTAATTCGTCGTCTCTTACGATCATTCGCTCCACATAGCCATGGCGCGACTACGCCCTTCAGGTCTCGTGCTGCATTATGTGTATGGGTATCGGTTGCGCTTCGAGCGTGGGACAGTTGGTAATCAATCGCACGTCGTCCCTTGAGCGCCGCGAATTCGTCAAGCGTAGTAGCGGAAGATTGTGGGTAGTATTCGTAACTGAGGCGTAGGAGCGGGAGGACGGTCGATATGAACCATGTGCGTAGGTATTCGGAATGGCCCAGAAAGGGAACCACGAGCTGGGGGACAAGATCTAGTAGGCCTGTCTGGGCGTCGATTCGGTGGGCGCGATGTATCAGGAAGTGGGTGAACAAGTCGAGCTCGCTCTCTTCTACGTAGAGAGGATGTATTACAGGCGGCAGATCTAGCGCATGCCTTCTCTTCTTCGCCCTTGAATTGGAGAGCTGTTCGACAGATGTTATGTCTAGAGATGCAGCGGGGCTTTCACCAGGATACCGCGATCCAGTCGCCAGATCGTGCAGATATTCGTAATACGAAGACGGATCGCTCTCTTCGGGCAGATAGTTGAGGATTATGCTGAGAGTAAGCTCAAGCGGCAGATCGCCGTCTCGGAGTGCTGTCAGTGCCCGTAACGCTAGGATGTTGGATTCGGTCGCATATTGCACGGCGAGGAGCACACAATGTGGCTGCGAGAGTTGCGATAACTTCTGCAGCGCTGCCATGTCGAGGTTGGGCAGACTACAATTGCGGTTCGTGTAGGTAGACTTTCATTGTTGGACTCGAAGCTTGGAAAGGACACGCCCGCCATGCGACAATTCGCTACGTCAACTGCCAAGCCCCACTCTCGGGGGTCCGCTCACATGTCACCTGGCCAGCTTGTTTCACTATCATGACACGACAGCGGTATATTTCTAGCTTCATCCGCATCGCTCAATAGAGCTTGTCATACGAATAGCAATTATCTCTGATATCCATCATGTCGCTAATCTTCGCATCCCAATCATTGTAACCCAGCGAAAGCGGAAAGTCCAGCGTCACATTGCCGCTTCGCACGTTGTCCCAATCTTGTAGCATCGTCGGCCCTGATATGTCGCGCAGTCTTCTTCCTAGGTTCCTCGTCTGCCATGACCACCATACGCGGTCTAGATTTGCATGATGGAGCCAGAAGATGGGGTCGGCGGGCGATGCGAACGGATCGCCCATCTGGCCATAGGTGCCACCAATACCAAAGCTAGGAAGAGGGTGTTAGCATCGCTGTACAGATTTCGCAACATGGAGTACTTACTGCCCTCCAGCGTGAATCTGGCTATCTTCCCACGCCGTACCACCCTCCAGCGTTCGAGCGAACCATCCATAATCCTCCTGCGATAATACCGTCTTCACCTTGTCTTTGGCCAGATACGTAGCAGCATATTTAGGCGCCAGGTCTCGCTTCAGGCATTGATCGTTTCTTGCGAGCGATGCAAAGGGGCCTAGATGAACTGTCATGTTGATAAAAGGCCCATCTTCCACGCAACCACCTCCAGTTCGGCCTGGCACCTCGTTGTTCGAAGTGTTAACTGGAACAAGAGGACCGTTGCCGCCAAAACCGTATATCGCATCGAAGATAGGCGATTGAACGAACTTCGAGGCCGGAGTATCTAGCGTCCAGTCCCAGTACGGCTGCGCGCCGCGATATCCACACTCTTCACGCAACATCTTCTCGTAGTATGAAGTGAAGAGGCGATGCCAAGGAAGGAAGTGGCCCTTGATTGCGATCAGCATTGTCCTGAGTACAGATATGTTGTACCTACCACGAAATGTATCGACATCGTCTGGTTGATGTGCGTCGCGACAAGATCGTCATATCGGGAGAGCGCTCCTGGGGCAGCAGCAGCGGGAGTGACGGCTGGTTTTTCTAAAAGGCATTGCACCGCAGCAATGTAGTGCAGTCGTTCTGCCTTCTTGAGGGATCGCCTTCAGTTAAGCGTCAGCTTATGCATTTTCCTACGCTTCTCAAAAACGGTGGACTTGCCATTCTTTTCGTACGAGGGGATTGCGACATCTCGCAGGTTTCGCAGCTACATCGAAACACAGCGCTTGCAAGAGCAACAGCACACAGAAAGCCAGTAGCATATTCAAAACTACAATGGTATGGACCTACGCGGAGACCTTGTTCCTGAACAAAACCACCTGTGTGTAAATATTTTATAGTGCTCATGCAGCTAGGCTCCGGACACGAGCTTGTGCGACGGGTTCATTTACTTGACTCAGTCGCATCATACCAAGTAAGGATTGGGCATGCATATGGAGCCGTCTTGGCTACCTGTTTTCCCGGCGAACAGGTATAGTGCTCAAGCGAGGCTTACAGTCCCCCTTCTGGTCGTAATGCCTGGTCGTTTTATCTTCTATCGTCAAGATATTATTTTATATTTCCTTGTGCGTAGTGATTGCGCATCTTATTGCGCATTGCGTGTACCCTACTTAAGAAAAAATCTAAGCAACATAGCCTTGTTTAGGAGGCTTTGTTCCTTGCGAGGGGCGCTACTTCTGCTTATTTATTCATTAAAAAGGCCACCAGGCACTTCGACTAGGGAGGACACTGTATGGTCGCCCTCTCGGCTAACCTTGCTAACCTGCCTCAGCGCTATTGCGTGGCTGTGTCCAGCCTCAGAACCGCACACCACGAATGTTAAACGGCAGCATAGCCTAGCTCCGCATTACTAAAGGACCGGTATGTCCGTGGGCCCTCAAAAGACGCAAGACACACTGTCTTGTAATACAAATTTAGTGGACTGCTTATCTTGAAACTGAATTATGTTGGGCGGCGCAGTTTCTGGCACTGTACGATTTCTTTGCCACATACCTACCTTCTACCTAGCTATCTTCGGCACCTCGCAATATAAATACGTCAATAAACATGCTCAGATTCTGCTAGTACCTCCATACAAGAAGCACAAAATCATGACTGCGATGGGTTTCTTGGGTCCTGGGGTAAGCCTATGTAACGGGTTTCTAAGGGCTGGGATGCTGATGCCTATGCAGGCAATCGTTGTACTGATTTGGAATTTTTTCTTCTGGATACCGACAATTATGGCTACAAACGAAATGCTCTTCTACTTTGGCCTCGTGGACGCGGCTATCGTGTCGTGTTTGTCGTACGGGCTGTACATTGAATCTACCTTCGTCGGCCTCACCCGTCCGCAATGTGCTTCGGTCCATACTAATGCCACGTCCGACTCCCATCTACTATTCTTCGACCGCGCTGGAAGTATAAATGTGACGGATACTGGATTGGGCCCGTCTACGTGCCGAAGCTTTCTCGTGAACTGGTACATGGCGCTCACCATTATGTACTAAGCTTTCGATCATTCTGCTTCAAGAGCGGCACGTTAATCATTTGCAGAATTCTCTACTTCTTCTCTGCAGTCTTTAATCTCTTCGCTGGGAAGATTTCCAAGGACGACCATGGATACATGCAGACCCGGCTCAGTTCGCTCAAACAAATGTCAGGCTGGCTCGGCTTTCCATTAGTTCTTACGTGGGACTTTCTGCGAACACTCCTAGCCTTCGTCATTGGGTGGTTCCCGGACAACGTGCAAGGCCACATACGATATTCTTTGCGATCGGCTGGAAGGTGGAGTCGATATAAAACCTCTTCTACAGTGTCGAAAGCCAACGCCCTGCACATTCACCTTCCACGATATTTGCATAGGTCAAGAGCATCTGATGAGAAGATGGCCCAAATGCTACTCAAAAGCCCGCCTTATGATGTGCTGCAGCTGATCGCAGCTGAAGTACACTATGTAGATCTTGTCAACTTGAGCTTAGCGTCAAAGAAAATACGAGCTACCATGTTTCCAGGTCTAGAAGACAGTGTAGAAGACCGGGAGCTCCGATCTTACAGCTGTAGAGGTGATGAGAAGTCTACTTGCTGGACGTGCGGCGTACAAGTATGTAAGGTGAGTCAACTCCTCCCATTTGTCTACTCTACACAAGTCTCAAGCTCTCGCAGGACTGCTGGAAGGATAGAACAGTTATAGACAGCATAACATCCTCACACATGCAACTTTGCGAAGCTCGATGTTCTGAGTGCTTCCACGAGATTCTCTCCCATCATCGCAGAGAAAGACGACCATGCGATTGTTACGTCTTCGAGAGTGCGCCTGATTACCGTAACAGCCAAGTGCAACACACCTGTCAAGATTGCGACAAATTGAACGACAAGAAGCTGTGGGCGCGGAGGGAGAAAAGGGACAAGATGGTATACCGTCGGCTGACGCTGCAGTCGCTGGCATGTGGGAAGTGCAAGGAGTTGTTGCTGAAAACAGGTTCTAAGTGGTGGGTGCATACAAATTGTGGGCGCGAGTGTCGGGCGACGTGCCACCCGGAGTATATAGAGAAGGTGGAGGTGTAGGTAACAAGCGATGGTGGATGATTCATGATACTGCAATATACCTGTACAGATGTGTAAATTTCAACATGGATGATTGAACTTGTGTGATCGTTGAAATGATTCATTTAGCTTCTAGCACGCAGATTGCTCTCATGGACGATTACAATTATATCTATCTCATCGTTCCAGCCCAGTCAAAATTCAGGCTCTTGAGAAAGCGGTCCATGAATCGTATCAGAAGCTCTTGATTCCGCCAAAATCCATTGCCTCCACACATAGTTCAGCCACCTCCACCACAACCACCTCCTCCGCAACCGCCTCCGCAACCACCTCCGCCACCAGAACCTCCATCACCACCACCTCCATCGCCTGAGCTCCCACAAGCCGAAGCAGATCCACATCCTGTTGCACAATTTCCTCCAGCATTCCCACCATCCCCGCCGCTACCGCCACCGAAGCCTGCACCCATGGCTCCTCCCATTCCCGCTACAGCCAGAATACTGCTCAAACTCTGCCCTTGGTACAATCTTGGCGCAAACTCGACATCCGGAAGCTTCAATCTACCATCACGCAGCAGCTCGTACTCCGCGATTTGATCATCGAGCTTCAAGTGTGCCCAAGATGCAATGAAGTAGTGTTGATACTTGCCCTGCTCATAGTAATGACTGAATGGCTGTGCACGATGAATACCTCCAAGTTTGAGCCTGTCTAGAGCGGGATTATTCTGTTTGTGTAACCATTCTGTGCGCCGGCGAAAGTTTGGGTTTCGGGCCATGGCAATAGCGACGAGGGACAGCTTGTCTTGGGCGCAGATAGCAAGCAGCCTATTTTTCATCCAGTCCTTGTCGCTCATGGTTGTCCTCCCTTGACCAGGAGGATAGTTCCAACGGTCACGGGTCAAGTGAAGGCTGGAGATATTCCAAGAGTCAAAGGGGAAAGCCCACACATGCTTGGAAAGGTTGCAGTCTCCACAGGTGACGGGATAACGCCGGAATGCCTCGGTGCAATCCCAGCCAAACAGCTCCGAGTAGGGATATAGATGTTTTCCGAAACAGCCCCAATCATACCAGTATTCCTGGAGCGTGTCAATGATATCAGCGTCATCGTGTCGACCGAAGCGGAAGCGCAGTAGGTATTCCTCTGTAAGCCCATTCGGAACGTCAAACTTGGACTTAATGACAGGCTTATTGTATCCGGCAGGGCGGGTGACAAAACTGAGAAGATAGAGCGGGATGTTGGAAGGCGATGGCGGTGCAATGAGGGACCCGAAGGTGTTTAGAGAAATGATAGCATCGGCAAAGTTCTGGCAGTTATTGTTACTGATAGACCAAGCTAGCTTAGTAGAGGGACTAAGCAATTGTGATGTGATGCTGTCGAGGTATATCGCAAGAGGACGCTGCAGTAATTCCCGCAAGTTGCGCATGATGGGACACAAGAGTTGCTTCAGCCACTCTTTCCTTTTGTCATGTGCTAGACCGGGGTCGTCAAATGCGAATTTGCTAGCTGAAAGAAGGGAACTAATGATGCCTTCTTCGAGATCCTTGTCCAGTACTCCCGTAAATGGTGTGCCTACGACTTGCTTCATGACACATTTGTATCGTTTGAAGTTCCTTGGCCTGTCTTGACACCATAACTCACGATCGGGGTTGTCGAATAAGGCTAGAGCCCTCGATCTACGGAGAGAGTCCGCACAATGTAATACGGGAGGATTCCGGAGACTAATGACAGCCTTCTCTTCATCGCTACCAATAGTTAGTACCTGACAGCAGCGAGCAGTTTCATGAAGAATATCCAGCTCGAAGACTCCGCAGTGGTAGATATCGAAGAGTACCGCCTTGAAAGGCGTACCGCTCCAATCTGTGTCTTTAAAAAAGAAAACAGACTTACTGTTTACCACCATTTTCGATCAGGACAGGGCCAATTCGAAGCGCCATGTGCACATTTCCAAAAGGATAGCGCTCTGCAAACTCCTTCAAGAAGAAGGGGATATCTTCATCAGCTTCTGCTTCTTCAAGTGCAATCGCAGTTCCAGTGGCCGCCGTTCGGTCTGGTCCGTGTTGACTCTCCTTCTCGATAGTCTTGGGCCGGTGACCGCCTTGTTGAATTCGAACAGTCTCCGCAGGAGCCAATTTTCCTTTCTTGTCTTTACTTCCTTTAGTTATAGGTCTCGTTGTGATAGTCCGCATGCCATCGTATTTAGCCTCGGCAACCATCTCACCGAGCTTAAGGAGACCACATTCTACTTTTCCTACGCCATTCTTCCGGTGTTTGGCTTCTTTTTCGACCGGGAACAGACTCAACTTCATGCCTCGAGAATCATAGTGCGGAACTTGTTCGCACATGCAAATCTTGCGGCTCACTCGTGCGTCGATGATGTCGTTGAGTATACAGTGCTTATATGTCTTGGCAAAGCTTGATATACCCTTGAATTCTCTCAGGTAGCATTCTTCGCAAACCTGATCTTTTGTACCGGCCTCCGTTCGGCAATACATGCTTCCTCGGATGATAATGTCACAATTCGTGCAACGGCTCGGTGCCAACACTGGAATGCCCGTCTTGGAGAATCTGTCCAATTGCAATTGGGGTACAGCGGGTCTTTTCCAAAACGATAGGCGATTGAGCGGTGGCCGGTGTTCGACCATCTTCTCGATATCCAGTAGTCCCAGTGCACGCATTAGCGACCCAACACGACGCCTAAGAAGTGGCTTTTGAGCTTCGCCTTCAGCAACTATTTCGACATCTCTCCGAATCTCCTGTTTGAGCTTCACCGTCCTTGCTTCTGTAGCCTTCTCTTGGGCGTTTTGGGCCAGGGCCTCGATATAGGTTGGAGGCTTAATCTGGTAGTTTTCCTTTTTGGAAGAAGCTATATGCTCCGCGAACTGCCTGCCATCCTCGCTGACCTGGTCGATGAATGTGTCAAAACCATGAACGAAGCTGTCCCGCTCGTCGTCAAGCTCAACCTTGCTGTTTTCGGGCCGTTGCCAAGCTCGTAGAGCAAGGAGTACAGATTCCAGTTCGTGCTCAACTCCAATCCAGTAGAGGTTTTCGAGTTCCTCCAGTAGGTGGTGGTGGGCTTTGCCGATGCGCTGCCAGGTGGGGGTTTCTGCTTCGGTGCTAGCAGATGCCGGTACCGATGCGGTGACCCTGTCACTATGTCGCAGCGAGAAAAGTCTCGACAAAATAAAGGTGGACATGATAATCCCCCGTCATGAGATTAGAATACCTCAGAAAGTGAGATGTTTGTAATTCATTCAGTTTTCGTATCTAAGGTCGAGTTGAGCTGAAATGCACCCCGCCAAGGTGGCTGCCTTTCAGCCCGTCAAGACTCACCGGTTAGGCTGAAACTTGACAAGACCACGAGGCTGTGCTCGTATTCTCGCATTCTATTAGGCGACCCAATTTCAGGCGATGAACCTTCCACAACATACATTGCAGGAGTTTTACGTATTCACTTCTCGCAAATGATGGCTCACTTAACTTCGGCAACGACATCATCGCTTCACCAATGGAGCAAGCAATCCCTCGAGCATCAGGAGGCCCTGGGATTCTTCCCAAGTGCTTCTCGGCCACCAACTTTTCGAGTTGCCTTGCGCGCGGAACAAAACCCCAAGATCCCATCCCCAAGCCTCTTTCTCCTCGATGCCGCGCCCGAGATTTCTTCCAATTCGCATGCAGCTCTTCCGGCTGTAGCTGAATGTGCAGTTCACTTAGAACTTCTCCAGGTATTTCAGCATCTCTCTAACAAAATCCTGTCGTCAGGTGAACTGGACCAAGCATTGGGTATCGAGCTCAACCGACGTGTTGTCTTCCGCAACGTCAGCAAATTCAGCAGAGGATATCGCCGGTATGAGCGTCAAGAGACCAAGCTTCGGGATTTAACGTTTGATGAACGTCGGAAGACTAAATGGCCATTATTCCTTTCTTTAGCTGCTGCGCGGTTCCTGAAATGGGTCGAAGTGGTTGAAGAGCATCCAGCGGAGCCAGTCATTCTACCACCCGTCGGTATGTTGGATCGTGTTCAGATGCCGAATCCTGCTAAGTGGGAGTAGATATCCTCATGGTTTGGCATTCACTTCTATTGAATCCGAAGTGGTTCAAATCACTAAATCACAAGAACCTGTCACAGACACCATTTCCCTGGAAGGAGATTGTAAGTCAACCTTTTATACATCTCCAACTTTAGTGAGGTATTACTATGAGTACGAGAGATTCATATTATCCCTACCAATCCCTACTGCGTTGTCACATACTTTTCTTTTGTGGTATGGACAATATATCGATCGGTTATTGTCCTTTCTGCCAGCGCGACGTTTGCAGCATGTTAAGATTGTATCCCATACTTATCTTCTTAGCACCACGCCATCAACTCTGAGAAACGAGATTGGCCCATGGAGCTCCCTTCTCGCTCGCCGTTCCGTCTAAGAACAGGACTGGATCAAGACCTGCTGGAAGCCCTGACAAATATCCGGTCCGTGTCACTGAAAGAACTTCTGAAAAAACACGATACTCGCGACGAAGGAAGCTACCAAAAAGGGATCAAAAAGGCCGAGGTTGACGAGATGCTGAAGAAGAATTCCTTTCTCGATCCTTCCGAACATCTGCTGCTTGAGTGTTTACAGTGTGCGCTCTCAGACCACCCCATGATCAAGCAGCTTGTCGATGCTGTTACACGCCAGTCTGCTTTTGTGCAGAAAATGGACCGGCAGTTATGGATCCGGAGCCCGGCCGTTGAGGGGACTCTACAACGGGCCATCCAGCGCTACGAGTATTTTCTGACGCTATTCAAGATGTACCCCCGTAAGATGCTCGTCCCAACCCTGGATATCGATCTTGTTTGGCACACACACCAGTGCTCACCTGCACAGTACATGGAAGCTACTCAGAAACTAGCTGGCCGATTCATCGATCACGATGACAAACTCGGGAGTGACAAGCTTGATGCTGGTCTGGAGAATACCATCAATTTATACCGCGTCCGGTTTGCTGAAGAGTACGAGTATTGTCTCTGTTGGGACTGTGAGGCTGTGAAGTCTGCGGTTGCGAGTGAGAGTCTTGGCGAGGAACAAGACGCCCAGGCTATCGCCAAACGATTGCAATCAGTCCTTGCATACTTTCGTGCGGTAGAGATTGCGAGGAGGAAGGGAGAAACGTTGCTGCCTATACAGGACGGGAATAAGCCTTTTGCTTAGACCCACTGATGGGCTTGGTACAGTGATTAGATATCAGCTGAGTGCTAGGGGGGAGAGAACATCCCTTGCGGGTTCAGGTGGCTACGTACAAGATGTCGATCTAGCGTTTTAGAAGACGCCTTCAAGAGTCAGAGAGTTTTAGCAAACAACATATCTCATTCCAACTAGTTAGGCAATACAATAGTAACAGCTGATCATTGCTTAAGCTAGTTAAGAGGTATGCGTCGTGGGAAAAAGCTGACATAAACGTAGAATGAACGACTGTGAAGACCACGACAGCATACCTGGCAAAATGTAGTTAGAGATAGCAAGACTCGAACCTACATCTCCTTTCAGATGTGCGTACTCTCCCGTCTGCACTCTCGTAAGAGGGGCGCCTTGATCGTTTAGGCTACCTACCCGTTTAATGACTGTTACAGATAAGAATTGTCTTTAAACCCAACCATTCTGTCCGTTGAACGCTCCTTTCTCAATCTGCACAATCCTCTCCTGATACGCTACCCTCCCATGCACAGAGAGCCTACAAAACATCAATTTGGCCAAATCCTCCGGCCTCAACTTCCACGCACTGAGACTCAAATCAATGTTTCGTTGCCAGTCAGATCCATCATCGAATCGTGGAATTTCGGTTCGCAATACGACAATTGCACCAACATGTTGAAGTCCAGGAGAAGGTAATGCCCATATTGCAGTGGTAGGAGTATCGTCAACTTGCTGGTAGAGCTGTATCAATGACCGAAAATATGCTCCATCTGCTCTCGTTATGAAGTCATATTCGTTCATGATGTTAATGACGTTATCATGGGTCGTAATTCGGCTAAGAGCGTCTTCATCTTGCTGGGATAAGGCTTTTACGACTGGAGGACAGCCGAATGTGATGCAGGAGAATTTTGCATTGGGGCCTTGAAAGCGATCAGTAAACAATGGTAGTGGCGTCGAATGTAGAGATTGAACTTACACCTTACCACCAACCTAGACCGGAATGCGAGATAGAGCAGTGTGGCAGTAGCGCCGCCCGCCGAATGTCCTGTGAATAGTAACTTGGTTGACGGATTGTCGCGTAGTATTTGCTCAATTTGTTTTGAGAGAGCAGGCAGCAGTTCGAGAGCTGAGTTCAGGAATCCTGCATGTGCGGTTATTCGTATCAAATCATCTAACTGTTCGAAGTGTCAGCTCTTCTAGGATGTTGAGTCGATGCTTTCACGCACGAAAAGCTCGCATGCTTCTCTAGGCTCTCCATTTAGGTTGACGACGTGATCCAGTTTCGTAGCCGACCCCTTGACTGCAATGATTAGATAATTGGCTGGCGCAGAAGCAGCTAAAGCTTCAAGCACTGGAGTGTATGTTGTAAATGTCGTGGCCTTGACAGCACCCAGTGATGAGGCAGGAAGAGACCAGTCCACATTCAACCTGGTCCCAGCATGTTCAAAGTCTTGCTGTGGTTCTGTCCCATGATCGTAAACATTCGCAGCGCAAGCCCACGCGAGTGCCATAAGTGATGCTTCGTGCTCATCACTAAGACATGTCAATGGCAAATTCCCTTGGGAAAGTATTACCCGTACCATAGCCACAACTCCTTGGATGCGCAAAAATCCAGGGAAGAATTCTTATATTGACTAGCCCGGTCATCTAGCCGCTCAATATGTGCGTTCAACATGCCTCGGACGTCATCTGCAGGCCCATTAGCTGGGGTGATGGAGCAACTGAAGCATGTCAACATACCTGAAGCAACAATATCTTTGAATGCAGAATCCATACCTTCTAGCACTTCAGCACTAGCCTGTGAGGCACCCCCAAAATTATCGGATGCGGTGTTGCCTGACGCGGGAGCGGCGCCCGACGCTTGCAGACCAATGCCCGTGGAGCTGCGAACGGATTTGTGCGCAAAAGCGCGGGCGAAGGCCTTCATGTCAAGATCCTCCTCACGAAGGTAGGTCGAGAAAGAATATAGTCGTGTAAACTCGCCGTTTGCGAGATTCAAATGCTAGGTAGAAGCTACGGTATCAAGGCTGAATCGGAAGTGTGACATGCAAGGTGTTGCAGCTGCGTGGTGTTACGACCCGCGTCTCTCTCGCTCGATTCATCATTGGCCTGCTACAGCTACGGTGGCATGATCCAGACCGAGCCACCACCAATGTCAGCCAAGGATACGGTGTGCTTGCCTGTTCGCGCAAAGTAGCAAAGTCGAGAAGGGTGAATGATATCTGTACGTCGTTGTTTCTGTGCCCTTGATCTAATTGACGTGATTGATACCGATCTACAATGTCGCGCCTTTGCCTCCTTGTCAGCAGTTGGCCAAATTCTCATCGATACAGGATGCGAAAACGCGATACAGCTCATCGGCCTTTTGGGGTAACCGTGTTGCTGCGCAAAGTGGTAGGTTGGGAGGGCGATAGCAGGCATCCTCCTATTCCGGGCCGACTAGGCAGATCGCGCTAACTGCTGGCGCTAATGCCGTCCTCCAGCCTCAGCCCTGATCTCCATTTCTACTACATGACACACGCGTGCACGTCTGCGCGCACTCGAATCGTATGTGGAGACCACAAAACATCGCTGGACATGATAAAGTTCCGGCTCTGTGATCCGCTGTCAGGGTCAAAAGCTCAACTACCGCCCGCCGCCAATCGACCGCCAACCAAACGTGAGGCTGTCACTTTAGCGCCGTGATCCACAGCTACTCCTTTTGCTACACACGCCATTCCCGGGGTCTGATTCAACTGCCAAGCCCTGAGGGTTCTACAAGACGCATGGAACATGTGTGGCTTGCGGCTAGCAGGCTCTACAAGGTCGAAGCTGAAGATCCTGGAAAGGCTCGACGAAAGCTCTTTGGGCCCACTTGCCGATAGTCGTAAGAATACAGTTGGCGGCCCCGGTGGATACATGCGTTCTCGTCACGTTGTTACTATAGCCTTTCATGTTTCACGCCTGGTCGCCCGTGCTTCGCTAACACGGTCGCAAGCTCAAGGTATTGCCGCTATGTTGTCGTTATTATCAAACTGACCTGCTTCACATCTACATTCATCTAGCTGTTACTGTGGCGTGCCTTCTACATCCAAAGATACACATCTGCAGTCATTCTTCGTTCCCACAATTTATCTGACAGACTTGACGCTATATCAGGGGCGATAGTATCATGCTATTACGAACAACGGATCCAACTCAAGCCGCGTTCCAGGTCAGTTTTTGTGTGTGTTTGATCAAGGGTAGTTGCATACGAAGCGTCAGTGTCACAGTCAGATATACAAGGACATGTTATATGTGTATGATGCTGAGTAGCAAGGACACACCTGTTCGATGTGGACGTGAGTACATTCGTGACTGCAAGTAGTTCTCTTCATCACCACCGCGGTGCCATGCGAAGAGAACACTACATCATGGCCAAGATCTCAAGTTCGCTACCTACTAGAATGAGAGTAGATAAGAAGCGGATTGTCACGAGCTGCGACTTTCAAACTGCAAATCGTCGTGAACCACGGATTGTCGCTGACTGCGAATAAGGATACCTAAAGACCTCAGCAACCTTACTGAAGATGACACCTTATCGTCCTTGTCCTAGGTAATGGAGGCTTTGCCAGTAACGACAGTTGCGCGATGAATACTCAGGACACACGGCATAACTATTCATAGATCAATATGGTAGCCGGGAATATGTGTACAGCATCACGAAGACGAACACAAAAATCGAGCAAAATATTATCGTTCATTATCATGTAAGTGAAGAAGCTACCAGGGTATCAGTACTCAAGATGCTACTCATCCGTAAAAACGCCGCATCCGATGTGGGGGGTATACTCCATAAACCACATCTATTCCAACACGCTCATCATGTCTCACCGAGAGAATCCACAGACTCGAACCGGTTTCCGTACTTGTATATCTTGCTCAATCCCCGTATCCTGATCCCCAAAAGGATTACCATTCCGATAAGCCGGATGGATATCACTTTCCTGCAGATTCTGCATCTCAATATCCTCTGCCGGTACTTCAGTTTCCTGGACAGCGGGACCAGGACGTGGTTTGACTCCCCAGAACCTATTCTATACGGTGCTGTCCGCGGGTTTTACATGTGTCGGCTCGGGTTGTGTAACCGGCGCTGCGCCATCGAGGTTCGTAGAGGTGACACTACTACTGTCTGTAACTTTCTCGTTACGGGCGTGTGTAGACATGGGGCCGTGTGCATCAATGTGAGCTAGTGAGTGCCAAAGGAGGTAAGTGCTAAAGCCAGAAGTCAGTAAGGTTTGTAGCATCAAGTAGAAAGAGTGGTCGTACCTGACGAAAGTGAAGATCATGCCAGGCCAGAGAAACACGACACTAGCAACCGCGCGCCCATTCTTCTTGTACTCGAGTGGAGTTTCTCCGGTTTTCTTAAACATCGACAAGTATTTTTGTTGACTCTCATCATCCGTACCTGTTACATACGCACTCTTGCTCGCCACAATATATGTGTACGCCAGAGCGTCGGCAAGCGCAGCTATGCAGGCGAAGACAGAGCAAACTTTCCAAGCAATCTTGACACTTCTTGACTCTAATCGCTCAGGCCAGAAGAGATCGAAGAAGAAGGCGGCGCCGAAGATAGTGGCGACGAAGATGCCAACAAAGATGTTGTATGAGGCAATACCGACGTAGTCATTGTTGTGTACCGTGACGTTCCGGTCGAGCTTCGAGACGAACTTTTGCTGGTCGACGTAATCTGGCGAGATGTTAGCAGTTGTCTCAAGTGTGGGATGGTGGCAAGGCGCTGTTTGCCGCCACCGTGAGTATTGGAGTTATGGGAGATGTCGTACCAGACAGCGCGGCCGTCCCCAAACTCTCACTGACAACGCAGAGAATCATGGCGAGTTGATAGATGATGAACTTTGTGCGGCGGTTGTGGTACATGGTATTCCACATGTATCCGGACTTGAACTTGCCCCATTGCATCTCCTTCAGGTCGAGACCCCATATTACCGCCATCTTGACTGGATATGAATGCTAGTGATGAGACGAAAGATGGAATTCTTCAACGAAGTGTGCGCGTGGTGAGCTGACGGGAGAGAAGGATGGCAAGTGAAGCGCGGAAGGTTGGGATAGTAGACGCGTTAAGAAATGGTCAGTCGCAATGGCCACTGGGTTCTTCTCCGAAACAAAGTAATCACCGCGCAAAAATATCCAATTGATGTTTCACGGCAGTTGCATACTTAAGGGTCCTCTTTCCAGCCACCCTACTACGTCAACGAGTATGGCGCGCCTCTTCCTCCCCCATCATAGAAGAAATTAAATCTTAACCCCGTCTCCAACCTTGTCCGGTCCACAAGGGAAACAAGCACCCGCCAACTGTCGTAGTGCTAGCGTCGATCCTACGCCATCGTTGCTTTGCTGAAGCTTATCACTTCCACGCGTAGCCCTAGACCGGCGAATGACAGCACGTCGTCCGCGCGAAAGTAGTATTAATCAGCGTGCCGGCTGGGTCCGGCGAAAACATCACAATGGGAAAATTGGAAGGTGATTGGAAAATAATTGCATGAAGGGTGGTCGCGACGTCATAGAGCGGGATGCTGGCGGGGCCTTGCTTAGCGAGAATGCTTAGTGCACGGGTGGGGCGTTGGCGTCATTGCTTACTTCCGCGGGCAAAGGCTCTCTGGTCACACACGAATCCCAAATCTGTGAGTTCGATAAACATATTCGCGAGCTGGACCTCGTGTACGTCACAGCAATGACTCCTGCTCGAGTAGAGTTAGTTTTCGATGCACATGAGCCGTAAAGCGATTCAGGTATAGAACCTTATCAGATACCCTACGTGTTTGGTTTTGCGTTCTACTACGGCATGCCGGTTGTTATTCCCGTCGTTCTGAAACCAAAGAGAATCATGTACTCTCGACTTCGAATTGCTGATCCATCCATTCCTAGCCTTTCTCAGAGAGACCGCTGTCTCTTATCTTAATCCCAATCGCGCAGTCAACGACAGATACTACGCCTCCCGCTCGCCTATGCGTTCCCGACGATGGGAGTACTATTACCCTGAAATATTTTGTGGATGAGTATCCTGTTCTTCAATCCGTCCTCCAGACCCGAACTTCGAACCTGGAGAGTTTGCTCTGATTCCTCCATTGGAGTTGGGACGTCCATAATCTTGAACACCATTCGTATACTTGGTTGTGCGGTCTGAGGGAAGTTGTCCCTAAAGATCTCAACCTCAGTGGCGTGCTTGATACCCAGCTCCGCCTTGTGTTGAGTGAGCAAGAAAGCGAGTGATCCACCTAATGGAGATCCTGAACCGTGTCAGCAATCATTTCATCTAAACCCCCTAACATATCTTGTATCAATGGGCCACGGTCGACTTCTCTTCTTGTCCACTTTGAGAGCACTCAGCAGAAGCTCAGGACTACTCACTAAGTAATGCTGGGCTTTCATCATCCCACATATTGGCTGTAACGCTAGGCCAACATGGTACCTTGTTGAGCCCATGGTTTTTCAAGACAGTGTTGATGAGCGCGACAGCCGCCCCATTTTAATGTTGTATACAAGGTAGTAATTGAGTTTCTTCAGATCGGGGTTATCGCGAAGCCAGGACGCCGTCATGATGTCTACGACGCTCTTCGTCTGTCGGCTTGTAACCCATCGCTCAGTGGCTTCAACTCTAGGGCTTTGAAAGTCGTGGCCAATGATCATTTTGAGAAATCAGCATGACTTTCTGGATGTTTCGCACAATTGACTGCTGGAGGCAGTCAAGCTCAAACGAACCTTCAGGTACCTACTTCTGCCGCGATGGCTGATACCAAATCAAACATGCGCTCTGGTACAGTGATATGATTGGCCATCGACTTCGTAACACTGTTGTTCTGGCTCCAGTTCATCGCCGTCCTCGTCTTGAGCGCCTTCCTCGTAGTGTTCGATGTTGTAACAGACGTCATCCCCGCCTTGTTCTATGGATTCAGTACTGAGGCCAAAAGACTCTAGCGCGGTTCCTAGGCATAGTAAGTATATGTTACGGGCGAACTTTGACCCTGCAGACGTCTTGATGAAAAGGCTCACCGGCTACCTCCGCAGATTTAACGTACCGATCTTGTTCACATGTTCATCGCTGTCGTTGTCAGCGAAGTTGCAACGATATGTCTGTTCCCAATCGCCAATGTGCCAGCTTCAGAGTGGCAACTCGTTCATGAGCGTGACGTCAGCCCACTGGCTGCGCTCGGAAGGTGGATTTCGAGTATCCTCGAATAGCCTACCAGCGGCCTCGTCAGTAGCTTCGAGACGACAGATCAGTCTGTCTTCCTTCTCCTTAGTCGCTGCCCAGTATGCGGCGCTCGCAACCTTTCTCGGATCTCATGCGGTAGCTATGCGTACCTCGGTAGGTGAGCTAATATCGCTGCCTCGAGGTGAAGGAAGAGTAACTAAGGAAAGAAATCAGGTTGATAGTAGACTGTGAAGGCATTCACAGTAAAGAAAGCCAAACTGTCCAATGACAGTGATGGTACTTAGAGCCATATACTGCGAGATTGAAAGCGAAGTCTTCCAAATTTTGACTTGAGGCCATCGTAGCCGACAACATTTACGTGGAGCGTATTACAGCTAGGCATCTCTACCCCAGGTTATTAGGAGTACAGCCTTCGCAGCAGCCTACAGCTTATTCGCTAGCAGTATAGACGTATAACCGCACTCTATCTCAAAACGTAGCAAACTATAGTGATTAGACAAGGAAAAGAACGATGCGCCGCTTGTTGAGATAGACACTCGCTTTAGTAGATCTGGCCATTGTTTGCCTGCTTGCTCGTTAGTCATGTCTAGGAGACAATTGAATGCTCTGCCCTTTTTTTATGTATTTACTCCATGTTGCTGCCTCAGCGTTATTGATTGCATCATAGTTTGCAGTGAAGTGGATGGTGTTTAATTCTGGTGTCAAATTGAAGCTGGATTTGCGGAAAAGTAGCTCAATGAACTTACTACGTGCTAGACCTGCGAAAGCTGCAATGCTTTGGAGAATTCTCATAGCATTGGTGTCTTGATAGTGGTCAAATCATAAGTCTTCTGATTCGGCCTGTGATCCGGATTGGAATTGTAGAGCGACAGGTGAGTGCATACGACGGTCGTTTATATAAAAGGTCGATAGCGAGAGCGCCTAGTGTTCAGTGCCTTGCATGGTCGGAATACGGGAAGGTAGCGAAAGGAAAGCCTTGAGTAATGATCCATACAAAATATCAATTGGTTTCTATGTGAAGGGGACGAAAGAGACTTCCACTTCCTCCCCCTCCTCTTCTCCCCATCCATCCAGTGGAGACAAAGACACAAACGCGACCCCATACAGTGTTTGTTTGCGAAGCCTGATGTGCGATATCATTTCAGTTCACTTTCCCGCCGACTCGAAACCCGTTCACGTTATACTTGTCGCCACCGAACCAGAGAACAGACCAACAGGGTATCGAGGACTCTTCCACAAAGCCTCTGACAAGGTCTTCTCATCACCATCCACGCGACGCCCAGAAACCCCGCTTTGCATCCCTAACACGATCAACCACTACCTAGTTGACCACACGTCAAGTCACAACACCCTTACTCACACACCTACCAACAACACGAGGCTAAGTAAAACACTCGCCGCCTGAAGCACTACCACCTCAAAACATTCCACAATAGTGGTCGTCAAATCGGGTCACTCCACAACCTCATCTGCCCGCGATCCTGGTTCTCGGGATGCCGGTCGTATAAATATAACTGGTTTACTATTACCCAAAGAAAGTAAGCTTCGTTAGTCAGAGCCACAGTGTAGACTGCGCGTCATGGGGGCATATGTTTGACCATGTTGTGTGTACCAGAGTTCGCGTGCTGATTGCGCTGGAAGTCCCGAGAAGCAGGTCGCAGCCATGGTGCGTACGTGAGACGGTGCGAACGTGAGACGGTCCGTGGTCCTGTCCGTTGTACTTTGTATGGACGACCACGCGGAGCTTTACGGAATCTCTCCCATCAGTGCACCAAGCTGAGGTGAGTTATTGGTTTCGTGTTATCGCGAGAAGCCCAAAAAGTTACTGGTAGCAGTCATGCTGACTACTCCATGTCATCATGAAGTGGTAGCTCGACCAGTAATTCCGCCTTGCTAGGCGGTGGTGTGAGAATACTGAATATTGGTAACACGAAGAAACGCCATAATTGGTTCATCCCCATGTTCGAGTCGAAAAACCGAATTCCTGGTACACGCTACTGCACACATGGGAGGCGTACGAATGCAGTAGCTTTGCCGCAAAGCTGCATGCTGCAATCGGTGCATTTTGGTATGTTTGACCGGGGTAACAAGGAAAGTTGCCGACGCAGTAAGCTGCAGTAACGCATGCAGCTGCAGAACCATTAGGGCGCCACTCAGCCATGTTGCGCACGAAAGTGTTGATAGGTTTCTATACGATAGGGACAAGCTGCGATGACCCATAGACGAAGACTCACTCACAACTGTCACATCGCCAATGATAGTAAAATCCCCCTGCGCATGGGGAAGACCAGAAGACCAAGGTGAGTTGATAGAGGCCAGCAAGACATCCACTGCCACCCTCCCCACCCTCTCCCCTCCCTTCCGCCTCCCCCCGCCCACCCACGTAATATCCGGAACTAGAGTTTGACGATACTCGAAGCTTGCAGACGGCGCATTATCCTGGTGTTACGTGATGGCTGTCGACGGCGCATTAATTTTGGATGTCGGTGGAATAAGAAAGCGTATCGATAGCGGCAGCAGTCATCCGAAAGTGTATACGTGCATCGTGCATGTGGAACGGAATTGTTTGTCCAAGAAGAGCTGATGTCACCGTACTCTTCTAGCGGAACTCTGTTCTTCTAACGGCATCCGACACAAACCTGCGGAAGGTTTCTCCTTTGTACAGCATCTGTTGAATCTACTTATTAGTGCTGACTGCACACGTGGACATGTGGGCGCATGCAGAGCAGAGGAACTGGTGTTCGGCGAGCCTGCAGTCAGCCTCGGATGCTGGCATATCGAAAAGCAGCAAAATGACGCACGGCACCAGCCGTAGCGAAATTCAAGACGAGCGCACAACAGACACCGGAGGAGCGGAACGAGGTGCGAAAAGGTCTCTAGTCCCGGATCGTCGAGCGGAAATTTCTTTGGTGCGACAAGCCCATTGCGTCGCGACAAAAAGTCGTGGGGCTGGCACACGCGAATTGCTCAAGGAACACGATCGGGGGAGATGGACGCGGCCTCGGACTGGGTAGCCTAAATTGTAGTGATTTGGGCGCCAGCGCGAAGGAGATCATCAGGGACAGCGTGATGGGCTATGTAGGTGTGAAGTCATCCTTGCTGATCGCTTTGCAGTTGGCGTCCGGGGAGCTCTGGGACAAGTCCGAGATGAGGCAGGTTTGCGTGAGAGTGACCTCGTAATAAGCCAAAGCAACGTCTTGCCTGCTTGGAGATTCAAACGTAGTTCCAATGTTACACTGTAAGGACCGAATAAAGCTTCCGTGAAACGCTACGAAATGCGATGCTCGCGAGCTGGATTCCCTTATGTAGAAGGCTCCACCGGCTAATGGAACCGAATGCCCCAGCCAGTACATGTCAACATGACAGCTAGTGCGACAGTGCTTATGGAACTCTCCTTTGCAGCAGCGCAAAGCTCATGCAGCGCACAGTTGGCCTCATGGTCGGCATCAATCCGCTGGTACATCGGCGAAGCGGCTTGCGGGCACTCTTCCAGTAGTCAGGTGAAGCTCCACAGCACAGTAGAAATTCCACGTGTTGGCAGGGTTGTCGTCGTACGCGCTCATCCTTTTCGAGATGATAACCCTTGTTTCGCTTCTCATCGCTGGGACTGGCACGCAGATTGCAGTAGCGCGCTCAAAGAGGAAGTACCAAAAGCCGTTCCAGGACCCACCTTCCCAGCTCCCCGCAAGCTCTAGCTTACGATCACAATTTCGACAAAGTTTTCTGTGGAGAAATCCGTCAAACAGCTGTCAAATTGCAAGGCGGTCGTGATTGACAGCGATGCTGCTAGTAAAAAAGTCGGTGGCATATACGAACGTCATGAAAGAGAAATGACCTGGAGGAGTTCAGACCCTGTAGGTGTGACGACGCTGCAATGGTTATCTGGGTGATGGAGTGTGTGATTCACAATGGCTAGCGATAAAGTTGGAGGAGCATGGGCTGAAGATCGCGAACGCTGTTTGAATCCTCAACGCCCCTGCACTGATGGACTTGTGGACAGCGTCTGTAGCAGCCCAAAGAAGATGACGTCCCGTTGGTAGAGGCCATCGGTAGAGAGCGATCATGTCTGTACACAGTACGGTATGCGCAAATACCACTCTGGTCCAGCAGGCGGTGTCGCGTGGCTTTCGGCATGTCTCTGCGTGAGGCTAGGTGGATAAGGACGGGATGCCCTTGTAGCTCGTCTCAGCCTAATTGTGAAGCAGCCTACCCCTGCCAATACTTCGCCAGGGCGAATCAGGGTTGGTGCTGCTTGCGAATTATATTATTGGACTGGCATAACGGCTGCATTCTGGCAAATGTGTTTACGATGCGTGACGGGCTGTAATACGGAGCAATCCCAAAACAAGAAATCGCAATATCATTGTCAGTTCCGTGTCAGAAGCAAGTCGTCATTGCGACGGCTGGCCTCCGAGGTTGAGTAAGAGGCTGCGTCAATGAGGCTTTAGGCAAAGACAGGTCGATTTTTCCCAGAAGGAAGCGATTGTGCGTGAAACCTTGCTGGGTCATGATCCCGGGACGTCGAACGCATGCAGCAGCATCCGTGTGCTTGGAGGCGCGGAAGGCTTGCAGCGATCCGCGAATGCGACGTGTCTGAAGAACGACCGGCGGCCAAATTTCTTAGTCGTGAAAGACGTGCGCATTTTGTGTCAGCCTGTCTGCGATGATCAGGGACAGCCTTGAATGATTGCGACTCAGTGCATGCAAGACGGCCTTCGAGAGGCTTTCCAGAACAAACCGCAGGCGAGATTTTCAAGCCGCCGGGCCCACTCACCGCAAGCCGGACAACGCTCTCATTACGGCAACTGGCGATTTTGCTTTGGCAGAATGCTACGCGTTATTCAGGTGGCGGGATAGAGGATGGGATGAGGGTGTAGTGTTGGCAGGGTCGTTGCGGTCGCGAGGGTTGGCTGGGTGAGGTAGGAGCGACCCTTCAATGGGCAGTCATGCCCACGTGGCGCGAGCCAAAACCGATACCCAGATTCCCGTCACAAGCAACGACGAGTAAGCAAGTGCGACAAAAACACAAAGGCGGTTCATGACACTGCAAAAGCAAGCTGCTATGAACAGGTGCTGTCAAACATGAGCCGCCACGGTGAAGAACAACTCCACTGCGATCCCGACGACCAGTTACCCGGTTGGCTGGGAGCCATGGAGGACAGACAGGGCTGCAAGAGAGGTGATTCAGCATAGGCAGTGGACCGGCCGGGGAAGGACACCCGGAATGTCTGTGTGGCGTCTTTGAACCTTCTCTTCTTGCTTCTGGCGCAGTCCAACAAACGCGACGCGGCACGCACGAGTCGACGCCGCCGGTCAAAGCAGCGAGACGGGAGCGCTGACGCTGTCTCATCTAAGCCGCCGCCTTGTCTGGAAGCGCGCGGTGACGGTAACGGGAGCGGCGATAGGGTAGCAAGAGAGGACGGGTGAGATGGATAATGCGCCTTCACCTTCTCATGGTACGGCAAAAAAGGGTTACCAATATCGCCCATCTCAACCGAAGCACGTCTAGCTGTCACACCCTTTGCATTTGGCACCCCAGTGAAGCCACGCCAACGGCTCTCTCTAGCACCACGCTAGAAGGCGTACCTGCAGGCACTATTCAAGGGGGATAACCGGCTTGGTGGTACCAGTGCGCAGATCCCCTGGCTCCTGATGATGGCAAGGGAGCCTACCTTGAAACAGGCCGAAAGACCCGTCGCTCCCGATGCGCAATGTTGTCAGGGCTTTTGCTCTGAAAAGCACTGTCTCTCATTTCATTTGTCTCGCCGACAGCCAAGGCCACCTTTGGCAAGTCAGTTAACAGGCCCCCTTATTCTAGCTGGGAATATAGAAGCTTCAGGACCGCCCTTCGTTTAATCTCATCAGCTCTCACTCTTTCAAACTATCCACACTCATTCTACTACCGACCGTCCCCACTCCCAGTCGCTGCTAGACAGTCAACACGGGAACACGACACTATCTAATAAAGCCTGCTCCCGCGTCCTCGCCGCTCTTTGTATCCCCTTTAAACGAAAGCGTGCCGACCTTCCACACTCATTCTCGTCTTCTTCCAAATAGCACAGGCCAGGTGTTCAGCCGGCGTCTCACATGCTTCAGAGCTCAATCGGTAAGTCTTGCATTCAGCGCCGTCTATATTTGACCTTGTTGTGTAACATTGTGCTGACTTTATAAACCAGACCACACACTCATCAACAACATGATCTTCAGAGAGTTGGAATCCAACAACATGGGACGTGGTGCCTACGACACCACCGGCACACCCAAGCCTCCTCCACCACCGCCCAAATAAGTTGCGTCGCTACTTCTCGACGGAGCGTTGCCTTTGACCGCTTGTCTCGCCATTGCGTTTTCTCTCTCTCTTCGCAATGTCATCGCCTTCAACGTGGCAAGCTAGTTGTTCCGTTGGGACTAGAGGGATGCCATCCCGCACCTTGTAAGTCACGGCCACCTCACTCTGCATGTACACATCAACTAACCAACGCATCAGTCCCACTCTGCATCCATGTTTCATCGCAACCGCTACAGGCGCAATTTATTCGGTTTTACGGCGCATCTTCTTCCACGGAGCCATCTTGGGATTACCGCCTTTTAATCATCACCGACCATTTTCGATTCTTCAGCGACCTAATACCCTTGCGACTTGGGGCTTCCATCCGGCGTTATCTAGCGAGTCTCACCATCGCACAGCCCTGCTCACCTCCTTGCGTCACACGTTCAGCGACATTCCCTTACGGCAAAAAGTTCTTCTTCATTCGGCGTTCACTATAGACTCGGTTGGGCCCAGGCATAGATACCAAAAAGGACCTTCATTTTCTTTCTTTCGGACAGCGTACCAGGGTAGATTATCGTGCCGGCCTTCATCAGCATCAACGGCACGAATTGTATAGTACTATAGCGCGTTGGAGTGGTCGAATCGGCGACCACGACTCAACGATTTTGTTTTCTTTAGACGGCTCCTCATGAACGGTATGCATGGGCCGCTCTCCCCATAGCTTTGGATATTAGACTGAGCGCCTTGGCCTTTGTACTTGTGTCTCGCGACTCAACTGGCTATAGTTTAGACTAATTAAACATCTACTCTTATCAAGTTCCCAATTGTGACACCATATTGTGTGTGCTGCGATGCATCGCTTCCATTGCATTGGTAAATCCTCGTGGCACACGTGGCGGTGCAGATCTTCGACACGGGCATATGGATTGGCTTCCGCAATGGCAACGATCCGCCTCCAAGCCGTATCGAGCGTCGACCATTGCTTGTGCTACATGGTGGATGTTTTGCCAGACGCTGCGGGCGCTTCAATGGGTAACTGCGAAGCTTGGCGGCAGAGTGGAGACGTGACATGGCACTGCACCCCACGAATGCGGCGCGCCGAATTGCAACCTCACCACAGCTCCACCACCTCCAAGCCTCTTTCAAGCTAAACAATCCCACGAACCCGAAGCAACACATCACCCAGCATGGCCAACATCAACTGGCGGACAATCAACATTGACGCCTTGGATCCCGACAGCCCCGCCAACTTCGACCTAAGCTCCCTCGCGCCCGCCGTTGAGCCCGTATCCACGGCCGATGTCCAGAACAACGCCCAGCAAATACGGCAGCTTCTACGCGGTGGAGACAATGAGGGAGCTCTTCAGGCAGCATTAGAGAAGCCGCCATACGGCGCCGACGACAAGGGAAAGGTACGTTGCGCCTCAAGCATAGCTCCAGAGACATGGCGACCCAAGCCTCTGAACCGGGAGCTTCATATCTTTCCAGATATGGACGACTCTGGTCACCGCCACAACCGCGTCTCTGGACTGGGGCTACCGACGACCAGGTTGGCGACATTACACAATACACCACCACAACCCAAGACCACAAGCTGACAAGCTCGGCTACTACAGGAAGCTCACCTTGCGGCCGTCATCGAGATCCTACAATCCATACGCCAGTCAGACATGTCACCAATGCTGAGCCGGATATACGGTGCACCAGGTGGAACAGAGACATTGGACGTCCTGATGAAGTACATGTACGTCCGCCGTCTCCTTTGCGTCCTCTGCTGTGTACGCCCTCGTTGGGCTCACCGCCAAACAAGTCCACAGTCGCACATTCACGGCCTCAAACTAACGAATGTAATTGCAGTTACAAAGGCATGGCCCAGGCTACACCAGCAAGCACCAAACGCGACATCACCCCCCAACCAACCGGCTTCTCGCAAGTCCATACCCGTGGCGGCGGCGAAGGTGGCGGCCAAGCAATGAGCGTGCTCCTCAGCTGGCACGAGAAGGTACGACCCCACGCTCTTTCCTTACTCCTTGTTATTTGGAACACTCTGCGAACGCGAGTGACATGCCCTCACTCCGCCACAATATTGCACATATCAACCCATCGTTTCTCGTCGCCGTCACTAACACGCCATCAGCTTGTGGAGATAGCGGGCCCAGGCTCCATCTCTAGGGTCATGAGCGATCGCCGTACCGTTTGAACATTTGCATTGTGGCCACCGCAATTCGCAGAAACCATGACGGAGGGCGTCTTTTTGAAATGAAAACACTTGACTGGGCTGGTTAATCGCTAGCTCCCATCACTCTTCGATAGCATTCAATCGATACTGTGGGAGGCGCAGTAGCTACTACTACTGCCCAACGCCAAAAGCAGAACCCGAACAAATCAACACATGGCGCATTCTCTTCCCGTCCTTCCTACCCAACTCTGAACCCAAATTTCACAGTACCCCAAATTTCAGACGGGCATAGTTCCAAGGCGGCATAAGATTGAATACTTACGCAACCATCGCACGCTACCCCGTCCTACCCCATCCTACCTCCTACTTCGCTCTCACAATTTTTCTCGTTCGCTTTCCTATGACGCCGCAACCCATGTGCCTTGCACAACTAACCGTGCACTTTTCTACCGGCCTTGCAGAACACCCTTCTTCAGCCCTACTTATGTTCCTCGTCACAACGGAATACTCATTTCGCGGACACGGGAACGCTTTCACGCTAGGAGCTTCGCGTGGAAGCTAAGCCGTGGTCGATAAGTCAGTTGCCGCTTTAATGAAAGCTACCTGTACTAGCGCTTCAGCCCAAGGGACCACGCTAAAGTCACTTTCCGGATGGGGAAAGTCCTTGGACAATGGTAGCGCTAAGCCGTGTACAGACAGCCGTTGGGTGATGAAACACGGGTTCCAAGGTTTCGTGCGATGATCTCAATGATTAGATTATTGACAAGTTCAAACTTTACAGGTGGAATTATTCGAAACAACCGGAGCTTTGAGTGAGCGAGATATAGAAAAATAAAAAAAGGTCTGTTCCATCTTTCATCGATAGTCGGGATGAAGCTTGCGCAACGTTGTAGTAAGATTGGCAGCAAAGAAGGCGCGCATGTTTCGTCGCTGCTGGACCCTTTCGAGCCTGGTTTGTTTGATGTGCGAACGTGTTTCTAGAAGGGAAAGGGTGTTCGGTGTTTACGTGCGTAGGGCTGCAACACGACTTTCCCAGCCAACGCCTGTCCCTCCCCCCTTCCCTTCCCTCAGTACAAGACCAACGCACACACGACATCAATTTTGTTCTGAGCGGTCGTTCACGGGGGACAGATCCGCTTACACAATCTTACGCTGTCGCAAGCAAGCAAGCAAAGTTCAGCAATCGGCACGCATGCTACCTCGGCACATCACCGGCATGACGATCGGGGGAAGCGTTGGCGGAGCGTCTCACATGATCGGCCGTGCAACGCCTTGAGCATCGGAACCTGGGACATGATGCTTCATCGTCTCTGTCCTCCCACGTGGAAGCCTGCAAAGATGCGACGACGACAGCTCCGACCGGAAGAAGCCTGGGGCACATGTCATACCTTACTGTTACTGGATATGACATGCAGACTGCGCGCCTACCTCCGTTGCTTGTTTGGGACGGTACTTGGGGGAAGAGAGAGGGTTATGGCATGTCGACGTGGTTTCATGTTGCGAGTCGGCGGGTTCCGGCATGTTATGCTGAGGCGGATCCGCTACTGTCTGTATGAGAGGTCCCCGAGGTCCCCTTTTGCGTTCTCGGCATCGTGCTTTGTTCTTTCTCTTTGTCGATAAGCCGGAGAGTGGGGACGTCATGGTCGGTTTTCTTGGGGTGTATGTAGTAAGACTTGATGACAATGTCTAGCCATTGCCTCGAGGTGATTGGTTGTTGTGAGAAGAATCTTTTGCTAGGACGAGGAAAAGGGAGCGTGGATGTTGGGTTGCAGTGTCTCTCTCGTCTTATGGCAGTTTATGGATCTAGATGGTGATGTATCTCATTCTCCCGTGTACTCACTGAGCATCTCGCGATGGCCAGACACTCAGCTTGTACATGTGTGCCTGTAAACTCCCATGACGTTGCTTGCATTTCCTTCCTTCCCTTCCTTACCAATATTCCCTGCTTTGACGAGCCAGAGTCCCTCACCACCCTGGGCTAGATGTGTGACGTCTTCTTTCTTTCTCCGCTTCAACACCTCAAGTCTATCTTTGCGAGAATCTACGTCATACGGGCTTTACATAAGGTCTAGAACAAACCTACATGTCTCTACAACTAAATTGTCTTTTTCGCTTTTTCACTTCAGATCTCATTTATCCGAGGCTTCTGCGTCATCGTGGCCTGAGATCCCACAGTATGTTTCTTTTTCTTATCCCCGTATTATGCTTATCTCTCTAGAGTTAGCATTTGGTGGCTTGACAAGGATCCTTCTCCTTGGTATCATTTCTTATCTATGCAAGATTCGGCGTTCATCATCGTGGCTTGGAAACTCCCGCAGGGTCTCTTTCCTTTTCCTTTGCTTTTTCCGAATAAGGAGGTGTGGGAATAGCTATGGTGTAGCGAGGTGGGTTTCGGAATTGTTCCTGTGGGTGTGCATTGTTCCGTCGTTCCGACAAAAGCAACGGTACAAATGGAGATGAGTGGTAGGTTTGAGGAATAGGCGTATCGAGGGAGAGGTGGGTAAGTATACACATTCAGAGACCATTTTTGACTTTTGACTGGCCCGGCTCTGTGGTAGTGGATTGCCTTCTTCATTCATGTACAAAACCTGGTTGCGTATTAGTCGTTCCGGTCATTCCTACGATACCGCTTCAAGACGCAACTATCTATTATTATTTGCTCCACGTCACTCTACCACACACCACACATCACTAACCCAACAGCCTGTCCTATCAGCTCAACCCTCGCCTTCTCCCCTCTCCAACACGAAGCTGAACTCGGCGACAAGCGTATCTCCGACATCACCATTTTTCGCGATCACAAAGAGGATCCGATGCTTCAAGCGGACATACAGTTGCATTTCCGTGTTGAATATGTTGCGGCCGGCGATCTGCTTCATGAGGACTTTGAAATGATTGATGCAGATGTAGATGCAGATGTAAGTATAGAGGTAGTTGAGCGGCAAGGGGCTAAGAGGAGGGATAGTGTGACCGAGGGTGTGTTGGATCTAATGAGGAATGTGAGCAGATTACATAAGGTGAGTGCAGGTAAGTTGGGGGAGAGGGTGGTATCTAGTCATGGGCATGAGCAAGTTTGATGAGTTGCTACAGCGTAATCAAGAGCGCGATGAAGCCTTGCAATCGATTTCGACTTGTTATCATCGACGACGATAGTGCGTAGGCTTAAGAGCGCGAAGCAGTCATACGTCATGCGTGAGGTGATGGTTGGTTTGCAGTGCAACGTTTCTGCTTCGCAGTTCGTTCACGCTATTGCTTGACAGCAAGAAGCACAACTTCCACAGGTAACGCAATTTGTTACAGCAAGCAGGCCTGTACAACCGGAGCTGAGTGTGTCTTTCGACTCATCCTTCGACAAAGTTTGACTAGTTGCAACAGCCGAAAGGTATAGACTCGGGTCTTATCTCTACTACGCGTCAAGACCGAGTTCGTTTCTCTTTACTCTGGGTACTTCTAAATTCACCACTCGCCTCGTTCTTCTCTCTATCTATCATCGAATTCACTTATAATGTCACTATTGAGGACACGGTGCCAGTCATCACCAAAGTGCTAGTAGATTACAGACACACTGAAGGCGTTCCTGCTTGGCTAGGCGTACAATTGCATGTGCCGAGCGAGGATGCGCCGATACTTTTAGGCTCGCCTATCGGTACAATCGTAGCCTTCTTCCTCGTCCAGCACAAGAGAAACTTGGGTTGAAACACGTGTCTTCCGTCGCCATGTTTATGTATTGTCCGGGAATACGGAGATGCTGGATAAGGGTGCAACAGGAGGAGCTACGTGAAGAAGTGCCAAGAGGAAGGATAGCATGCTAAACTTAGACCTGAGACGGAATGTCAGCAGGGTGCATGAGATGAGCGTGGATGGAAGGGATGAGACTGTGGTGCACAGCGATGAGTTCAAGAGAGAGTTGTAATTGTGACGTGCCCTTCTTGACTTTTGGGCACCGTTTTCATGGCTCTTTTACTTCTTGTTCTAGTCTCGTCTTCGGTAGATAACTGCATGTCGTTGCATCAATCAAGCCGGTTGAATCAGACGGGTGTGACGGGTCGTAGACATTAGACTGTGTGAGCTTGACACTTTTCTATGTCTACACCATATTTTGGTTAACTTTCTCCTCTCCCTTTAGCCATTCCTCTCTGTCTCTCCCCCCTTGTTCACATTCACCTACTCTACATAAAACACCTCCTCGGTCTGACCCCACCACCCCGGTCCCTTCGCGCTTCCTTGAGCACCGGGCACAGGACTCTCCTGCATGCCATCCGTCATAGCCCACCACTCTTGAACTTTTTATTCGCCGCCATACGCGCCATATCCTCATCAAAGGCGTTTCCGACGTATTTGAACGAAGCGAAAAGCGTGGGTCGCGGGGAGAGGGAGAGGAAAATTGAGTCTGTTGACGAAAAGAAAAAAAAAAGGTTAGTAGGTGAATTGTGTGAGAGGGTTGTGGCGCGGGTAGCAAGGTAGAAAGGTACACGGCCAAAAAGAGAAGCACGTAACATACAATCCCTAACATTACTATCCTTGATCTGTTCCAGTACCTCTGGCCAAACTGCCGCATGGCACTTCTTGTACTCGTCGATACACTCCGGTCTAAGGTAGAGCCATTGTCCAATACGCCGGGGCCCTTGGTTGTTCGTTGACGCCATCTCTTTTTCTACTTTTCTTCTAATCTGTTCTTCGTTCGCGAGACTGTATGTGCGTGAGCTAGGTGTATTTATAAAGCTCTGTTGTGCTGTTTAGGAAGGGAAAATCTTGGGTATTGGTATGGCGGGGGAGCTTTGTATAGCTTTGGAGGGGTTGTTATTTGGAGCTTGGTTCGGATGGCGATGTGCCGAGAGACATAGCTTGAGTGGAGCTTCTGCGGAATGGTGATGAACCGAGGGGCAGGGAAAACTACCTCTTCGCATCAAGTTCACTATACCATACTGAACACCGACTATAAAGAGGAGATATTCTTGCATTGGTTTCGAGTACATTTAGTCATTCGTCGTTCGCGTTCCGTCCACCACACCATATTCCTTATTTGTTTACGCACTTCCGGCCAAACCGCCGCATGGCATTTTTCACACTTGTCGATGTATTCGGGTCGGAGGTAGAGCCATTGTCCTGAGGTGTATATGTTGGTGGTGCCTCATATACAGCAGTCCCTTCATCGGAATTCTTACCGATATGGCGGGAACCCTGATAGTCTTTCCCCGTCTCCTCGACCTTACCAACCTCTTTGTTCTTTGCAACCTCCCCGTCGTGATCTATCGATGCCATCTCCTTCTCCAACGTACCCTTCTCAATTTTGCCCTCTGCTTCCAACTTCCTTATAACGTTCCTCCTAAGCTGTTCTTGGTTGGCGAGGCCGGCGGCAAGTGCTTCCGTTCCACCGAAATACTCAGACATTGTTGTGTTGCTGTCGTCGTCGTCGTCGTCGTTGTTGTTGTGGTTGTTGTTTGGTAAGGAAAATTGTTTGTATCTTTTTAGATGGGCGGGTTGGCATAGCTATAGCTTCGAAGGGGTCGTTATTTACAGCCTGGTTCGGATAGCATGTGCCGAGATCTTCGGTTTGCATCGAGGCGGTGCAACCTCGTGTGGATCTTGTCCGTGGGATGAGGAACCGTGGGGTAGGTTGTGTAGGTCGCCTGAAGGTCGCCACCACCACAGCATTTCCAAGAAGGTTATAGGGTTAAGAATGCGGCGATTGTCTCCAAATCTCCTAGACCCGCTTGCGAATCTTACAGAATTCTGTGTTCGTTGTAGAGTACGCTGCTCACCAAGCGTAAGTTTCACGTGTCAGCACCATCCATTATACCGCAACAAACACCATCTATAAAGAGGAGATATTCTTGCATTGGTATTGAGTACAAACATCTAGTCATTGGTCGTCCAAATTTCTCCTTCCACCTTATTTGCCAGTCCATATACATCCGACGTAACTTTTGTCCTTACCAGCCGCCCTAGTTTACCTCATAGTGTAGCAGGGAAGAGTTTTGTGTCGTCAACATGTCGTGAATACATTTTGTCTCACCACCATCCCGAAAACTCCAAAGATGCAAGCCATGCCAAAAACCCAAAGAGAAAAAGTGCATCAGGTCCGTGAAAGCAGCCGAAGCATGTCGCGCAAACAGCTCAAGTATGATACAGGTCATCCGCGCAGACTACAGCAGAACTTTTGGCGTAGCAGCTTGTTTGCAACAACAAAATGCAGAAATAGCGCAGCATCTACCTCTTCCTAGGGTTCGTCTGTGTCTTCTTCTTGGTTGGTGCCTTCTGCGAGTCTCCCTCGATATACTTGAGCAAATCCTCAATCTTGCGCTGGTCAACACGACCGCCTCCGGTGCGCTGACTACCAGCGGCGGCGGCGGCGTCACTGGCTGAAGGTGTCGCGGCAGCCGGTCGAAGTGGGTTACGGCCGGGAAGCTGCATGCGGCGAATGCGTGTCTTAGCGAGATCGTTGAGCTGCTTGGCTTGAGAGACAGCGCTGTGGGTGAGCTGTTCAAGCCAGCTCTCTGCTTCTTTGGTGTTGCGGTCCTCGGCACCGAGAACCTCCTTGAAGATGTTGTAAGACTCGCGCATACGGTTGACACCACCGCGCATGTCCTTGTCGAGAGCAAGAGCTTGGGCGGTCTGGAATAGCAAGGTAGCCGTGTTGATCGAGTTCTTGCCACAGACGTCCTCGCAGACGGCAAGGGATGCCTCAAACCAGAGTCGGGACTCGTGGTACATCTTGGCGGCTTGCAGCATGACAGCGGCGTTGTTGAGAGTCGTGATGGAGTCGGGGTGATCAGGTCCGTAGATGATCTTCCAAAGCTCAAGCGCGTGACGCACGTAGATCAGAGCAGCTGTGGTATTACCCGAGCCATGCTCGAACAGACCGACGTTGAGGTAGGCAAGCACAGTATCAGCATGGTCGACACCCAGAGTGCGCTCTGACACGATGATAGCCTTGTGTGCAAGCTCAAGAGCCGAGACCTTGTCGTCAAGGCTGTAAAGCAGGTTGGACAGGGTGTGGTAGGCCTTGGCTACCTCGGGGTGCAGAACACCGTAGATCTGCTCGTGTAGCTGGAGAGACTCCAGAAGCAGTTCCTGTCCAAGCTCCTTCTGGTCTTGGGCAATGGACATGCGACCAGCCTCAAGTGCCTCCTCAGCCAACAAGCTCTTTGGCGAAGCTTCCTTGATAACGGGTACGATGTTCAAGATATCGTCCGCATGGAAGGTCTGGGGAGGAAGAGCTACAGTAGGACTAGCTGTGCGTACTGGCGGGGTGGTCTTGTTCTTCTTCTTCTTGCTAGAAGATGTGGAGTGGCCGTTTGTTTGTGGCGCAGCGGGCTTCTCAGCCGGGGCGCTTGCCTCAAATGCCTCCTTGGTGAAGGCGTACGGCTTGCACTCCAACTGGAGACCAAGCTTGAGCGAGACCTCACGGAGCATTTGCAGCTCCTTGCCGGACTCGATCCACGACCCACCCAGGCTCTCCATGTTGTAGCGGTATCGCAGGGCAACCTGGGCGAGGACCTCCTTCTTCAGAGTCTCCGGTGTGAGCTTCTCAAAGCTGAAATCATCCTCAGGGTACATCTTCTTGAGGTTGTTGTCGCACTCAGCTACAGGCTTAGCGTTAACTTCAGCGCCGAGCAAGCAGTTGAGGAGATGAGCAGCAGCAGGTGCTGCGAAGGGTGCAGACACGTTTCGCAGCTTAGAGTTGGCAAAATGCTTGAAACCACGTGCAATCATCTCCTGAATGATCAGACGCTTCAAAGCCTGGAGCCTTGGGTCGGGCTTGTCAGCCAGTTCCGCGAGCTTTCCGAGGTAGCGGATGTTTACACCCCGCTTGTGCAGCAGGTTGCTCAACGACTGGCCGTCCATTGGGAATCCGACTTCGCCCTCCTTCAGTTCCTGGATCATACGCGGGATGACCTCTGATGTGAGATGCTCGCAAGCAGCGCGGACCTCAGCCTCGTCCTGAGCCCACTCCTTCTTGTCCTCCTCTGATTGCGGGTTCTGGCCAGAGAAGACATCAGGGTTGAGCGCAAACGAGAAACCGGAAATGTCGACGCGTTCCTGCTCTGGGTCTTCGGCATCGGGCTTCTTCTCGGCATCTTTCTTTGCAACCTTGGCAGCCTTCTCTGCGGCCTTCTTCTCAGCCTTGGTGAGCTTCTTGGCCTTGGGTGTCTTCTCCTCTTCTTCATCAGAGTCCTCCTCTTCCGAAGAAGATTCCTCTTCCGAAGACTCCTCCTCGTCAGATTCCTCCTCTGATGAGCTCTCTTCGGCCTTGGTCTCCTTCGCAGGGGTTTCGTCTTTCTTTGTCGTCTTCTTAGCCATCTCGTTCTTGACGTACTCGCGCAGCTTGAGCCTGCCGTAGGACTCTACAAGCTCGGGACGGAGCGTTGTCATACGGTGGGGGTAGTCCTTGTCCGTCGGCTTCGATTCATTGTCCTTGCTAGGCTCAGTCCAGTGCGCCTCGATCCAGGCAACATCGAGCGGTGTAAGGCGGTAGAGGTCCAAAGCGTACCGCCTACCGTCTGTGCCGATCAAACCCTTAGTCTCAACACTTCCCTCAAGCTCGTGACGGACATTGTCCTTGTCCCAAACAGGGTGCTTCTTGACGCGCAGCGCCTTGGAAAGCTGCTCAAACAGCGGGACGAATGACTTGTCATCGGCAACGATCTCCTTGCCCTCGACCGCACCGTAATCGATTTGGTGCTCTCCAGGGTCACGCTGCTTGAAGATTCCAGGTACTATGCTCTGACCAACAATGCGCTTTCCTTGGTAGTCTACAACGACGGTTCCAGAGGTGAAGAGGTTCTGGATGTCGAGGTTGTTCACTGCGCGGACACCGAATACGTCCTTGCCAACAGCTACGCGTGCAGCCTCGTCGCCACCCTCGGCGCCGAATGTGCCAACGCCATCAGCGCCAAACGAGTAGAAGATGTTGTTGTACACGAAGATCTGCGCATCCTTGGCCTCAGTAGGGTTGAGAGGCGCGATTTCGCCACGTGCTACCAACATGGCACCGCGGGTTGCAGCGTCGTTGTAGTCGGCGAAAAGCTTCGAGGTAAGGCGCTCACGGAACACACGGTCGTGGACAGCCTCCTTTGGCATCTCCCTCGTCGACTGGAACTCCTCATTCCAGTCACGAAGGGTCTCGGTGTTCTCAACACCCGAGATCAGATAGCTCTCCTGTGTCCGCGCGAGATCTGGCTGATGTGGGGTGAGGGACGAGGTGGGTGCAGGTACTAACCAGGGGTTGGCAGGAATGGCGTTGGAGAGCTGGAAGATGGTAAGCAATTCCTTCTTCGCATTGTGCTCGAGTAGTTCCTGGAACGAAGAGCGGAAAGATGGCGACAGCTCCTCAAGTAGGGTAAGAAGCGAGTGTGCCTGCTTGTCCTTTGGTGGCTGTCGCGGGAACGGGTCGAAACTGGCATTCGACGACTTGTTGACGTAGAAACCAGAGACGTGGGCTGTGATGTGATGTTGCTCGTTCTCGTTAGTGGTGACTACCAGGTACAGCAGGTGGCCCTTGGATCGGAGGTGGTATGGCGGGGGGTTCCAAGGCGATACGGCAATGGATTTGATCGTCTTGGGTGCGGCCTCCTCAGTAGGAGGCAGCAGGTTCTTGATAGCGCCCGATGCCTTGAAGTCGTAGTCGGCCAATGGAGACTGTTCCGGACCATCTGCCTTCGGCTTCGAGGCCTGCTCGTGTCCCACAGTGTCGTGCAGTGACAGTCCAGCCATGATGCCGTGCAGCGCATCGGTTCGGTCACCGGCAGCGCCGATGAGCTCCCGGACACGAACAACATGTAACCGCGCCTCCTTCTCTGTGTATGGGTCCTCGACCAGAGTCAGTACCGAATCGGCCTTTAGTCCCTGGACTTCAGAGAGTTCGACGTAATCGTTGATTCGCTGGCCCTCGTGCTCTAGGTGAAAGCACGAGTACTGGAAGGTGTGAGGCGTCTCGATGATGTTCTGACGGAGGTCTTGCACCTGCTCGGCCGTCGAGATCTGGCAGCCATGAGTTTTTTATTCTCTGCATAATTTCTTTTTTATATATACGCACCGTTATGGGCATCTCGAATGGCTCATGTGGGAGCTTGATGGTGACCTGGAAGATGTCTAAACGATGTTAATCTAGGGTTTTATTACTCCAAGCAAGATGAATCGACATACTGTCTGGCTGTTGGCCATTGACATCTTCCTCTGTGCCTTCAGTCTGTCCATCTGTAGTTACGTCCTTGCTGGGTGTCTTCTCAACCTCTACAATGCCATCGGTGTTAGCCATGAGGTGCACAAGACTTGATTGCGCCTCGAAAAAATTTCCATGTGAAGGCTGGTGTCGTGTGCGGGCGCGGGAAGCTCACCAGACTTGGAAGCGTCATTGGTACTAGCGGCCATGATCGCGAGCGTGAGATATATCGAGAAATTCTACAACCCCAGGAAAGAACGACTACGGAAAGAAGGAATCGGTCTAGGGAAGGAAGGTAATGTACAAGATAGGCGCATTAATGTACAATGACATGCGTGGAGTGTATGGGAGAGAGGGGACTGCTCCGGTCACATCTCCAGAATATTTTTCCTGAGGGCGCCGGGATGGTCCGCTAAGCTCGCTCTCCACTTCCGAGGCCACACATTTCATCGGAAAGACGGCCCCCATGTTGCCGGGGGGGGTGAGAAGGTCGCATTTCACTGGGATTACCATGGCCTACACGCTTACTCGTCACTGCTTAATACACACGTCGTTGGTTATCGATATGGTCAAGACGTGTGTACAACTCCACCATGCTGTCGCGCTCCTGCCCACACTTGGCACTCGCACTTGGCCCCTGCGGGAAATTATCGCAACACCAGCGTGACAAGGCCGCGGTGCCTCCTTTGGCGCGCCTCTCCTCCAATCTCATCCCGTCCATCTCAATCATCTCTTCTTTCTCGCGTCTCTGTCTCTCATTTCACTCTCCTTCTTTTCCTAGTCCATTGAACTTCTGACAGTCGCCTACGTTTGACACGTGTAAAAGCACGCGACACCCAACGTAACGCGCCAACGCCAATAATGTTAATGCTACGACATATTACGCGCTCCCATGCCGCGTTGACAAGAACATCGTTCGCATATCGGTCCCAGCAGGCTGGCCCGGTACTGCGAAAGACAAGGTTGTGCCAGCCATCGGTGGCGCGCGCTCTGAGTGGTCAATCCGGCCCCCCAACTCCTGGCAACGATACGCCAAATCCAATTGATGATGCCGTAGAGCAGGCCGAAGAGGAGCAGGAAGAAGAGAAGCGCGAGGCGAAGAAGGCAGCATGGAAAAGCACGGCGTGGAAAATGTTTGAAGCTGCTGCCACCACAGGAGCCAGCATCTTCATCCTAGGATGTGTCGGCATTGGCTATACTAAGTACTACAAATGGAATGTTCTTGAAAAGATGGAGAATGCTTTTCGGGAAGGCGATCCAGTATTAGAACTTGCAGCAACAGGAAAGGAGATCCCCAAGGAGAGAGCAGGTGAACCTACGCGACTAGCAGTCACAAAAGACATGGACGGTGATGACAAGGACTATGATCGCTGGATCCCACGTGATGAGCAAGAGAAGATTGATAAAATCGTCTGGGGTGAGACAAAAGGACGCTACCACCTGCTCCTCGGCGAGAAGGGCACGGGGAAGACATCTATGCTCATCGATGCCATGGATAAGATCAATGGTGAAGGATGTTCGATGATGGAGGCCCATGCAGATTTGGAAGTCTTTCGTGTCCGACTAGGCCGATGTCTCGATTTCGAGTATCATGAAGACAACATCGGGTCACTGTTCTCTATTCGTGGACCTCGCGACGCAGGCGCCATCTTGGACATTGAGCGAGCGTTCAACAAACTAGAAAAGGTGGCTTTGAGACGCCGTGCGAAAGTCGGAAGACCGCTGATCCTCATTATCAATTCTGCACATCTCATCCGCGACAACGAGGATGGTCGGGACCTCCTCGAGCTTATCCAGCAGCGCGCTGAGCAATGGGCAGCCGCCAACCTCGCGACTGTCATTATCAACTCAGACAAGTACTGGGTGTTTGAAAGACTAAAGCAATACGCGACGCGTATGGAAGTCCATCAAATCAAGGATCTGACCAAAGACCGCGCCATGCAAGCTCTAAGAAACTATCGAATGAAGTACTACGGCGAGACGGTGCGAGATTCTATTCTGGAAGAAGTATACGACAAAGTTGGCGGCCGTCTGACCTTCCTCAACCGTGTAGCCAAGTCAGAAGACATGATTGCGAAATGCAATACCATCTGCGAAATGGAAAAGATCTGGTTTTTAAACAACTGCGCGATCTTAGGTGAAGAAATGGACGACGACGTCATGGACCAGCAGAAATACGCGGTATGCAAACATAGATTCCTCTTACCCCTTTTACGTTACCTCCACTCGCGCGAGTCGCGAGATTAAGGAAAAGCATAACTAACCAGAGAGTTTAAAAAAAAAATAGTCCACGGCAATGGTCCTAGCCAACGCCCTCTACAAATCTTACCACGAAATGGACGCCAACTACGACCCCAAAGAAGGTAAAATCCCACTATATCCTCAACAATATACACATAAAACATAGTTACTAACATCCTCCCCCACCACAGGCCATATTTTGCCCTCGTTGCCCCTCCACCGCGCCCGTTTCATAATGACACGCTCCGACTTCATCCGCCAGCACCACGACCTGTCCATCTTCTCCATCGACTCCCACGCCGTCGTGCGTGCAGACTCGGTACCCATGCAACGCGCCTTCAACGAAATCTGCGCCGAGCCAGGTTTCGAGGACTTTTTGGAAGCGACGCTGGAGCGTATTGGTGCGATTGAGAGCTTGGGGAGGACAAAGGAACTTACGTTCAAGGATCTTTGGGAGGGGGGTAAGTATAGGATTACTACGAGGGATAGAAAGGGTGTGGTGCAGGGCGAGGTTGAGATGGAGACTGTGCCAGGGAAGACGGATGATGATGATGATGATGATGATGATGATGATGGGAAGGATGGGAAGGATGATTGAGCGATTGGGACTGGACTGGATGTTTGGATGTTGGTATGACTTGGGTATGGGTCTGGGTGTACTATATGGTGCTGGGTGGCTGGGCTGGCTTTAATCTGCATGGCGCTGGTGTCTTGTAGAAGGCCGCGATACCCTTGATATATTAGTTTCCCTGTTCATATTTCTCTTATAAGTATCATGATGTGTTCGTTGGCTTTGAGGTGTAAGATTGGCATTAACTGTCACTGAGCTCTATTTGTCGCTCATTAGGAATTTCCCCTTACAGCTTAACAATAGAAGATGGGAAGCCTGATTCATCGATACTAAGCTAGAAAACAACTAGGTCACAAGTGCAGAGAAAGGAGAGGAGGAGTGTCGGAAGAGGATAAGAACCACGGAAGAAATAAAAAGTGAAATAATTGGTATCAAAATAAGCCACAGATGTCGCCCTTGACACGCCCCCCTCTTGTGTCTCGGTAGAACCAACCAAACACAAGTCTGGTCTTCCTTCCCACAACGTTTATGCTGTGCCATTGGAGACATACATGTCACGCGCATTCCACACCAGCTCTTTCCCATACTAACATAGCTCTTAGGCTATCTTCATGCTATACCATCCTTCCAACTCTGTCTTCCCAACTACCCCTTACAATGGCTCGTAGTCTGCGCTTGTGTCTCCCACCCATCCGTACCACAACGCAACCACGGTATTCGCTGCAACCCACACTCCCGCATACCCAACCGCACCAACAACATCTGTACCAATGAGCGTCATACACCTCTGCACCGTACCCGCGAACAAAAACGCGTTCAGGATAAGTGTCTGCTGGATAAGGGTCCGTGTCATCTTGCTGAAATTGTAGAAGTTGTGTTCAAGAGTCTTGGGCAGCGTCGCAGTACTGGGATCGAATTCTTCCGCCGGTGTCAGTGCACCAGAACGCTGGGCTGCGAACGAAGGGTTGAGCAGGAAGGCTTTGGCGCTCACACCCACCACGATGGTCTTGATGAGGATGGAGACGGGGGTCTCGAGATGGGCGGCTTCGAGCGTGGGAATGTCAAAGTATTGAACTAGGAAGGTGTTTAGGACACCGCTTTTTAGGCCACCCCAGAGGATTGTGACGTAGACGCCTGCTGCGAGCATCGAGGAAGAGACTTGGACTTGCACGCTGTTAAGGAGGAAGCGGTTGCGTAGGGGTTCGTTGTTCCTGTGGACGATTGAGCGGGGGCGCAGGAGGTAGGTGGGTACGGCGAAAGACAGGACTTCGATGCAGATGTTGGCCGCAGCGGTCAAAGTCGAGATGTCGTAGAAGGTAGTGAGGAGATAGGTGAAGGGCGCGTAGGTCAGGACGGTAAGCGCTGAGACATCGTAGACTGTCCTCGATTAGCCATGGTTCCACAACTAACATTGGTGCCTTCTTACAGTCGTAGTTGAAGTACCACGTCATCCAAACTGTCAAGAAGCGCATGCCAATGCGCGCGACAGGCGAGTAGAAAGACGTGACATCGTCCTCACTCGGCACCTTGCTAACAGCGCCCAACTCGGGCCGCAGGAAATTCGCCGTGAACTCCCATAGCAGCATGTTGATGCCCATGTTCAAACTGATGAGAATGGGCACGCGCAGCGCCGTGGGGAGACGCGAGCGCACCGGGGCGCGTGTCGCATTGGGGACGACATCTGGCGCTTCGCGCTCGATGACTGCTGTGGGTGCCATGTCGCGTCCTTGTCGACGTGTGGATGAAGAAGAAAAGAAAAGTTGAAGATGATGCGCGTGAGGCTGATAATATGGACGGATCCGCGCGTTCCTTCGGTCTTGGGTGGGGAGAAAGTGATGAGTGGTGGCAGCAAGCTTGAGTTGGAGCTAGCGCCGACACACTTTGTTTTGGACCTGCGTCATTGCGCGCATTGCGAAAATAGTGAACCAGTGTCCGTGCGCGGCAAGTCAATCTCGTTCCATTTCAAGTTACTCAGAACTTGTTTCATTATAGTGCGATAGATATGGTATTGATTGGTGAAATACCTTGTGAGTGAATTGTAGCACGGGAATTAATTAGGACAATCTGGGCTTCTTCGTACTCAGCATTGGAGCGCGATGATTATTGAAGACATGGCATCTTAGTTGTGAATAAGACCATTACAAGTCCTTCATTAAACAATGATATTTACAATCGTGCAAGCTATGCGTTACAACTCTCCGTCCATCTTCTAGACGAGATATCTGAAGTCTCCCATCTTCTTCTTGCCCTCCTCAACACTGACGCCCTCGACAGCAGCAGTCTGCTCTGCGACATCACCATGCACAACCCAAGCGTCAGTACCATCATCCAATCGCTTATTCAAGCGGACCAAGATAATCTTGAAGATGAAGCAACCAGCGATGGTAATACCAAACATGGCCGTAACCACTCCATAGCTGTTCCTGTACCCGTTGTCTGACATGTTCCAGACATACGATCCAGCGATATTTCCCAGCTGCGAGAATGCGTTGATCATAGCGATGGCGACAGCACGCTTGGCCGGTGGACGCGGGAATGACGATGAGATCCAAGAGTAGAAGACGATGAATCCGGCGTAGGATGACGCTTGGAGGAATAGCGCGACATAGCGACCAGCAGTATTCGACGTAGCCATAGAGATGACGAATCCAACGATTCCAAATAGAATCGGACCAACAATATGCCAGAAACGTTCTTGCTGACGATCGGCGTGCCATGCGTTGATGAGGGATACGACGCAAGCAAACGCCCACGGAGGCGCGGACATGAGGAGCGTGGTAATGTATCCGAATCCGAGCGTACGCGTGAGGGTCGGGAAGAAAGCGTTAAACGACAATCCAACGACGTAGGCGGTGAAGGTCAGCATCATGACATAGATCTTGACATCCTTGACCGCCATGTAGAGACCAGCGAATGCAGATTGCTCGGCGGAATCTTCATCCGCTTCGCCTACATCCTCCGTCATGCGTAGGACGGCTACGGCACGCTCTTCCTCAGTGAAGCCGTTGGAGTTGTGCGGGAGATCCGGCAAGATCCATATCGCGCTTATAGCAATAACCATCGTCGCCGCACCCTCAATCCAATACAACCACCTCCATGCTCGGTGTCCGAGGACGCCTTCCATGTTTCCTAGTACAGCGGCTCCGACCAACGAGGAGAAGGCGTTCGAGATCAGGTTTCCGCAGAAGAGAATGGCGTTGCGGAGTGTGAGTTCCCGGCGCGTGTACCATTTTGATAGGATGAGGAGCGCGCCTGGGAGGAAAGCGGCTTCGACAAAGCCGATGAAGAAACGGATTGCTACCATGCCGGCGAAGTTGTTGACGTTACCAGAGAGTGTGGATATCATACCCCAGATCAACATGACGACGGCGATGTAGAGGGATGGGCGAGGGATCTTGTTAATGATCATGTTTGAGGGGACCTGCATAAGAATGTATCCAACGTAGAGAATACTCAGACAAGTCGAGTACTGTGTGGGACTGAGATTAAGGTCTTCTTCCAAACCACCGAGACGGGCTGCGGCGATGTTGTTTCGATCAAGATCTATCAAAACCCTCGTTAGCAAAAATATCCTTTTGTATGACCAACTTGATGGATGGAGTAGTTGGTTCAACGTACAATTCATAATGTAGATCAGCACAAAAAGCGAACACCTCGCATCCAACTTCCGCTTCAGCTTCTTCTCAACTTCTTGTCTCCTCTCCGGGCTCATGTTGGCGGCGATGCCACCAGGCTTCGTGTGGTGCTCCGACAACTGTGCAGCATCTTGGACGGAGATCTTGTCGTCCGGCGGGTACTGTGTGGTCGCCATCTTGTCGTATTTGCGATGCGAGAAACCTCGATAGACATCTATCTTAGGTCTGGGGTCCCCTCTTAATATAACAAAAGTCGGAGATGCCGACTCAAGCTCTGATCCACTCCATTGCGGGCCTCCAGATTGTTACCACCTTACCCCACTATCTTGGCCTGCATCAACCAAACACCGTTACATGGTGTGCAATACCCCAACGAGACGTGCATCATGCCCCAGTCATTTGACAGAATTTTCTGGTGCTGCCACCGTGCTGGTAATGTTGGCAAAGACGCACGACTCGTGTCACATGAGGGAAAACGCGGCGACAGTTGGCGTCTTGCCCGTATATGTGCTCTTCCCCGCATTAGTCGTAGTTGGCCATTGGACGACTAAATCTTCTTCCTCACAGTCAAGCTTGGAAATTGATTGACTCGTTGGCCCAGCACTTGGCCCGGGGTTTTGGCGACGACTTGACATGTCCAAGAATTTCCAAGGTTGAGTCTTGGGGTTACGTGCGCGGGATGGCGGTTGCTTGCAGCACGCCGGTAATAGAAGCCGGCTTCTGGCTGTCCATGTAGGTGGTTCATAGGCCGAGCCGATCACCGCGAGCAGCACCCGACGACCGCGCTTGCGCGTTAACGCCTTCCGAAGCGAACTACCAGTGCCGCCCCCCAACAAACGGGACGGCGACGGGTTCTGAACGACGATTTTGAGCCGCAAGTCTGACGTCGCTGTCAGCGTGTCGGATGCAAGTATGGAGTACTGTACTCCGGAGAGGTCGCATTAAGCAGGTTGAAGTGGATGATAAAGAAGTCTGATTCGCCATCACACGTATTCTGGTGGGTGGTGGTGCCCCAGACCATGCCCCATTCCAACTACGGATTGCGGAGGCGACAATCCTGCCCGCATACTTTTTCTCCGCTCACATGAGCCGCACGTTCACCGCCCTGGCCTTGCCGTGTCTTGCTAGTTACCGTCAAGAAAGCTGTATCTGGAGATACCCCCGATGATGAATAATCGTCTGCCGAAAGCCAAGGTTGTGGCTCCGCGGTAGAACATCGGATCGGAGGTTGGAAGCTGAATTGCCCAATGGGCAGGGTATGAAGTTGGTGCTTTGGTGGGTCGGTTTTTGTCAACTTTACAGGCATTGTAAAAGATGGTGGTGTGATGGAATGGCTACCACCATCTTCCGGTGCCCGTGGTTTCGGAGTTAGGGAAGAGGCCCTCCCGAGGTCTCCATGAAATGAGTGGAACTGGGGTTCTAGTTGGCTGCGTGAGGACGTGCCAACCGAAGATGAGAAAAAAAGATCAGATTTCTTGTTAGTACCTCTACAGACAGGAGCTCATGATAGCATTTGTTCCTTGATCTGCTTGCCCGGGCATGCGTATCCGGCATGGGGACTTTAGATCTCTGGGGGCGAAAGACGCACGCCATAAGAGATCTCCCTGGATCTTCTAGATGACCCGACCAACGAGGACGAAGAACATGGCAATACTAACCTTTACTTTTAGAGACAGCAACAACGATAGTGACGAGTTTGCACTTCGATCGTTCAGACAAATGAACTGGTTGCTGGGTGATTGAATGTCTGGGAACGATTGGCGCAGATTATGAAGAGTTTCTTTGGTACCTTCTCACTCGAAGTGAATTTTAAAAGAGTAAGTTCCAAGGAGCCCAGAAGACCAGGAACATCAAAACCGCCCGTACCTTCTTCTTAAAATCCCAGCCCAGCCAGCTGCACTCATAAGCCGCCAATAAAGAGTTCTTGGCATTTTCTCAAGGCGAGAGGGATTGAGAAGGAAGACACTTGGAGAGCGCAAGAGCCCAGGAGCACATTTCGTGAAATTCCAATCTGTTTTGTCAGACTTCAAACCAGACAGGCGCAGACATGGGCATACGATGATCAAGCTTTGGTATTCGGCCCTTTGATAAGAGTCAAGGAGGATGAGGTGGAGTGAACCGAATAAGTTGTCTTGTATAACGATTTTGGGTTTTTGATAAAGAGAAGGCCCGAGAACAATACCCATAGTGGAGTGATGGGCATGTTTTGATATTTTTCGTAGCCAAGAGGAGAAGGACTGGAGACATGGTAATAGGCTGCTCCGTTTTTAGAAAGCTGCTCGACGAACCAGCCATGAGTTGTTGTCTAAGATTTTTCTGTATTTTGAGAATAGGAATGGATGTAGTGAAGAGAGGACGTAGGGAAGTCGGGTGAGATTTATATACGCTGCCGAACATGAGATGATATATCTCGTCACGTGGACGCAGCAGACATTTATTTTTACACTGTAACAAACCGTCCTCTAATGTACCATAGTCTCCAACGTGCCCACAGGCCTCTCAACAATATCGATACACCCATCTACGATACTCTGCCTCGCCGGCTCACTACTAACATTCTGACCCCCCAAGTACAGCAACCAGACCAGTCTCCCAACCCTCTCATCCCTAACCTCGCCCAGCCAACTCGACTTGCCCATGACCTCCTGCTTACTATCCGCTGCCTTCACGATAGGCTGATACAGCGCACCTAGATGCCCACTCTTATTCCGTGTCAAGATGATGACACTGCCTTTTGGTGCTTTGCCCTTGCCCTGGAAAAGGTTCCTAAATTCCTTCATCGCGAGGCCGAAAGATTCGTCTTGGAACTCGCCTTCTTCGACAGGTTTGGGGAGAGAAATAGATTTGTTCTCTGCGGCTTGTTGTCTGATCAATTCGGCCTGCTTGCGGCGTACCTCGTCGGTTCGGGAGGCGATTCCACGCATCCAGCCATCCTGCAAATGCTTGAAATCTGTGCCGCGGCAGGGTACGACGCGGAATGCCATGTCGACACCATCCATTCCGTTCTTGGCTAAGATGGCTTCCCAGATCTTGTTGCTCTTTTCTGGGTCGAGGAGAGATTCGCGGAGGTCTTTCTTTTCGTTTGGGATCAGGGCGGACGCGGTGGGGTTCACGGTGTTAATGAGGTGGTTTTGGAGAGTGGATAGATCGGCTGTTTTGACGTAGAGACCCACGACGTAGACTTGTACGCGAAGGAAAGAGACTTTCCTGATGCCCAGACCGAGGAGTGTGTATTCTGCGTCGGTAGTAATGGCTTCGGGGCCCGACGTGTCGGTGGGGAGACGGATAGTGCGCGGGAAGTAGGGAACGTAGGAAGTGCCTGTCTCGACGAGCTCGATGGCATCGGGGTCCGAGGCTTGCGGGTTGTCGGTGTCGCCTGGTGTTGCGATGACTTTGTCGCCTGCTGCTATGACGACCTTTTTGCCCTGGAATTCTTCGGCTGCTTTGCGAGGTGCGTCGTTCTTGGTAGGTGGGCCCATGACCATGTCTACGAAACCTCGACTTGGGTTCTCATCTTTCTCTTCTAGTGGTGGTACGTCCCATAATCGGACGAGGAAGATGGGTGCAATCATGGAGAGGGCAGCACCAAGAGCAAGCCAATTCCGCCTCTTCAGCAATGCAGCACGGCGCATGGCCTCGGCGCGATGTACGGAAACAAAGTCCTCATCTGGGCGAGGGACCTTGGGGCGGGCGCCTTGCTTGAGTATGGCCTCAAAGTCTGCTCTGCTTGAGCGCGTGTTCTGGCGGAATTGGGGGTTGGAGCGGAGCGGCGTAGGCGTGTTAAGGCAGCGGAATACAGGCCGTCGCGCGGCGAATCGTATGGTATTCATGGTGGCTGCATTGACCGGGTGATGTCGTGAGAGACGGATTGAGGGTTGCAATGCGGAGTGGAGCAGCTAGGACCAGGGCTCGATGATGTCGTCGCCGGGACGCAAGCGAGCGTGTTAGCGCGGCTTTCACCGCGACGCGCCGCGTTGTCAGCCCTACGAAAGTGCAAAGTGTAAATCTACAGCATCCCGCCTTCCAACTTTGCCCGGCCACGACACGCAATGCCGCCCCGCAGATCAAGAAGAGCAGAGGAGACCACTCTGATACCCACCCAAACACAAAGACCCAGACAAGATGATACACCCGAGGAAGACGAGGATGTTGACATGGAGGAGGCAATCAACCAGGGCAGCGGCAGCGTTGACCAGCTGGCAAAGGGCTTGGTGCGATATGCCTTGTCGTGCGAACATTCACGGAAGCCTATAAAGCGCCAAGATATCAACGAGAAGGGTCAGTGCATTGACATTGTACATGGGACTGGACTAATAGTAGCAGTACTCGGCTCACATACTCGACTGTTCAAAGATGTCTTCGCGCAAGCAAACAGCCAGCTCATGGACGTCTTCGGCATGCAGTTCGTCGAACTCCCCAGAGCGGAAAAGGTGACACTGCGACAGAAGCGCGGTATGTGTCGCAACAACACCATGTGACGTCGGGTCTAACCTCTCTCCCTCTCTCAGCTGCCGCCGCCTCTGATTCCCAAAGCAAGACGACAAGTATCTGGGTCCTGCAGACCATCCTACCCGACCAATACCGCCTACCAGAAATCGTCGGCCCCTCGCGACCAACCGGAGAAGAAGACATAAGCCGAGAAGACTCGTACGTGGGACTGTACACCATGGCCATTGCCCTCATCACAATATCCGGCGGTATAATTCCAGAAGGCAAGCTAGACCGCGCCCTACGACGCATGAACGCAGACCAGACGACGCCCGTTGGCACCAAGGATAAGACGCTCGCGAATATGGTCAAAGACGGATATATCGTAAAGGTCAAGGATACGGCCAACGGGGGCGAGGAGACGGTGGACTACATTGTTGGGCCTCGAGGCAAGGTTGAAGTCGGACGAGATGGCGTCGCGCAGCTTATACGCATCATGTTTGGCGTTAGCGAGGATGTCGACGAAGTCGAGAAGCGTATAGAGAGGACACTGCAAGTGGCTGGGGCCCATAACGACGGTGCGCCGGCGGTCGAGGCGGCGCCGGATGCATCGCAGGCGAACGGACGGAAACGTGGGCGGCCGAGGAATGAAGCCGATGAGTAGTCTGTGATGAGTTACGAACAATGAGGCGCTCCGAGATACCCTGTATAGTTATGTTGTAGTAACTCTTTACCTCACGATTATGGTAATGGTAGTAGTGTTAGCGACGGTACGGTAGCTCCAAGCTCCCCTCAGAAGGATTCGAGGTTGCATCATCGGCCCAGCAAGCGCTACAAGTCTACAACAGAGACACGGCATCAATGGACGGAGAGGTTGTTGGCGCAGCGCATGTGCCTAGGTGTGTAGCTGCTCATTTGTCAGCGTGACGAGGTATTGGACCAGCAGGCAGGCGCGACCAGGTGTTGAGCAATGGCTGCATGCAATCAAGGCTCACTCGAGCTTCGCCCGCCCCTCAAGCGCTTCTGCGCGCCAAGCTGATTGAAACGGCTCTATTTTCCACACCAACCGCCTTTGCGCCATCTTTCTCCTCCTTCTCTCGATTCCCTCGCTCCTCGCACTCGTCCTACATCTGCAATGACTGCTTGAGACGATGAGCAGCATCGACTCCCTCCTCAACCACGACGCTGGCCGTGAGCGCCGCCAGTCCGTCACCGACTTGACCCCGACCACGACCGACGACGCTGTCGATGCCCTGACGACGCTGGCGACCTTGGGCAGTGGACAGCAGTTTGTCCCCGCCCCGACGCGCGAGCTGCCCTCGCCCACTGCCTCGTCCCACGCGCCGCGACGCACCAGCAGCTTCGGCTCCCACCACGCGCCCGTAGAGCCCTCGCCACCTGTCGAAGTGCCCCAGGCCCACTCACCGACTCTGGAGCACTACCATCATGGTTCCAATTCGCCAGAAGAACTCAAACGTCGGCAATCGCTCCTGGCGAGGACATCTCCCGCCCCAGTGCTCGCGCCTATACAAAATTTATCTTCGGCCCTGCAAGAACAGACACAGGACGAGCCTACAACCTCGCATATCCGCGAGCCTAGCAGCACACTACAACCAGACGCAGCCAACTCACACAATGGCGATAAGCTGCCCTCACCCCAGCCTTTTATCAAGGACGAACCTTCTGGTACGCCGCGCGAACACACACCTGCAGTCACTGCTTCTCAACCCGAACGACAAAGTTCTGTGACTGGCGAGAACATGGATGCCGACACACTCAAGGCGCTGGAGATTGCAAAGCAGAGCGATCTTGGACTGCGGAGACGGAATCAGAGCGTTGCAGAAAGCGTGCAATCACCAGTCGACTCCAAACCAGCACCCGCCCCAACCAAGAAGCGACCAGCGCCCGCTTCAGCCTCTGCCATCAAGAAGAAGGGCACGGCAAAGACATCCAAGCCCAGCAAAAAGCGAAGAATAGAGACGGAAGATGGCGCAACACGTTCCGTCACGCCTACCTCGAGGATACCCAAATCCGCGAGCAGCAGGGTTATGAAGAGAGGCTCCCACGCCGGCACTCCCGGATCCTCACCCGCTCCGACCCATGCATCCGACGACGAAGGCGAATCATCCGAAGACCACAACCTGTACTGCATCTGCAAGAAACCGGACAACCACAAGTGGATGATCGGCTGCGATGGCGGATGCGACGACTGGTTCCACGGCGACTGTGTCAACATGAAACAGGCAGATGAGCATCTAGTCGACAAGTTCATATGTCCTCAGTGTGAGGAAAACGGTAGGGGAAACACGACATGGAAGCCAATGTGCAGGCGGGACGGCTGTCGTAAACCTGCAAGATTGGCCAAGGAAAGAGAGAGCAAGTATTGCTCTGATGACTGCGGGGTTCTCTTCATGCAGGAACAGTTGCAACGGACAGCAGGTGCAAAAGGCGCCAACGGCTCCAGGGAAAAGTCCAAGAAGAAGAAGAAGATTACTGAAGGTGATGAGGAAGAGGAGCCAACACCCCTTGGCGGCACCCTCCGAGCCAAAGACCTCAAAGCCCTCGTCGACGCATCGCCAAACATCCAAGCTTTCAAAAACCTAGGAACAGGCGTTCTCACACCACCTCAAACCGCTTCTCCATCCCGCGCATCGTTCCCCTCCAACGGCGAAGACCTTGCCCTCACCGCCGGCGAGACCGAACGGCTTACTGCGCTGCATAAAGAGAAGACACAACTCAAAGATCGACTAGAAGTATTGAAGGATAGAGAAAAGTTTGTGTCCATGGCCAAGGAACAGGCTGTGAGGTTGGCGGATAGAGAGAAGCTCAAAATGAAGGACTTTTGCGGCTACGATAGCAGGTTATCGTGGTCTGATGCTGAATTCCTCCTCTGGCGGAATAGTACGTTTGGGAGAGCGGCTTTTCACTATTCTACTCTCAGTCCTACCGCGGAACAAATCTCCTCTACACCTGTTCTCAATGGCGCTGGCACTGATGGTGGGGCCGATGCGATGGATGTCGACGTTGCAGCTGTAGTAAATGGTGAAGAGGGGGACAACAAGGAAACAGTCTGTCTCAAGAAACGCTGCCAGAAACATCCTCAGTGGCAGAAACTCAATCTTCAAGATGCACGGTTTGAAGAACTCGAGGTTGTTGAGGCCATCAAGGAGTGTGAGAAAGATGAGCGGTCGGTGCGGGATCGTGCGCGGAGGAGAGGCGCAAAGGATGGCTTGGCCAAAGAACTCACGGCTGGAGAGCATGGGAGTAAGGTGGAGATGAGGAATCGGGAGGGGTGGGTTGAGGTTGTTGGGTCATAACATACATCAAATTGAAGATATTGATGGGAAGAGAGAAGGTTTTTACTGGAACTTTTGGCGAAGCTGGAAAGATAAAGCTTGGATAAAGGCATATACCCCCCCTTCCTTTTCGCAACACGCGCGTATTTGAGAATTTGGGCGTTCTTGGGATAACGGAAAAAAATCGTTATGTTCAGTTGGGTTAAATGCACCTCGGCGAGTATTAGCATGGTTTAATGACTATCTTTATTCTTCACGCTGCTTCTTTGCGAAGACTGTATGATAGTTCGAGGGCAATAGACATCGGAGCTCGAGTCAGGTGTGTTGTTGCGGTGTCAGTGATGTATCAATACTTCACCTGCTCTGTTCTTTTCTTCCTCCTATCTTCTCACTCGACATTCCGCTTCTCTAAAAAGAGAAGACAACAGAAGCATGGAGTTCTGCAAAAGATGACGAGGATGACCCATGTTCTCCGCTGGCGTTCTGGTTGTTCAAAATAGGACGAGAACACTTAGCATGAGTGGTGGTTAGGAGCCAGTCGAGGACCGAACAAAACGTTTTCGTCATGGTCAGGCTGATCAGACCATGCCTCCTGCTTCCAGCCGTCGTCTATAAATAACACCTGCTCCGTCCTTTCCTTCCTTCAACCTCCATGCTCAAGGCTCTACTTTCCCAAAAATGAGTCAAGTACTTCTGATGGGGTTCTCGAAAACCGACCGACAACCGATCATGTTCTTCCTTCGCCATTTGTCTGCTCACAAAGGACGACGGTATCTCCTATGTGTGTGCGTGTGGTAGACTCGCGCTTCTTGTTCTTGTTCTTATTGACTACAAGACCGACTCAGCAAAAGCATGTTTTTACTCCATACAAGACCGATATACATTGACCGATCAACACGAGAGAGTACGGCCCGGTTCAAAGCTACTGAGAAAACTGCTATAGGAGTCTGCGCCGTGAAAAACCGATGGTTTATGTATACATGTATGAGGGGAAGAAGAGGGATCGGGAAGGAACAGCGTGATATCAAACTTTGATGCCTATCTTGAGAGATCGCATGATTCGACCACGGACCTCTGGATATAAAGTCGATCTTCTGACTACTAGACTATCACTTCTACACCAACATTCAGTCCCTTTCAATCTCTGAAAAGGCGAGACACTAAACCCATGGAGATCAAGGCGGTTCACCGTTTACTCCATGTGGTGGTCCAGTCTGTTTCCCTACTCGAATACAAAATTCCCTCTTGACAACCAAATTCTTACTTCTATACCAACTTCCAAGTCCTTGCTTGTTCCAAAAACAGCCAAAAAATACGCCATGGAAATCAAAAAGTTAAGTTGACCAAGTTATATCGTGCGTCTGCCTGTACTCTCTTGCTCGAAAAACGAGTAGGGCTGGAATACGAGAAGCGATCTGGACGTTTCGCTATTGAACGAAACGCCAAATTATGGGAAAGGCTGTGAAGATCCTGGCAGCGTTGGGAGAAGGCACTAAGAGTATAGTATTCAAGATCATCTTCTGGTACCCCACACTCTCACTTCTATACCAATTTCCAGTCCTCCTTATTCCAAAAAGCGGACAGGCCGCCTCGATGGACTTCAAAACAGGGTCGGTTCAACACCTATGGGGTAGACTGTTTCTTCTCCTTGTTGAAGAGCTACGGAAGATGTAGATGTGGGAAGTCGCTCTGAACATACGGCTCTAGTCCAGATGTTTTGGAACTTGGAGCAGCGGTCAGATTTGCTGATAGCAATGAGAGACGGTGATGGATATTTAGCAAGGAAGTGACATGATTTCAAAGTGATTGAATCCTTGCGTACTTCTGAAGTCACATAGCAGCTCGTCTTGCAGTCAGACTAAACTTGTTATAGCGCCGGTCGTACATGTATAAAAGTTGGTCGTTTCCGAGCGCTTACACTCCTCAAACTTCTCAAAAAAGACTATTCTCTAAAATACAAGGAGAATTTTACCATGATTTCTAAAATAGAAGACCAGTATTGAATGATCCTCGTCCCCCTTTGCTCGCACATTGTAGAAGGAGACGTGTTCGAAACAAAGCGAAGAAAGCTGCTATGGGAGACTGCGCCGTGAAACGACACATGCCTTACTACACGTGGATACTTCCGACTATATCTCGCAGTGCCATGAAGCTAATTATAGCGGTACCTTGGATGTATAAAACCCATTCTTCCTGTGCGCCTCTCATGTTCTTCGCACCTCTTCCCAAATCCTATTCCCCAAATATCCCAGCGGTCGATGTATGGTCTTTCTTCGCCGTTGTCTGCAAAAGAAAGGAAAACAAGACATACTTGAAAAGGGATCGGAAACCAACCCTAGATACGTCATATCGGCAACGGTATGGGGAAGCTGATCCAAGATAGCAAGCTGGACAAATGCATGTTGACTGTTCGTGCCTGTTTGCAGCCACTGGTCGAGCTGTAGTCGTTCTGAAATTTCGAGCGTTGGGGCGGACGTCCAGGTTTTAGTTGATCTTCTGAAATCTGTTTTCCTTTCCCGTATACCGGTGAAGAACTGCCATTACAATCAAAATATTACATATTAAAACGCATGAGTGAGGGGAAGGAATTCGAGTGGAACGGTATGAAACCGACTTTTGCGATGAACAAATGCTCATGGCATTGTCCGCGGGTATGACATACTCGCCGAGTTGTAAAAGGAGTGCGTAGGGAATACCTGGAGTTGGAAATAAGAGGGAGCTAAAGTGGAGATAGCGTTACACATGGTCACGTTTTGAAGCAGCTTGGCCTAGCGGAAAAGACGTCAGTTTAGGTTATGTCACCTTCCAGTCGCTTCCGTATCCGCCTTTTAAACTTTCACTCAGGATGCGACAATCCCTCTGTTCTCCGAGGTATGCACGCTTGAGTCGCTGCCTAGCCTCTTTCAAAGGCCCCCCGCATACCAGTTGATAAGCTAGAAACTAACCAGAGCGCGTGCAGTGCGTTTTTCGTTCATAGGTCTCCATGCAACGTCGACTCGGAAGACCTCCTGCCGACATCTCGGTCAAGGTGCCAGACTGATGTCTAGGCTCGACGATGCTTAGCCTGCCAAGCGCCACACTAAACCGTTCTGCAGATTCACGGGACCCGCAATGATCACCGCCACCATACTGTGTAGAGAAAGATCGATCAAGGTTCTGCGCATCGTCGCATGCATATCGTCGCTCCGCTTCCGCTACTTGCACCCTTAATGTATTCCTAACTCCTTCTCGAACTTGTCTGCTGTCGCAACGATGTATTCCGCGCTGGAACGCGTTGTGACTTGCTTTTTTCGATAATCTCCGATCTCATAACTCACACATCTACGCAGCGACCATCCATATCAGGTACTGCCACCGATGCTGAACACCCTTGTTCATTTACCGTAGCTTACAGCCGAGGCTCAGATGCCGATCGACGACAAGGAGCAATAATTGGCGTCCTCCTTCTGGTCACCCCGGTGTACTGCCAAACCGCAACGAGTAGGCAAGTATTCCGAACAAGGTAAAACAGAATGATGCGGGCGAGGTTCCTGAGTCGTCATGGACACTAGCTCGCGGTGTGAGGCGCACCAGACATCCCCACTATGCAAGTCCCTATTCAGAGCACGATCAATCTTTTGTACTTTGCTATTGGAGGTGTTGTGAACACCCCCACTTCATGGCTGTTTCGAGTTGAAGGCTGGAATGGAATGCTTCATGTCAAGTCCAGGCAAGCCACTATCATGACGAGTTTCGCATAATCATCTTGCGCCACTTCAATACCATCGGTATCCTGGAGTCTGACTATGCAATGCAAACACCTTATCGTCATTCCAACGAAGATCCAACGAGCTTCAGACAAGTCACAAATGCCCCCCTTTCTGGTAGGCAGCCTCGGAACCGCATAGCCAGTAAAGGCCCATGCAAGCTAGTACGGTGACAGCCGCTCGAACGGGGTCGTTGCGTTGATCAAGAGACTACTGGAGAGACGCTTTCAGCCATCTCTAGTGCCTCGAGCGGATGTATGCTCCACCCTTTGCGGTATAGCAACTGCCTGGGGATCGACGAATGAAACGCGCTAAGAATGTCTGCCGAGGTGGAATGGCATACCAGACGGTGCTTTTCCCTTCTATACGCAGCATGAAGGTACAAGGGATGCGATCTATAAGTATCGTGTAGATCCACAACGATACGATCACCACCCCGACAATACAATAACCAACTTCGCTCGTTCTACTTCCACTCATATTCCCACTCCAACTCATCATCTGTCCTCCAATATGCGTTTCTCAACTCTCATCCCCGTCCTCTCCCTCGCGGCCCTATCCTCCGCCGCCCCAGTAGAAGAAGTCAAGCGCGCAGCCTCCTCTTCCTGCCCCTCATACACCATCATCAACACGCGCGGTACCGGCGAACCTCAAGGTGAATCCTCTGGATTTCGCACCATCAACAGCCGTGTCCGCGCCGCTCTCACCGGAGGCAAGGTCTACAGCACCGTCTACGCCGCCGGATTCAGTCAAAACTCAGCCGCCGGTACAACCGACATTGTCAACAAAATCACAACTACGCTGAGGACCTCACCAAACGAGTGCTTCATCCTAGAGGGCTACTCCCAGGGCGCCCAGGCTACCGTCAACGCCATGAGCCAGCTCACCGGCGCAAAATTCGATGCTGTAAAGGGTGTGTTTTTGATCGGTAACCCGGCTCACAAGTCAGGTTTGACGTGCAACGTCGACAACAACGGTGGTACCACTACGAGGAATGTCAATGGCCTTTCTGCTGGCTTGGGAGGCGGCATTCCGAGTAACTGGGTTGCCAAGACTCTTGATGTCTGTATCTTTGTAAGTTTACCTTCCTTTGTTACAAACATGTTGGTGGGTTGTAGAACTAGTTTGACTGACGCATTTCGATGATAGGGCGATGGTGTATGCGATACTACGCACGGCCAGGGTATCAACGCTCAGCATCTCCAGTACCCCAGGGATACTCCTACGCAGAACTTGGGTACGCAGTACATTACCAAGGCGCTTGGTGGAAGTGCTTAGCAAGTGACGGGGATAAGACGAGTTGAGTCAAGAGTGAACGACTTCGCGCATATTTCGGGGTATGTTCCTTGTGGGGACTGTTGATCACGATTTCTATTTGTATATATTTATTGAAATGGTATCAAGGTATTCCTGTCCTATTGTTGTGGGAAGCTGACGCGTCTATGTTGTTGTATCAGCAGTCTACACTGGGAATCATCATACGCTACAAGTTCTCCTGTTGGTTAAGCTTAATCCCCCTCTCAACCAGTCCCTCAATCCAGCCATTGAACTCTTCCCTCATCTCCGCCGGCAGCACATGCCCTTGCCCCCTAACAAAGTGCTTCTCAACCTCACCATCCTGCCAAATATCCTCCTCCTCTTCAACACCCAACCAGTTCTCTTTGCCTGTTGGGCCCTCCCCCCTCTCCAATCCTCTCCAGAGCACAACACCCAACGGGAAAGTCAGCATACGATCCTTGGTACCATGTACAACCATAATCCTATTCTTCCCCACCGTCTTCGCAATCTGCTGTAGTTGCTCTGGGCTTTTGTGATGCCAGCCCGCGGCGATAGCTTGCAGCATAAAACCGGCTTTGCCAAAGTACTCTGGATGTTGGCGTTTCCAGAGTTCGTTGGCAGCGAAACGGTCGCCGTTTGTGGGGAAGGCTTGAACAACGGGTTCGAGGCTATCAGGGGCGTCAAGCCATTGTTGTGTGTACAGGTTCTTCTTCACGCCTTCGATTTGGGCGTCGAGAGATTTGGGAACGAAGAGATTGGCGCGGTTCCAAAGGTTTTCGATGAAGCCCTGAGGGTGTCAGGCGATCCACATAGGTTTGCTAGGATAGAGACGTACAGTTGTTCGGAAGAGTTGCGCGGCCGTTGACACGAGCGAGAGTGTGCATATTCGCTGCGGTATCAACATGGCCTAGGTCATCGTTAGTGCTTATATTCTTTTCGAAGTTTATAGCCAACTGGAATGGGAAGTTATGCCACAATCATAATGATCGACGTGCATGGACGATCATATATGCGGCGTTAACGAACAGGTGGGGGCGTGGCGGGGTAGAGACGAGAGTCGAGCGGGGCGGAAGCTGGATGTACCGCTTAGATTACAGGATGATGCTGGGTATGAGAGGTGTTTGAAGCTTTTGGCGACGACATTTGTGTTCATGGACGGAAAGTATAGCATCCGGTCCGAAAGTCAAGGCTCGAATATTCTGTACGAATGACAATGCAGAGATGAATGAACTTACTATTTCCTGGGCAATCATGCCACCCATGCTTATGCCAATGACGTGTAGTTCACGCTTACCGGTCCATCCGATATGGTCGAGAACTTCAACGATGTCTTGGGCCATGGCAGATGTCGAGTACCTCGATGTAGGCTTGTCGGAGTCGCCAATACCTCGGTTGTCAGTTACCAACGACGAGTATTGGTCGCCTTTGGTATGACCAAAATCTCTTGTTTGACGCTGCCATGCATATTTCATGCCACCAAGGCCCATGACCCACTACATGGTGTCAGCTGTCAAGTTTTCTCCGCTTTAGCAGTGAATGTAATGGAGACTAAGCGCCACACTGATAGAGATGAAGAGACGGAAGACGGCGAGAAAAAGGGTTATAGGCTGAAATGTGGTAGTGCACGTATTGGTTGCGTATTCGACAACTTGAGACATGATACATCGTAGTTGAGACGGTCAATGCAACTGAAACGAAACAGTGACAGGGCGCCGCGACCCGAAGATTGGTAGAAGGCAACATTACAAATGCATCCTAGCTAAAGACAAGCTTTCCTTTGGTGCCTGATATGCAGCGCATCAAGTTGGACGAGATATTAATACCGAGAGTGGGGCGACTTACCACAAGGTGTCTGTCGCCATGGCCGTGGATCTCGTAAGCGATGTTGAGGGGTCCGCCTCTGTCCTTGGCTACAACGGCCTTGCCTTTCTTTTCTGGTTTTAGGTCCCAGATGGTATGAGGGTATTCTGGATGTTGAAGCAGCTCTTCGACAGTCATTGGTGCCATGGCTGGGAGAGTGCGTCTCTACAGTAGTCAAACTGGGCAACGAGTCAGTAGTGAAGCAAGTAACCGCCAGGTGGTAATGTCAGGAGGGGTGAAGATGCAACGATGCGACAGTTGTGGTGGCGCAGCAGCAGAGTGGTCAACGTTGACGGCTTCCTCCATGTGGCTACCGCTCGGCATGTGTCTTTTGGTAGCGGTGTGCCCATAGCGCATCCCGGCACATCCGACAGGTACGCGAACGTTGTGTAAGCTGGATACGCAGGGAGGGCGTTGGCGTAGAATGGATGCTGACGTACTATTCTTGGATCAGGCGCGCTCGTATAGTAGCGTGTGAGCAGTCAAAGAGATGTAGAGATTAGATGATGAAGACGTTTATGATGCATGTGTGAAGTTTTGCATCTGTGCTTCACGCCTGCCAACCGCGTGGGACAGAAGCAATATCACAACGTCATCTCTACTATTCCGTTTTAAGCCTCAGGTGCGTGGCTCGTGTCTGACTAGGGCCGACGCGCGAACTACGGACGACGCGGCTTTGTAGTCTGACGGTACCATGCAGTAGTAGACCTTTCTGTCTGCAACAAGCTTCTGCCTCACCCGCGCGCTGTCCGACACTCGGACACGATTCGATAGTCGGGAAAGTCTGCGACAGTCATCCTCAGGTCCCGGTAGATGTGACCCTCGGCAGCGTTTCATCTCCCTGAGCACTAGACGCTCCGCCAGACCCCTCCGCATAGTCCCAACCACACCCGCCCTCACAAAACAACGCGAACCCCCCGGATATCCGCGAGGGCCCAATTGCCCTACGATATCCACGACTGACGACATAGACGCACCTAACACGCCATGAATCCCGCTCCCAACGCCTTCTACGGGGCCGGGCCGCCCATGATGAACCCTCCACCTCCGCGTCTCTTCGGCAGCGGCAGCTACGACGCTTCGCAGATGCCACCAGGCAACATGTTTGCCCACGACGACATGCACGACGACAACGATGGAAGCGATCCCAAGAGGCGGCGCATTGCACGGGTATATACATGTTGCGATTGGGGAGTAGCATAGTGCCATGCTGACAGGATGCAGGCTTGCGACATGTGCCGGAAGAAGAAGATCAAATGCGACGGCAAGATGCCCTCGTGCACACACTGCCAGAACTACAAGACGGAATGTATCTTCACACAGGTCGAGAAGAAAAGGCAGCCACCAAAGGGGTATGCACTCCACCCCCATTGAGCGCGTGGATGCTGACGATGCATAGCGCCAAGTACATCGAGGGTCTCGAGAACCGACTTGCGCGAATGGAGTCTCTGATGCGCCTCTCTGGCGTCCTACCCGAAGACGACGATGGCAGCACCGATCTGGCCACACTAGAGAGACGACTCGAAGCAAGAGCCGGACGATCGGCTACGCCCAGGGCTAGCATCGGCGAACGACGAGAATCAATGGCACCTCCAACAGGCCAATCGACGGCCACCGGCACACCGGCACAACCAGCTCTCCCCAGTCCAAGGAGTGGCACCGCTTCGCCAGAGCCAGAGGAACAGACGGAAAATCCCAAAGACAAGGAGGAGGACGCGCTTGCCGAGATGATGTGTTCTTTGGTGACGAACAACTGCGGAGAGACGAGATATATCGGTATGCTTTCCAACCTTTGCCACTTTCACACGCTAACCATCTAGGCTCATCGTCTGGTTTCTCCATCTTCTCGCCCAAAGGTATACAGTGGGTGAACGAGAAGACCGGAGACAACTCTTTCCGCGACATGATCTCCACGGCTGCCGTCGAGGACAACAAGTGGATCCAGTGGCGGCCCGACGTATTCCAGGACATCTTCAAGCGCCGAGTTTACAAACAATTACCACCCAAACATGAGGCACTCTCGCTACTCAAGGACTACTTTGAAAACTTCAACTGCATGTTTCCCCTGTTCCACGAACCGACTTTCATGCATCTCGTAGACAAGCACTACTCAAAAGACCCATACGAAGGATCCGGCTGGTGGGCCAGCTTAAACGTCGCCCTGGCCTTCGCACATCGATTGCGTGTCATGAGCAATCTCGTGCCAGCAGAAGAAGATGAAAAGGCGTGGCAATATCTCAAGAATGCAATGAGTGTCATGGTAGAGCTGACCATGCGCAACACTGATCTGCTTAGTGTCCAGGCTCTGCTGGGAATAGTACGTAGCGATAATAGAGTACTGGCCCTTGCCCATCTAACGTTTTCCAGGGTCTTTTCCTTCTAGGAACACCAAACCCACAGCCTACCTACTTCTTCGTTGCCACAGCCATGCGACTTGCACACAGCATTGGTCTCCACAAGAAGGGTGCCAACTTTAGTCTCAACTCCGCCGAGGTTGAGCAACGAAGACGTGTCTTTTGGATCGCTTACATGCTGGACAAAGAGTGAGTCTCGTCGATTTCCCAAAGCTTCACATGACTGACATCGTCAAGTATCTGTTTGCGGTCTGGCAGGCCACCTGTACAAGACGACGACGATATGAACGTCGAGCTACCTAGCGACACTCCACCGGACAATATCGGCAACATTCCCCTCTCGGATGGAAAGGGCACTATGAACCTCTTCCGGCTCATGTGCACCTTCTCTGTGATCCAAAGCAAAGTCTACAAGGGCCTCTACTCCGTAAAGGCATCTAAACAGACAGACGGCGAACTGCTCAACACCATCGGCGAGCTCGATAAAGAATTAGAAGCATGGAAGGACGATATACCACTAGAGTTCAGGCCAGAGCACGACATCAAAGCATCGCATACCCCACTCATCCTCCAAGTCGCAGTACTGCATCTCGGCTACTACAACTGTTTAACTACCATCCACCGCATGAGTGTACACCACGGATACTGGACCAGTCGATTGTCCAACTTTGCGATACAAGGGCTGAATGCCCGACCACTCAACCCGAGAGTCTTCATGTCCGCCCAACTGTGTGTTCAGGCTGCCCGAGCTTCGATACACCTTTTGAAGTACATACCGAAAGGTGATTTATCATGTGTCTGGCTAGTAATCTATTTTCCCGTCACTGCTCTGGTTACGCTCTTCGCAAATATCCTACAAAATCCACAGGACACACGATCACGATCGGATCTCAAGCTGATGAAGCTGGTCGTCAACTTCTTGAATATGCTCAACGACGACCAGGGCAGCGGTAGTGTAAAGCGCATGTGCACAGTCTGTGCTGAGTTTGAGCGCATCGCTACTATTGTACTGGAAAAGGCAGATCGCGAGCACGCATCGCGACGGAAGAGGAAACAAGGCGACAGCGAACAGGACGCGCAAATCGAAGCAACAGCGGCTGAGTTACTCTCGACAGGCCGGACCTCGCATTCGTCACCCCAGCAGGCCACTACTCCTCAGAACAATAACAGCTCAGAAGGCATGATATTCAACCCAGACTTCCAGGGGTTCAACGAGGTAAGCTATACCACAATCAGGCTGAAACCACCGCTAACATGCACAGCCCTTTCCCTTCTCACCAAACTTCACACACGACTCTTTACAACCAAACATCCAAATGAGCCAATACGGCTCACCAGGCATCACTGCCCAAATGCTCCAACAATCACAAAGCCTGCCTATGACAACCGGTGGTGACGTCAACGGCATCAGTTCCAACATCAACGCCATGGCAGGCATGGGTCAGTTCGACCAAACCTTCAACAACGTTCCGCAAGATCTCTGGAAGATGCCGATGACGCTCGAGTGGGACTGGGCAGATATGACTGGTGGGTTCTCGGGATACGAGGACGGCATCAGTATGAATGGTGTGTTGCCAGATTTCTCGAATAATACTGGGCATAGGACGAGTGAGTTCAATCAGGGGGCTATGAATGGGGGTCGGTGATGGGACTTTTGCCACCGAAATTCGCGTTCCACAACATCGATCACTATGTCTCATGCCTTTTGCATCTTCGGGGCACGTTTCGACAAGCGACCAACACTACGATCCGACTTCCCAGCACAAGTTGGGTGCTTCGCTATATACCATTTGTACTACTAGAGATATCTTGACGAATCTTGGCGCTTACGACCTCACGGCCTTGTAAAGTAGTGTTTTAGTTTGACATACACACATTGTAATACTATATCCGTGTTTACAAGCCAAGCTTCAGATGGTGGCGCATGTACGATAACCAAACCTTGGTAGCCCAGCTGCAAGATCGATGATAGGCTGACACTAAAACCACGCTACAGTCAGTAGTCCGGAGATCCTCGCTGTACGCTTTCGTAGCTATGATGCTTACTGACATAATCACAGACTATGTACCCATCTACTCCTTCAAATGCAACTGTGGACCATCCCTGAGAAGATCATGTGGCTCCATTGACCATCGTTCCATTCCTAGTAACCACTTGCTGAACTACCGTCGCATTTCTCGAATTAAGTGATTGTGAAGCATAATGGTAAACATTACAGCCCTCCTGTCCTCGCTCATAACAGCAAATCACATTCTCTCCTACCACAACGTCCTTGACCCATTTGGTCATGTCAGTGTCCGCAATCCAAATACCAATTCAACCTTCTTCATCGCGCTGCAAATCGGGCCAGCAACGGTCTCTTCTCCCACCGATATCGGCGAATACCTCATATCAGACGGCACACCTGTAAACGGCACCAAGGGGGGCTATGCGGAACGTTATATCCACAGCGAGATTTTAAAGCGGTATCCGGACGTTAATGCTGTTGTGCACAGTCATTCTGAAGATGTACTACCCTACACAGTCATTGATACAGCTTTTGAGCCTACGTACCACATGGCTGGTTTCCTGGGTTCTGAAGTACCGAACTTCGATATCGAAGATGTGTATCAGGTGAGCTTCTAGGGTGTGCGGATTGCAAGTGATACATATACTGATTAAGTGTCTTTACAATTGCTAGGATGACGATCCGAGGGATATGTTAGTTAACAGTCCGAGGCTAGGCGCTGCGCTTGCGGAGATGTTTGGGGTCAATGAAACAAGGAGGACGAGTCCTTTGCATACTACGGTCTTGCAGCGCGGGTGAGTACTTTGTCTCTTGTCTTGAACGAACTGCATGGGAGACATGTACTGACTTTGTACACCAACCTATAGACATGGGTTCGTTACTACGGGAGAAAGTGTCGAGCAGGTGACAGATTTCGCGTATTATGCTGCTAGTAATGCTAGAGTGCAGACAAAGGCGTTGCTGCTTGCGGGTGTTGGTGGGAATGGAGGGGTGAAGTATCTGACTGAGCAAGAGCGGAAGGCGACGAATGAGATGAATCGGTGGATTGTGTTCAAGCCTTGGGCGCAGTGGGTCAGGGAGGTGGAGAGGAGTGGGAGGTTTGTTAATGAGTTGGGGACGCCGCCTATCCCGGACCAGTAGGTGAGAAGTAGTTGAGCTGGCCATGGGCGGGGTTTGATGGTTTTTGGTTGGGGAGAGCGGTGGGTAGACTTTGTTCATCAGTTCTGGGGCCTTTGTATGTTGTTCGCTATCTGCGAATCATGGGGTGGATGCCGACCCGTTACAGTAGCGATGTACCACAAGCATGACGCCATTTGCCAAGCCCCCGAGCGGAGGAAGGCGATAGCACGCTCTCTCTTCATAGCCGTTCATCCCCACTCACGTCTTGTCGAAGTTATACCACAAAAGGAAGCTCGATGTGGTCCCAAGACTTTAGCAGCCTGATAGACATTGAAATGCCTGCGAACCTTAGAAGGATGTAAGCATCCGGCTCAACCATCATGTCTGATAACGTGCTTATGCATATATATCACGACTGTCAGGACAAGCATCTGGTGTCTACGTATAAACATACATCGCCTGGAATTTTGAGATTGATGTATCTCGCAACATTTCCCAGACCTTCTAGTAGGTCTCTAAACTTCATCTAGAAAGTCATTGATCGAAAACGAATCAATCGCCATGCGGGCCTCATATAAGCCTCTTTTGGGTTTACTTACACTTCATGTAACGACAGCTATCGCGGATGGCTACGCCAGCAACATAAGACCTGTTACACTTGATGCACCACAAGTGGCAGCCAACTTTCCCAACGTTGAAGGCATTCAGCTATTGTCGCCAGCGTTTATACATCCTGAGAACATACCAGCAACATTCGCCAACGGCACTTCCGGACCAACTCCGCAGCAGGATCTAGGTATGCTCAACTACAACAGTATGGGTGGACTTGCTGACCCTCGGCAGAAAGTTTTGTGAAGAGCCTCACCCAGCGCAACGGTTGGATCACGTACAATGATGAGCTAAAGTCTGAAGAAGGTCGCACGATACCTTATGTAACAGTGACGAATAGCAAGAATAGCAACAAGAAGCTACGTATCTGGATCCAAGGGGGTCAGCACGGGAACGAGCCAGCCGGCGACGAGGGTGTACTAGCACTACTCGGAAAGTTGGCTCACGACTCACAATGGAGCGCGAAGATCCTCGAAAGGATTGATCTTGTCATTCTCCCACGCTATAACGTCGATGGCGTGGAGTATCTGCAGCGACAGCTGGCCTCCAACTACGATCCCAACCGCGATCATGCTGTGCTTGAGCGACAACAGACACGAGCGATCAGAAAGCTGCAATCCGAGTTCGACCCAGACATCTTCCTAGACGATCATGAGTATACAGGCAGCAACCTGGTAGCCGAAAAATACATCCGCGCGCAGGATCTCCTCGTCTCTGCCAACAAGAACCAGAACGTCAACCCTAGCATTCGAGCTTTGAACCAGGACTTTGTTGACGATATCTTCTCAGCTGCTGAGAGTAAAGGCCTCCGAATATTCCCATACTTCACCACCAGCGTGACCAACGGAACCATCACAATCCAAGAGCCTGATGCGACTCCAGTAGCAAACCACAAGGGTGCTGGTAACTACCAGGCCCTGACTTTCCTGCTGGAGACGCGCGGTATCGCCATCGCCGATCAGCACTTCCAGCGACGTGTAGCATCCCAGGTTATTGTCCTAGAGACCATCCTCAACAAAGCTGTCAATGAATTCGACAAGGTATACAGCACTATTGAGAATGGGCGCAAAGCTTTCGTGGATAGCAAAGACGACATCGTCGTTGCATACGAACAGCGCATCACAAACAAGACTTTGCCCTTCATCGACGCATCAACCGGCTCCCTCGTCAACGTAACCGTCCGCTCCAGAAACAGCGATTCCAACATCGTCACTCTTTCCCGCCCCCGACCAAAAGCCTACGTCTTCTCACGCGCCTGGGCAGACGTAGCCGAGCGTCTCCGCATTCTCGGCGTTACCGTCGATGTCCTCCAGGAAGACTTTGTTGGTACTGTCGAAGCGCTTGTAGTAACGACAGCTGAGTTGGCTGAAGCGAAGTTTGAAGGTATTGCGGGTACGACGGTGACGACTAACGCGACGCAGCAGTCTGTTACGATACCGGCTGGTGGCTTTTCTGTTGATACTAAGCAAAAGAATGCTGGGTATGCTTTTGCGCTGTTGGAGCCAGAGGGGGAGGCGAGCCAGGTTTATTATAACAAGATTCCACTGGATGTGGGAGATGAGTATCCAGTGTTTAGGGTTTTGTAGGGTTATAAGTGTGTCATTAGGGCGCAGAGCTACCTGTGGAAAGATTTCGTCTGTCACGAGTAACAACGCGTCGACGCCTAATTTCCTTTGCTGTGTGTAGCTGTGTGGTATACCTTATATTCAGTCCCAGACTCGAAGAATCGCTTCTTCGTTTGTGTACTAAGACGTACTTCCACTGCCCTTTTCTGCCCGATGCATACCCATTTTCACCATCGGACTCTGCATCAACGTCTCCCAATCATGGATGAACAATGACTGCTTTAGCGAGATGTTCATCTCCAACATGCCCCGCTCCAAGACCTCAGCATCATACTCATCAACCGCTTGCTTAAGACCCCGCGTCTGCTCTGGAGAGCCGTAAACTGTGCGCATGGCAGCGACGAAGTTGGCAGCATCTTGGAGTGCATTATTGAGACCCTGTCCTCTGTGTGGCGTCATAGGGTGTGCGGCGTCACCACACAGCGTCATCTTCCCACCCCGGTTATCCCATGCACGAGCCTTTTCCCAGTACGTGCCTTTATCGAGAGGCAGTATGGTGGCAGGATCTATAGCGCGACCAGCAGACCGCCAGGGCTCTGCGTATTCTTCTGCGCGCTTCTTGAAGAGCGACATGCGACCTTCAGGGCTAGATAAGTCCACATCGGTGGGCACACTGGAATCGAGCCACGACTGAAGCACTTGAAAGGTCCACGTCGATGGATCCGAAGGGTTGGGTGCATCTTGTATGGACAACCAGAACATGGTACCATGGTCCGGGTGTATACTCGTGATGAAGAGTTGATTCATATCTCGAATGCGCCTGGCGAGCTCGACATCGAACTTGTACGGGAAGTTGAACATGCTGACGGACGCGTCTGTGAGCTTCGCTGCTTCTGTCCCTACGATGGCTTCTCGAACATGCGATTTTGCGCCGTCGCAGCCTACGAGTACATCACCGGTCGTGCTACTACCGTCTTCGAACGTCACCTTCACCTTGCTATCCTCGTCGACCACCGCACTTGCGAACTTCTTCCCGTATTGCACATCTAGACCCTCGCTGAACAAGTTACGCATCTTCTTACGGCTTACGCGACACGGCTTCTCTGCCGCCATTTCGATGATGAACTCGCCCGTTTTCCCATTGTAGATTGGCAAGCCTGTGACAGAGGCGGGGTTTTGGGTTGGGTCAGCGAAGGCTTCGTGGAAGCGTTCTGTGAGTTCAGAGGGTAGGCATGAAGCGATGTGCGAGCTGCCCCAATGGAGTGTCATGCCCCATTCTCGTGTGCGTGTTTGGTACGTGGTCGAGGTTTCGGACTCGAAGATGGAGAAGGGTATGTTTGCCTGTGTGGTCGTGTTAGCGATGTAGTCGTTTTGTGATGCTGCGGGGTTTCATACCTTCTTCAGCCCTTGGGCAATGAGCAGTCCGCTCGTTCCTGCTCCTACAATGAGGACATGGCTGGCCTTGGTCCCGTTTGGAGACATTGGTTTGGCGCTTTTAGATCATAGGCAGAGATGGCTGCGTCGCCTTAACTTGAGACAACGTAGTCATATTGGCGGGAGGCGCACCAGCCTGCATTCTACCGCTCTTGCAGCTCACTTATCTCGAAGTGGGTTCCCATGGGGTTTAGTCCCGAAGAGAGCGCTGGCATGTTCGGCACGCAAGTCGATGTGGGGTTGTCATCCGGGCACTAGGCGGAACGCGTGTTCGTCGTTCGGCACTTGCTATGTTGCAAGCACGCTAGTTCGTCCCACGCGTCTTCATTCCAACAACCTCATTTACACTTCATCGCCTATCAGACCAATGCACTGTCATTAATGTTAAAACACGATTCGTCTTTGATTCTGCTGGGGAACTCCGCAAGAGCACAGCTTACTACCGCGGAGCCTTATGGCGACCAGATGACAACACTTGCACCGATGCGCAGAGGCTGCATGCCATACAGCTTCTCAGTCGTGCTCAGCGCCACTCATGAGGCTGCCTGAATGCAGCGAATCGAATGAGCCCAGCCTTGGCGGTTTTTTTCATACACTTTCTGTTTACCCCTCCCAACAGCCGTGTCGCAGGACGCTCCTCACTACTCTCTCTATCTACGTATGGTGCTTTACTCCATCTGTATAATCTCTTCTAGATCCTCCCGGACTATTGTTGGTTATGCGTTTACTGCAGCGCTTGTCTGGCTCCATCGACTTCAGACTTGTTGAGCAGTTCGACGGGGACATCCCACCTTATGCTATCCTGTCACACACCTGGGGGTCCGACGTAGACGAAGTCACATTTCTTGGATTACAAGATGAGCAGGTCAAGAACAAGCCCGGATATAGCAAGCTTGCTTTCTGCTCTATGCAAGCTGCTAAAGACAAGCTGGAGTTCTTCTGGGTTGACACATGTTGCATTGACAAGAGCAGTAGCACCGAATTGTCCGAGGCGATCAATTCCATGTTCAAGTGGTATCAAAACGCGGAGAGATGCTATGCCCTTCTCTCAGACGTGGATATTGATGTACCCATCGAGAACATCTCTCAGCAAGAATGGGTGCATATATTCCAGCACAGCAGATGGTTCCAACGTGGTTGGACGTTGCAGGAGATGCTTGCGCCAAAATCTGTCGATTTCTTCTCAAAAGCTGGGAGACGACTGGGAGATAAGGTCACTCTGCTGCAAGCTCTACATCGTAGAACGCAGGTACCTGTGCTAGCCCTCCAAGGCAGTCCGCTGTCACAATTTAGCATTGACGATCGTATGTCATGGATGGAAGGACGTCAAACGAAGAGGGAAGAGGATGCAGCATATTCCCTTTTGGGGCTACTTGGCGTTCACATGTCACTGTTGTACGGCGAGGGACAGGCGAAAGCGTTGGCACGGTTGCGGAGGAAGGCCGAACGTTCGCTGGACGATCGAGCGCCGTCCAAGCCGCCAGCATCGCGTCCATGGACCGTTCCCCATCGGAGCAACAAGAAATTCACCAATCCTATTCTTTTGACACAGGTGTATGAGGTATGCTCTCAGCCAGCGGGCTGCGCAACGCTCTCTGGACCTGGGGGTGTTGGGTATGTATTGCAGCTCTTACATAGTTACAAAACACTGACTCGGGATTCAGGAAGCTGCAAGTCGCCATCGAGTATGCTTATCGGGTCCGAGACCAGACCCCAACAAAATGGGTTTTCTGGATCAATGCAGCAACTCGGGCAACCTTCGAAGAAGGTTATCGCGTGATAGCTGCGGCAACAGGAATCAATGCTATTGACGACCCCACGATTCACCTGATGTCGCAGGTACGCAGGTGGCTGCAAGACGAGTCCAATGGACAGTGGACAATTGTGGTAGATAATATTGTGGACGCAGCTATCTTCTCCTCTACCAGCGCATCTCAAGACCTTGAGTCTGCCTATCCACACTCAACACCGCAAGGATTACCCAGCTTCCTTCCACAATCTCTGAACGGATCAATACTCGCCATTGCTCGAAACCACAATGTTGCGCGACGCATCAAAGATACATATATCAACAACGTAGTTTTCGAAATGCGCAAGCCTACCTGATACGTTCCGCTATATATCTTTATCAACGCAGGCCTTTCAATTCAACCAAACACGTCTTCACCGAACGTCGATAGAAGGAAGTCAATTAAGCTCACGTTAGAGGTCGAGAGAGAGCATGGATATACTAGAAGCTTTACTGGCGGGAGGCGCTCCAGCCTGCATTCTACCGTTGTTGCAGCTTAGCTATCTAGAAGTGGAATTTTATAGGTTTTAGTCTCGATGAGAGTGCTGTAATGTTCGACATGCGGGATAGATTGGAAAGTCATCTGTGCACTATGCAGAATGTGTTCTCGTTCCTTGGCATGCGCTATGCTGCGATTACTAGATGACACTAGTTCGTCCTATGCGTCCTCAGTCGAATCGCCTCATTCAGTATCCATCTCCTTCTACAAAACGCGCTGCTATCAAAGTCTGGACGCGATGCATCGCCGTGTTGCTGATGTCGCAAAGCACAATCTTATCATAAAGCGGACCCTTATAGCATCGAGATGACTGCGCTTGCACGGATGCGGACGGGCTGCATGCCACAGCCTCGTGGCTTTACTTAGAAGGTCGCCTCGAAGCGGGCAAGGCTGACTTTCGCTCATTCAACAAACAACGTGTGAGTGCTCAACAGAGTACAGTGCTGTCAACGAGGTTTAGAAGCGAACCAAAGGCTTCCATGTCCCGCGACACCTGCCAGGCCAATGGCTTGGCTTGACGACACTGCACAATGCAGTACCATAACCCATTTTTGGTTGTCAGATCGCCACCGATTGCCACTCACCAGCTGTCCGGTTCACCGGTGACGCAAGGCCACGACAAGCTTTCTGGCCATGGTCATCCCCACATCCACTACCGCCTTCTTTTTGAGACACCCACACACCTATCCTCTTCTTGTGAGCCTGTTGTGGAGCCTAGTGAGCCTTAGTGCCTTGTGTCATAGCATTGAGGTTCAGATCCTGTCGAGATGACATCCTCTACGCTACAAACAATGGCCCTCTCGATCGTTGCAGGCACCAGTGGCCTCGTTCAACTAGGCCTATCGATCTCTGACATAGCCTTATGTGTCGATTTGGGCAAGAAATTCGGCAACTTCGTTCGTGTAGGTCAAAACGACAATGACCTCTTTGATGTTCTTGGTGAAGACCGAGAAGCTCTGTTCAAAAGACATGGTCTTGTGGACGCACTTGAGATGGAGAAGAGATGGTTCAAGTTGAACATCGTTCACCAGGGCGAAAGGAAACAGGGACCTTCTCATTCGCCGTTACCAGAGGTGAATCAGAGAAGAAAGAAGGAAGATTCTGATGACGGTGTAGACAGATTCACATGGGTCATGGTTGCAATCGTATCAGCGTTGGATGAGTGTTTACCATCGAGTGAAGTTCAGGAGCTCCTTATACGAGTCTTCGTTGAGGTTTTGGCTCGCGACGATGACATCACAACCGCGCTGAGGATAACGATCAAGAAGAACATTGAATCTTGGAGGTCTTTCGGGTGTGCTAGAGAGATAGCACATTCTATACAGAAGGAGATGCGCAAGAGCCTGTCCGATGGGGTGTCTGAGCAGATCTTGAGACGTGCTATCATTCAACTGAACGAGGCGGAGATGGAAGACATGAAGAACATGCTTGTCTGGCTTCTTAATGGAGACGTGACAGTCTTCAGGGCTATGTCTCCGATCACCTTTGCTATTGCTGAAGCTTGGAAGAAGGTCAAGCTTGACCTGTGCACCGACGGAAACCCCATTCATGAACGGCAGGCCTGTGTCACGTACCACCACGAAGGCCAGCTGTTTGAAAGATCCAGATTCAGCACGATACCACCATTAAGGGGACTGGGATCCAAGGCCCTCCAGATCTCCTGGCCTCGCGACAAGCCGGAGTCAATGATTGACGTACTTGGGGTTGGCCGCTCACTGGAAAATACTATGAGCCAAGCCTGGAAGCATGGAGAAGTCGCTGCTGGTGCTCTGAAGTTAATTGGCAAGGCGGATGAACCATATGGATACGCAGCTGAGGTCTACTACATCCTCCAGGTCTCCGACGGTGCACACGTTAGCAAGAGATACAACCCGCACATCGGAATGCTCGCCGACCAAGGCTTTCCCCTAGATACTGAAGAGATACATAAAACGTTGGAGTGGATTCTGATTGGGGAGCCAGCAGACAGCTCGCGATGGCTTCACAATCACGTCGCACAAGACTATCTACTCAAAGTCGACAATGTGGATGTGGTACGCGAGCCGCAATACAATTCAGTATATTTCAAATACCAGGCTTTCATCTTCGGAATATACTACGGGCTTTTGCGACAACTTTTGCACCTCGATTTGGTAGAAGCCATAGCCTTTTTCCATGGAATATGGGGTACATACAGTACGACGTTTCTGGCCATGTGCACCCAACTCGGTCGCTGCCTGAGGAGGGACGAAAAAGCGAGCCGAGCCCACATCCTATATGTGCTTGCAGCAATGTACAACGGCCGTCGCAAGATCTTCAACACGAGTTCAACAATTCCCCGACTCGTTGGTGTCCTCGGACCGATCTCGTTACTTGCGCTACCACTTGTTCGCACGACAGACGATCCAAGTGAAATCTCCAAGATTGCTGTCGTTGATCTCCCAATCGTCGATTTGAACGCCGACAGCGCAGATGGAGATTTGATGGCAAGTGAAGGTGGAGGTATACGTTTCGATCATCCAGGTAGAGACGATGAATGGGTATCGATCACTCAGCCACCTAGTCCTACCAATAAGTGGACTATACATCCGTACATGAGTATGGCATTACGCGGAGGGAGCACTAGTGGCGTGGTCATGGCAGCTCGATGCGGCAAGAGACTTGTTGGGTGGTTCAACCCACTGGCTGCTGATGTGTCATTCCTCAGTACGGCTTATGTGAAGGAGTCGTATAGTGACAGAAAGGTGGATGCCTTTGAGATAAAGGATGAACATTGGGAGGCCAGCAAAGCTTTGCAGCATTTTCGGAACGACCAGGCTACGAATTTGGTGTTGTGCGTTCTCATGGCTCTCCTAGTTTGCGATATGCCGCTGCTGGTTTCTATGCCGAGCAAGGCGAAGAAATAGCTATTGCCAGGTCTTCTAGCGAGTTCTGTGGAGCGTTCGATAGATTGCAAGCACAAAAACAGGGTATAGTCATTCCGTAGTCATCGTGGACGGTTCTCTACTTCGTTCTTAGCATCAGTAGAATTACAATTTACTTCCATTCGTAGTCTTTACGACAAATCCTAGCCTCGGGAAATGCACCCTAACATCTAACTCTGCCTTTTCATTCGGTTTGATAATCACCTCTTCGCTCCCAATCTTGATCAATGTACCCGTTGTAGGATTACCACGCCCAGTATCATCCGGCACGATGCTTACACCCACTCCTGGCACCAATCCTCTCTGAGTATCGAGCGAAACATGTTGACCCACCGCCGTAGGAATAAGCAAGTCTTGATCGCATAGCAGCGGTGTCTGTCGAAGCGCGTTCTTCCACCGAGTATTAGTCTCAGGAACTGTTGTTTGTACATCCGGTAGACCGTCGATGTAAGCCTCAAACGCCTTGAACCATCTCATCAAGCCCGGATATCTCTTCTCATTGAACACTTGTCCCACGAGGTCATCATCGGTATCAACCGTTCCACCACCACTGAGATTGTATATGCCTTTCCCAGCAGCGATGTCGATACCCCATCTTAGTTGATAGTACAAACTTATATCAGCGAGCGACGGCGTTTTTGTCGGCATAGCCCATGTACTAGACCGGAACATGGGTTCCAAAAGCGATAGATGCAGATCCAGATTCGACAGATGGATTGGAATTTTAGACTGAAGCTTATCTGGTGAAAGAGGATGTCCAATGAGCTGAGCGCGGTCTTTACCGAAGTCTGACGCCCAGACGGTAGAAGGGATGAAGCCTGTAGTTGTCCGGAACAACGGTTTCTGTTCAATAATTACGAACGTGATCAGCGTGTATACTCCAACCTCAACCTCACGAAGACTTACGTCAGTCCAGAAACTTGCGAAACCCCTCACCAGCCCACGATATGTCCACTCGCTCACACCCTCAATCACGGGATACACAGTGCCCCAACCCTGGTCCGCCGGGAAGAAATGCTCCAGTGCCTCGATGATGAGTGATGTGTCGCAGTATATCTCTCTGCCAATGGCGAGGATAGGTATCTTGCGGTATGAGAGAGCGAATGTTGATGTTATGAGAGGTCGAGGTAGCATTGATGGGACTGTTACATATGCTTCAGGAAGGACGGTTAGTGATTAGATGATTTGTTCGAGCGTTTGCGTACTTGGGTGGTAGAGGGTAGGGAGCAGGCTTACAAAAGGGTATTTGTTTGATACGCAGTGTTAGTCGTACTTTGTTCGTGAAGGGGCTTGCTGTGCTTTGGTCAATTTAGGAGGCTTTTGGGATGCACCGGGGGTGGTTGTTCACAATCGTAGCCGAATAGGATGACTGGCGGGGGGTCGGTCGATGGTGCCATGTCGCCTTTTCTGGAAGAGAGATATTCTCCCTTCTTCTTTTTCGCCGAATAGATCTGGTTACAGGAACATAATCAGGAATGCAATAGAGAAGGGTCACGATATAGTCGTACCCCGCGCTCTGCTCAAGAGCCGAGGTTCTAGTCAAGACGCGACAGAACGTACCGTTTCCGTTCGACCTTGGTTGTATTTCCGGGAGCTTTGATAGAGCCGGGCCAATCACCTGATTTTTACATTTACAGCTCTTGGAAAGAAGGCAAGCTAGAACGAGTCTATTTTACAATACCCAGCAGGAAGCTCCTCTAAGGAGGTTGACTCGTGACACGAGGTATCAATATACGTAGCGCATGGGCTGAGTGATTGGAGTTGCGCCCACAAGCCAACGCAGAGGCAGATGTTGCGTTGATAGACATGCGACCAGGAACTTTTGGGATAGAAACATGCTTTTGCTGTGGTATCGAAATCATGTCCGTGATGTACCAAAATATAGGACGCCAAACTCCATGACTATATGGTTCGTACGACACAGCCCACTCCTGTCGGAAATGTGTTCAGTGAGGGTCGAAACAATCACTCCGTGTCGTTGAAAGGTACTAGTCCTACTCGTCAACATCCATAGCTTCAACACCGCCACCAACCTTCCTCTTCAACATCTTCTTGGTCTTGCTCCTAGTCTTGGGCGTCGTTTCCTCAAGCTCACTAAGCTCGCTCTCCTCAGCCTCAAGCTCCTTCCTCCTTGCCGCAACCTTCTCCTTGACCTTCTGCACATCGACCTCCATATCCTCTTGCTCAACCTCCTCCTTGGCGAACCTCTCGCTCGGCGGCAGCAGATGCTGGTTCTCTTCAACCAACTTCCTGTCCTCCTCACGCTGTCTCTGCTTGTTACCACGCATGCGAGCCTTGTAGAAGGCGCGCTCTCTCCTCTGTCGGATCTCGGATACGCGGCCCATGGCCTTGAGGGTGGTCTGGATGAGATCGCGGTTGTACCGGACGGGCACGTTGCGGCGCTGGGCGAAGGTGAGGGTGGAGTCGACGGTCATTTCCTTGTTGTGCGCGCGGCGGAAAGACTTGGTCCAGGCGAGCTTGCGGGGGTTGCGCTTCATTTTGAAGTTCTTGTGGCATTTCGATTTGCAGAAGCGGAAGGCTTTTGCGTCGTTGCGCACAAAGGTTATGCCCTTGGACGGGTACTGTTGCATTGTTAGTACGTTGTCTTATGAAGATAGAGAGGGCTTAGCTAGACATACGACCGGCGAAGAGCAGAAGTAACAGGTTTCGATTCTCATCTTGTCGTGGTGGCGCGATTACGATCGCGTTCGTTCTTGTCGTAAGGAAGGTATGCGATCGGGTGTGTAAGGGTCGACCACGCTTCACGAGAGTTGGCGATGGTGAGGCGGCGTCGTGGAAAAGGTGTGGAGTTGAGGTTCGAGAAGTTCGGCCGGCTCGAAATTTTGGGTGGCCCGTGCATATCTACCCACCTGCCATTCTCGCCCGCCAATTGCGATGCATGTCGACCGAGACACCTCCGCAAATTTCCTTCCGACCACTTTGCCGCCGCTATTCCCCCAAGCATCTTCCATTTGACGTATCCCCATATCTGTCACCGCATCGCGAACGTCGAAACTCCCACGAGTGCAGCAACGAAACCATATAGTTTGGGAGAGTAAAAAGACATGTCTGCCTGGGTTTGGATCTTGGGCGCTGGTGCCACAGCTTTCTTCGTATGACTCCCTACCTTGAGAGTGCCGTCTGGGGCAGTCTGCATGTAGAACTGCGGGGGTGCGCTTTATTATGGACAAGTACGTGTACTGACCGATGTGAATAGGGTCGCGCAGCACTCGTGGCATTGCGGAGATCAGGTGGTGGTGCCGGAGCATTAGGACGTGGATACTACAAGGGCGGCTTTGAGCCCAAGATGACACGGAGAGAAGCTGCGCTCATACTAGAGATGCCGTACGTCTACCCCACCAACACATGTCTGAGAACCACAACGAATGACTGACTGAACCCAGCGAGCGCGGCATTACGAAAGAACTCCTACGAAAGAAGCACCGATCGCTCATGCTTCTGAACCACCCGGATCGAGGCGGTAGCCCATACCTAGCGACCAAGGTCAATGAAGCGAAAGAATTACTGGAGAAAGAAGTGAAGGGATGAACAAGAGGTGGATGATGTGTATACCAAGACTTTGTACTATATCACGGCATGATTCTCAGCATCAGCATGGCGTTGGACTGAATATGATTAGCGACTTGACGACCCCCCATATCTTTTCCTTGCTATTGTGTCATATGAGCAGGCCGTGATGCAAGCACGCTAGCCGTGATAGATGGAAATACTGCTACACACCGCTTCATCTATGAGTGTCGGAGCGTGTAAAATGTAACAAGATCTGGGTGTGTTGTGAGCAACGAGATTCGATACCGACGGAGAGACAAGCGAATTGATCAAACTTCAAAGAGCTACCTATACAAGACGAGGTTTGAGATCATAAAGAATTGGTACGTGATTAACTGTTGTTTGGAGCAAGCGCTAATACTGTCTGATGGTACATACTAAAGCTCTAGGATAATCTGTTAATCATTACCCTTGCAGCCGTTCGTCTATCCTCCTACGGCTTTGACGACCTTGTTATTGTTTCAACAGCGCGCGCGTACCCAGATCGGGGTACTGAAGGTGGCGTACCATTCGTGCCCATCATTATCAGCCGGATTATCAAAGTACTCGAACTTCCAAAACGTCGTGACGAGTCCATAGCAGTTGTCTAGATTAGGCCGAAGAGTTTTTCCACCATGATCCCAGGTGGCGAGGCCGGCACCCTCAATCTTACACCGTCCATGAGTCCCCTTGTACCAGCCCTCGCATCGGCCGTAAGGATTTTTTGGCCATGGCCAGGGGCGATTGCTGCGGCGGAGGTTGAGCTCATACTTGTAGTCTCTGTCCCCGCGGAACATCGTCCGCCACCCTTCCAGTTCATGGGGTTGTCGGAAGTATCGCACGAGTTGATGAGCTTCTTCACAAACTCGACGCATTGGTCTTTATCGAATGCCGATACACTATTCCCTAAAGTGACAACATAGTCATGTTCTTCTGGCGTGCTTACGTCGTAGCTCTTGGGGTAACTCCAGTTGATCGAGTTTTTGGGGTGTTTCTCTTCAACCTCCTTGCAGAAATCCTCAAAATTCTCATCCGTACGATTGTCACTGACGTAGAACTTGCTACCAGTTTTCGAGAAAAACGTAAACTCATTTGTGCCAGTGCACGCGGGCGAGTCGACACCAAGAACGATGGAGTGCAGGTCCATGAGTTCAGCGAGGGCAAAGGAGGCTATAGTAGTGTGGCCGGCCACGTTTGGGTGGAACTGCGCGTATTAGTGGGGAGTACATGGGTAATTATCTGCGTGAAGACAGATGATACTCGCATTTTGGCCAACGTGGTCGGGCGTATCCATGCCCAAGGTCATGTCGGCGCCGCCGTCCCCAGGGCAGCCTAGTGGTGAGGGCGCTTGGGGGTCAAGTTTGTGCCTGATGGCAGCGCGAGGGTGGGGTGACTTGAAAAGGATAGAGTCGTAGAGTGTGCGCTCGAGTCTTCTGTCGTGTGCCTCCATCATGGCCTTGATTCGATTAGCCTGGCATTTCTCTGAGTTGGAGAGCCTGGACGAGTTCAGCATCTCCTCAAGATCCATGTCGCGCTTTCGTAGCTCAGTCCGTTCGAACTCGCCTGACCATCCAAACCAGGAGTCTGAATCAGGCTTGATGAAGTGCATGTCCGGCTGTTTGGGATCCGGGTAGTCGCCGTTGCTGCTAGGCGAGCACATTCGGGGCATCGGGAACAGTAGAGACCCAGTCATCCCATCCGGCGTAGCCAACCTTGTAATTGGTCTTGTCACTCTTGGTGGCGTCGTCGGCGGCGTCACGGATGGGCTAGTTGATGTCAAGGGCCAGCTGATTGAAGTGTTGCGGCGTGAGATGGTAAGAGCCCGGTAAGTGGCGCCTAATGGGAAGAACCAAAAGACGTCCCACGACTGTTGATCGAGATTGTCCGTGGTAGAATCGAAGAACTGGGCGTAGCCGTTAACAGCGACGACGCCACTCTTTTTCATCTTCTCGTCGAGGGCTTCCAAAATCTCTTTGATGTTGCCCTTGATGATTGGCTTTGCATTTTCTTGGGCCTTTACTATGACAGTTTCGCAGGCGGAGGTCTTTCCGTAGGGTAACATAATACGGTCCGCGATGATTTTTCTTAGACGGGTTGTTCCCGCCGGAGGCAAAAGTGACAAAATCAAGCTTGCCCTTCAAGGTCTTGGCCTGCTGGCAAATCTGTTCAGAATGATCGCCGATGCAGGCGAGGTACTGGAAGCCGCCATCTTTTTCGACATGGGCGCCCAACTGCGCCTCCATAACTTTAGGGTAGGCCATATCATATCTAGAACACTTCCAGTTGTCGCGAACCTTGTCTAAGCCACTAGGCTCTTTTACAGCTACCTCGCCGGCAGTGATCCTGTGGCCAAGTGATCTTCCGGCACCGATGCCAGGTGTGTAGCTGTCGCCGATGGCTGCCCAGCGCTTGATCCATTCCATACTGCTGGGATCGCTGTCTCGCTTGAGGAGAGGAGATGAGACCGAAGAAGAGGACCAGCTGGCAGGCGAGCCAGGTTTTGGGTGTAGGTGTTTTCCTACGCTCCTACTATGTTTTTTCATGTTGCGCATGGTGTGGCACGTAGCCCTCGGCCACCCTAATCAGGACCGATAGGCCCATGATCAGTTCGAACATCATGAAGGTCGGTATAGCTGGATGAGAATGAGCGACATGAACGGAGAACGAGTGTATGATAGAGAGTGTAAGGCCAACGTTGTGGACGAGTGAGATGAGTTGATGAAATACGAGTCTATAGTCGCAGGACCGAAAGAGACTGGAAAAAAGTAGCTCACGGAAGATGTTCAAACATACAAATGTGGAGATACTCTGTTGTCGCCTTAACGCAACCCCAGATATTCTGGCCAAATCTGAATCATGAATATCGCTAATGAGGATACAAGGTATAATCTCTCATATGCAGGGTGAGAAGACTAAGTCAGATGGGGCAGGCGGAAGGGTGCACCATGCCAGCCAACTCTACATGTTGTCCCTGAGAACTTACTATCGAAGTCTTGGCCTCAAAGTGGATACAATTGTACATTCTCATGTCTTTGAACAAAGCACGCCGCTAACAAGGTGGGTCCCTTTCGCACAGAACTCCCGTTCTTGTAGGGTCGGTGGAGAGTGTAGGGGATTTTTACGGTCAGTGGCGGTCAATGATGATTTGTATTCAACTACTAGCTCCATTGCAGGGGTTCCTATATTAGCAAGGAAGCGGACATGGCGGCCGCTCCCTTTATCGCCCCGCCCCAACTCCACGCCTTTGAACACATGACCTGGTTCCTCCCACTTTGGCAGCCGGAGCTCTATGAGCTTGTCTCTCCCTTCCTGAACTCTTCATTATCCGTTTCCCATCTAAGATTGTCATAATGGCGAAACTCAGAGCATGGTTAACGAAGCATCTGGTTTCCAGAGCGGATCGCGAAAAGCGATTCACAGACCAGCTACCATTCCTCGTCTCGCCATGACGTCCTCTTACGTCGACCTCATGTGATATACCGGCATGCCTTTTCTTTCAGCTGCCCCACGACATCCGCAGTATTATCATTTCCATGGTCTTCAGTTGGCGTATCCTCCATATGGACCTCGCACAGCAAGAGAAAGCATGGCAATGGAGAGGGTGCTTCTGCAATCGGAATAACCCAAGGCTACTGCCATTTATGGGATACAATTGGATCGGACCGTGGAACGATGGGTGCATAGAGGATATGGAATACTGTGAGTGCGTATGGAACACCAGACCAGAGGCGTTCGAAGGGGCAAAAAGAAATTCTACATTGGGATTATGGGGTTCCTGCTGTCGTGCAGGCAGGCGCGTACACAGAAGGCATCGATGTTTTGTACTCTGTCAATTGCAACAGCATGGAAAGCGAAACCTTGCTCCTTAACCTTCCTAGGCTTATCATACACAACCGGCTCGCATAATTTACGTCCCTCGAGATAGTCGTCCGTGCACACTGTGTCGAGCAAGATAATGGCCATTTCTCTTACATCCTGAACCATCTGGAAGCTATCCTCGACAATAACGTCAAGCACTGCCATCGCCTCCATACATTCTTCTTGTCCTTCATTGTAGAACGAAGGCATGGTCACGACCTACTCGAAGGCCTTGCGTTGCCCTTGGAAGATACCTTCTGTAGATCCATGCAGTTGCGCAACATGAGGGTTGAGCTGCCTTACCGAGATTATGTCCGGGTACCTACCTCCGAGCTTATGATGTATTATCTACGCGAAGAACCGGCTACGGTTGATTGATTGATCGATTGTAGTTTTACGCCTATTATACAGTCTCCTAGGGGACATTTAGGCGAGTACCGCCGCACGCTTACAGCCTGCACGCTAGTTCGTAGTACTTAGTCTATAGATAAATAGTGTCACGGCGCTAGCTGGTGAGGAACGCCAAGAGTGGCGCCTACACTGATTGGCCGCACAGAATCCGGATGCTGACTAGCGCACCCAAATTCTGCGGCACTAAAATTCCTGCGCGAACGCGTCCCGTCGTAAGCTCCTAGAGCTACGTCCTTATCCTAGCCTAACCTAGTACTGTTAGCTATACGTAGTAAATACATTAATTACGTGCACCTATCTTCCCTACCTGCTGCCCCTGTAACAAATAGTCTGCTAAATAAGTTTTAATACTATCTAGTCTATAGTAATACGCATAAGTGTAGTAGTAGTATATATAAGAAGTGTTAATACATAGGTAGAGCAACACGACGCGATTAGACAACTTAATATAACGTAGTTTACAAGCGAGTAACGTATCTAAGCGAGTAATGCACTTTTGCTAAGACCCTACTAAACTTTGATTAAGTCGTAATGCCTTAACGCAACAGCGTAAAAATAATCTTATATAAAGTAGATATATAGCTTACGATACAGGCTATTTAAAGAGACGCGACACTAACGACGCGACGCGCTAGAGCTATCTATAGCGTCTCTAAAGTAACACTACAAAGGCGACTCGCTAGGACGCCTTAACAACGCGATTACGCGCTTAACTTAATAGCTCATTAAGGATCTAAAGAGGTAGTAATTGTTAGGCATGTTCTTAAGCTAGTAGAGTAAGGATATCCGCCTAGGCTTACCAACGTTAAAGAGATAGCTAATTCTTTACTTAAGATCTATAATTAGAAGCTAGTTAGCAAGAAGTAGTGTGAGGAGTAGTTAGGCAGGCACTGAGATATCAGTATAGGCTTGTATTGAGACGAATCCTTAAGGAGCTATCAAGCCTCTTAGAGGGATGATATATACCTACGTCACGTGATTATGGCTGGAATCCGACGGTCCCCCGAAGGGTTCCCTAAGCTCACTAGTCTGTGGTGGAATCCGTGGTAATAGAACATCGTGACAATAGCCCCCCTTCTTAAGAGTCGTCCTAACTCTTACAACGGTTTTTTGAATGTCAGCGCAATATTTTTTCGCTTAGACCCCGCCCGCGCTTCACGTTACCGTGTCGCTGTTGCGTTGTCTAATTACTGCCCGTTGTTATCCCGCCCCCAAACGCTAGGGGCATGTAAAAAACCCTAAAAGGGAAAAAAATTTTACATGCCCGGCACCGGGTTGCCTACCGCAGCCATTACCTAGCTATCCCCTAGCTTTACCGCGGTAAATAATAAGGTGTTTAGCCTGTTTGTCTTATAACTATCTAGCACGTAGCTTAGTGTTTCGTAGTTTTTTAAAGTGTTAAGCGCATTTTGCTGGTTTGGACCCATAGTAAGGCAAGCGGTAAGGCACCGCTGGACTACAGAGCCCCCTGGGCATATAAGAGCGCGAGGTAATAGGGTATAAGTTGCAGTGTTTTGGAATCTTTTCTGCATCAAACCCTTTTATCACAACGACAATAACAGTTTACGCATTAACACCACAAAACTATCTACGCCAGCACTATTCCGGCGCGCCCCCCAACAGCATCCCGTTCTACATCTATAACCGCCTTAACCTGGCCTACCTTTGCTGTGGTTCGCCTGCAGTCTTGCCTTGTAGCGCTGTTACCGTTAGAAGCCAAGGTTAGCAACGGGACAAAAAGGGAGCCCGGGCCCTTTTATAGAGGACGAGTTCTGCAAGCGCAACAGCCCTATAGTGTCTGTAGTAGTTATCGTAAGGTTTTAAAGTTGGTTGTTCTCCTGTAAGTGCAGTTACTATTGTAATAGCCCTTTGCTAATGTCTTACAGGTTAATCCTCCCTTCTGCCGCGCCGTTAACCTCTTAATACCTCGTTAATTACGCTACCGAAGAGCATTAAGCTAAAAGGGATAGTAGCTACTTAGAGGGAAAGAGCAGGAGATGTTCGACGCAACAGAAACCCGCGGGGCAAAGGGGCCTTCGACTACGCGAAGGAGCTCCGTACCGCGTTCTCCGAACATGCCGCCTGGTTAAGCGTAAGATTACCTGCTCTAAGATATCTAACGTTAAGTAGGCCAAGGGGGTTAAGCCCCTCCCCTTTTAACCTTAAGCGCTATATGCAGCTTAGGTTTTTGGGGTTTAAACGCGCCTTCTAATGTTGTAGTGACCTACCCTTTAAAGAGGGCTTTATTCTCTAAGGATAGTCCGCGTTAAAAAAGGAACCCCAGTACTACTATGTTGAAGGTTCTAGGCAGTTATGAGGTTTAGGCCTATATCTAAATGTAAGTAAGGCTAGCAGCTCCCCTAAGCGCTGTTACAACTCTAAACGTCGTTCCCTAATGCCCTAATGGGAGGAGCTAAACCCCCCAAGGGTAAAAAGGGCCCTAGTAGTTCTTCTAAGGTTTGAGTGTATTTGTAGAATAACATCTTCTTCTAAGAACTTAGTTTTATTATCCTAGTAATGCTTTCTACTTTCCCATAACATGGGTTGCCAGTTCCCTTGCTCTCCTCCCTCTCTTAGACCCTTGGGTCTAGGACAAGTTGTTAGGGGCAAGCCCTTAGCCGAAGCTCCTGCCCCTTGTAATACGCCCCTTAGGTTAGCTTGTATTCTGAAAGGGGTTTACCGCAGTTGTTAAGTAGTTTTCTAGTTCCTAGGTGTAACCTAAGTTAGCTATCCTATACTTAACCCTTTATATTCCTAGCCTCTTACTATGCCCCCTATTTTCTGGGATCCCTTCTCCCTTTTGTATTTTCTCCTGGAGACATCTTCTAGATCTAGATTAGTCCTAGTTTAAACTTAGTAAACTTAAAGAGTTTATTCTAAAGTTCTAGGAGGCGATGAAAGAGGGGTGTACGGGTATTAACAGAGGGGGGTCGAGCCTGTATGCTGTTTCCCGATCTTCTTAGTAACTGTAAATAGCCCCAGGTACCAGACTATCTTCTTAGGGGGTTAGCTTGTAGTAATTTTCCCCAAATTAAAGTAAGACTAAGTTATTTTTATAAAGTAGAGTAGTAGTCTAGACGTTTATACTATTTTACGTTTATACGCAGGCTTTTCTAAACTAGATTTAGCTGCGCTGCCTATATCTGCCTACTTA